CCCCCCCCCCCCCCCACACTCCCCTTCCATCCATCTGCAACTGCAATGTGTAACTCCTTAAATCATTCCGATTCAGCTCAAATAAAAGGCGACCAGACAACCCCGAGGGGACAAAACTAATAAACTAAGGCTTCATTCTAACGAGCGAGCACGCGGCCCGCACGCAGATGCCCGGATAACTCCACTACGACCACGGCGCAGAAGGATTAGTTTCTTGCTCATATGCACGCGGCTAACACGACTTCCAGGCTAGTACCTTACATAATAATTAATCTGCCGCGCGAATTAAAACAGTTACATTTGGGTTTTTTTTTTTTAAATGTTGTCAAATGCATGCCACAGAGTCCAGGTGTGCGTGCACGCGACGCGTGCTCAATCTTACCGGGCAGCCACCTCTCCATCACCTTGAAGTCGCGAGCGCACCGTGTCCGACCTCGGCGCAGGCTCCATGATTTCATCGGCTCAGCTGCCTCATGACCTGTCCTGCCATCGGTTGCGCGTGGGCGCGCTCTCCCGAGCTGGCGTGTGCGCGACCGGCGTGGTGGGACAGCAAGACCAGCAGAAATGGGAGGGGGGGGTTTGGGGTTTTTTCATAGACTGCACCTAGATGAGCATCGTTTGGGCAAAGGGCACTTGAAAGGTCCCATGTGCACAAAAAATGTAATATGGAAAGATTATAGTGTGCAAAGTTAATTTGATTAAATGTATTCAAAAGCCATAAAGGCAAGTTTTAGAATGACTAGAGGCTGATGCATGAGAAATAACATAAAATCAAACCATAATTGGATTTGGCCACATGTTGTAATAATATTATGGCGGGGGGCCCTGGATTGCTTTTTGTGGTTTGGAGCCTGCAGCTGTTCAGGTTCAGCCCGGAAAATAATCAAGAATAACCTGCTGAAGGTTTCACTCTCAGAGAAGTGATGGTTTTTTGTCAGTTGGAATTCCCAGGCCACAAGACTAAAAATGACATCAAGCTCCTATAGCAAGATCCAAGTGGGAATGCCGTGCAACAGCAGGGTTTCGCTTTTAATATGTTTGCATGCACATCTGCCATTCATTACCGAATTGTATGTTCTGCTTGCAGAATTACTTATATAACTCTTCCTTGCCCCAAAAATAAGTGCCGCCAGATGTGTCGTACAATCCTCCGACTTTCAATTTTCGCGAGAAATGACAGGTGACTTTTTTCCTGTGAATGGTTGTAGCAGAAGACGCAATAATCAACAGTTTCATTTCCTATATTTGATAAAAGAGAAGTGACATTTGGAGATTGTGGGGGTTGGGCATAAAAGTAACATTTGACAAATCAATTGAAGTTTATTTGTACATATGCCAAAACACCATGTACAGGGTGTTTTATTTGCAGCCCGCAATAGCAACATGTCCCTATACCTGGCCTAAGCTCTTTTAAGACAAGCATTAAAGAATCAACATCACATTTTGCCAGATAAACTATCAGAGCACAAAATTTACAGCACTGGTCACATTTTAAAGCTACTCAAAACAAAATTCCAAACATAATTCCACCATAGCTTTACATTAAAATAACATAGGGTCTTTAATATAAAAAACATACAGTTACATAATGAAAATATCCACCTAGTATGATATATAACATATTTACATTGTCATAATAATGCAATGGAAAGATTCTCAACAATAATAATATATGCTCTTTATCGGCAATTGGAAGGAAGTCATATGAAACTCTCACTCATATTGTTGTCATAGGATCGGAGGTTATCTGAAGACAATGCCATTCTCATTTGGTTCCAGAAAAGGGGTTGAGCCCTTGGGTTTCTCGGCCAGGACAACACGGACTTCCTGCACAACCGTTTCCTCAACTCGAGGTACTTCAGTTTGGGAAACATCTCATCCAACAGAACCAGTATAGCTGCGTCCACCTAGATAAAATGAGAGACGATTTATTGTTGTGAAAATATGGCAACAACGGGGTAACCCACAAAACCCTTGGGCAAATCCAAAGTAAATTTCACCAACCTTCTCGTCCAGAAGCCGCTGCTGAACCATGAAGAAAGCCTGGCGGATCACACCGGTGACCCTTTCACCGCCAGTGGCGCCACTGGATAGCACAAACACTGTCTTCGCGCTGTTGTAGACAGCATTATGTAGATTTTCAATACACGAAAGCCCAGGAATCCAGTCCCTCTCCTCCAAACAGAGAGAAAACCTCCTGTGACCCGTGTTCTCCAGAATGACCATTAACTCATTGTAGACCCAATCCCTCACAGCCCGGTTCTGGGTGTCAAACACCACAAAAGCATCGTGGCGATATTGCGAGTCTCTTCCAGCAAGCTGGGAGTAGCCTTTGTGACCGGCCCAGAGTACCTGCAAGCAGTACCACAGATCCCAGCCGTAGAGGTGCTTCAGAAGGGGCAGAACGGTGAACGCCACAGCAAAGAAGGAACAGACGACGAAGGCTAAGCCACCATAAATGTCCTGGCAGGAACGCTGGTCCATAGACAGTACACTCACACCCTGCTGGGACTCTGGGTAATCACAGTGTACATCTGTGGTGAGATATGGAATCTGTACAGGAGTAGTGCGCAAGAAGTCCGCAAACCAAGACGTGTCACAGTCACATTTGAAGGGGTTGGCATGCAGTGTGAGTTTCTGAAGGGCGCTGCCGTTTTTAAAGGGTGCAGGGAGAAATTGATGGTTCAACGCTTTGATCTGGTTGTGGCTGAGATACAGGTAGTGCAAGGATGTCGCCATTCTGAAGAAACCCTCAGGAATGTTAGTAAGGTGATTGTGACTGAGGTCTAAGAGGGAAAAATCGACTCCAAATTCAATGACTGTATGCGGCAAGTAGTAGAGGAAGTTTTGACTCAGATTCAAGTGACATAAATTGGCGAGTGCTGAGATATTTTGCCATGGGAAATACTTCAGCAAATTGTTGCTGATGCTGAGGGTCTCTATGCTTCCGGGAAGGTTAACCAGCACTTCTGGGGTGATTGACGCCAGATGATTGTCAGAGATGTCAAGGAAGGTGAGGTTCGTAAGGTTTTGAAAGAAATGAGTGTACTTGTTATCAGAATCCCACATAATGTCCAGGTGGTTTCCAGAGAAGTAAAGGTACTTCAAAGAGCGGCTGATCAGCCGATGATCTATTCGCATCCCAATCCCGTTGTTTGCCAAACTTAGAAATTCTAGGTTTGTCAAATTTTGAAGGAACTCAAAACGGTGGCCCATGCCCCTCATTTGGAAGTGAAATTCATTGCCACTAACATCTAATACCTTCAGTGTCTCTTTAAGCTCACTCAAAGCATCTTTATAGTAAAAGTCAAGTCTATTGTATGACAAAATAAGAACAACTAATTTTTTCATATTCTTAAAAAGGCCGCTTTTCAATGCTTGATTCATGTAATTGTAGGAAAGGTTTAAACAAACAGCATTTTCCATCCCAACAAACATATTATTGTTAATAGACAGAATGTCATTTTGAGAGAGGTCCAATAGCAGTTTACCATTGCAGAATTTTTTTTTAAAGTCTAACAAAGATGGAATTTGTGACACATTGTTTTCAAACAATGCCAGCCGTTCTGAATGGTTATATTCCCAGGTGTCACTTCCCGATGTGGCTTTTCGATCTATTAGCATAAGGGTCTGGTCAGGAAAATTATGCGAGTACGATTTCTGGTTCTGACAGCTTTCTTGTTGCCCAATCTGAAAGGAGGGACTGGAGCAGCAGGGATGGAAATTAAGCATGTTTTGGGAGAGGTCAATATTGATGAGGGACGTTGACCGCTTCAGAGATGTCATGTTACAAGTATTGATGAAGTTCATTCTCAGTTCTAGGACTTTTAGATTTTGCAGCTTGGAAACAATATCAAGACTCTCGAGAGAGAGCGTGTGGAAAAAGTTTCCAGTCAGAAGAAGACGTTGCAGATTAGACATATTCCCAAAATAGGGGGACAGGATCATTTCCCGAAATGTCCATAGCGGCTCGTAGTTATAGATGAGGCTAATCCAAGTGAGGCCCTTCAGTTCTGCAAAGATAGTTCCGTTACGTATAGTATATGCCAGGAGGTTGTCAGATAGATCTAATCCCTTTAAATTCTCCAGAGGCCAAAAAAGAACTCCGGCAAGTTTACAAAGAGTTTCCTCTCAAGCTGAGGAAGGCGATGTTGGATTTCATAAGCATAGAACGAGTGTGGATTTAGGCCTAGGGGGAGATTACCTGGGCAAGGAAAGCAGGGTCTGGCTGCATGGTCACAGCGCTGGCAATTCCACTCCAAATTCAAATCGTTGAGGAGAGTCAGGTTGGCAAATGCATATTCTAAGACTTCTGTAATTCTATTCTCTTTTAAATCCAGTCTCTCCAATGAGGGTGGCAACCCTTTAGGAATAGCGCTGAAATTATTGTACCCCAAGGTAAGGATTTTAAGTTTTGGGAGCTCTCTGAAGACCCTTTCACTGATGTTAAAGGACTGGTTGCAAGGATTTACATAAAAGCAGTTGGAGTTGAGGTGGAGAATTTGGAGATTTGGAGTATTTAAAGGCTGTAAAATGTTGAAAATGTTATTAAACTGTAGGTCGAGAACCATCAGGCTTTCGGGTAACCAGGGAATAGTGGTGAGGCTGTTTCCTGACAGATACAGATATTTGAGCTTCAATAGTCTCTTGAATGCATCGTCGTGGATCTCCATTTTGCACGAGCGGTCCTCCAGAGCTCTCAGGTCACCTGGCTGGCAATTACCCTTAATTTCCAGAGTTTCGAGGTTTGGGACACCCGACAAAGCATGCTGCCTCAATTGAAGAATCTTCGTCTCACTTAAATTGAGCGACACGACTGTAGGTGACCGGATGAAGGAGAAACTCGTGAGAGGTCTGCCGTAGCAGTCTACTGCAGTGGTATTCCCATCAGTGTCACATGGAAAGAAGACGGTATTTATCATCCTCACTATTGGAAGAAGCTGACAAAGGATGAGGAAAATGTTCAACATAGCCTGAAAGAAAAAAAGAAAAAGAAAAAACTTTGTCAATGTTTCGGAAGACGCAGTCTGAAAGCTATTTAATTTGAAAAAAATACCAACCATATTGGTAAAATTGTAATACCACCATATACATCCCATTGTTATAGCAGCTACAAACAGCTGTAAATAAATCTTCTTAGCTTTTTGGAGCGCCATCCCTCAGGCCCGTTTGTCCATAAAACGTTACAATTCAGGTAAATCATTTTCTTACAACTTGCGGCGGCAGAACAAACATGTTATCTTACTTACCATAGCAGGTATTCTACCATTCACATCAAGGGCAAGACGAAGCACTCGTCCAGGTTAGGAGAGGAAATATGTGAAAACGGTCCCTATAACTCACTGCAGTGACTAGACTAGATACACTTATGCAGAAGTGAAAGCCTGTGGTAAACACACAACAGCGTGACACAAATCATGTGGGCTCTGTCCAATTCCCGTAGGGCATTCAGAAATTATGAAATTAGGAGATTTGCATAGAGTATGACAACTATTAAACAATGCTTTTATGACATTGGACAAACAAACAAAATGGCAAGAGAAAGCGTATTTCTGGACAGGACGAGGGTTTCAGGGTGGACGAGGATGGGTGCTTCCTCATTGTAGGGAAATTCTAAAGAAAAAAGGAATGAGGAACCACTTGATCACCTGCTTCAAAAATGTTTTTTAATGTAAATAAATGCATACTTATTGATTCATTCCACACTAAGCATATTTTTTACAATCAATTTATTAAGTGCACTGTATCATGAAATTCATTAAAACAAAAGAGCATTTATTATTTATCTTCAAACTCAACTGAGACACTGAAGTCATTTCTGTGTGTGTAAAGACGGCTAAAAAGAGAAGAAAAAAACCTGCATCACCTGGTTAATCAAAGCTGCATAAAAACATCTTTTATTGCTGTGTTAAAATATATCTTCCCATCCCCTTATTGGAAGTAAATGTGTCAATCACCGCAGCCAAAAGATAGATAACAAGTAAAGAGTAGGAATACAAAGCGTGTTCTGGCTGGAGAGAAAGTTCAATGCTTTGGCTTTGACCTCACACGGTCCTGGAAACAGGAGCAGAACTTTCTTCATACAGAGTAGTGTATTTTCCCTGAAGCAGCAACAACAACAGCCTCAGCACACCACTGTGTCTTTATCTGGTATTCACATCACTGATATAAGTGCTGAATTATCCACACAGCGATGTTCATGAAGCCATCAGACTCTGCATCAACCTTGGAGAGAGAGTGATTGTTCCCAGGGTACCATAGTATCCTAAAACACACACACACACACACACACACACACACACACACACACACACACACACACACACACACAGGAGCATTAGTCAATAAACAATAAAACCCCCCATGTGCAGTACATATCTGAACGTGTTACTCAAGACCAGCTGCTTACCGGACTGGGACCTGCTTTGCTTTCAGAGCTCGGTAATATTCAATTCCTTGCTTGTTTGGTACGCGCTTGTCGTCTTCCCCTAAGGTCAGCAATACAGCTGTCTGTACCTGGAGGAGAGATTTTTTGAGGTTACCACACTGTGCAACAACCCCAATGAAGTCACGTGCACCGGCACAGAAATATTTATACCTGCGCGACGTGTTTAATGGGAGACTTGTTCAGCATCTCTTTCCAAACAGCTGGGTCAGGTAGACAGTCTGTACTGTAGTCGTAGCCGGCCTCCACCATGCACCTTTAAAATACCGGCCAACAAGAGGAAGAAAGCACAACACAGAATGGCGTTGAGGTGTTTTGTTCCTGCATTATTCAATACTTCCTCACCGACAGCGAGGCAGACACACGTCCGTCATCTGACTCGCAGCTGTCAGAGCGCAAGGGCAAGGGTTCAAATGATGCAAAAAACATCTACCGGCACGGTCACAAAACAGGCAAACAAAGGGTGTGCGAGGACGGGGGAACGTGCACGCCAGGATGTACCAGTCCGGGATGTCTGTGCTGCCAATCATGGAGGCTAGATTGGTGACGGGGTTGCGAGCCACACAGGCCTTGTAGAACCCTGGGTACTGGCCGATCAGGTGACAGGCCAGAAAACCACCATGGGAGCCCCCAGAAACTGCCACCTTCTGCATATCGAACAGGTCACCTTTCAGAACACTTTCCACAGCAAACTGGTAAGAAAAAACACAGGGAACCGTGAGAGATCGTTTGTAGTAGAGAAGAAAGAAAGACACACTGTGGCAACTAACCTACATTAAATATTATAAAAGCTGTTTAAACAGAGCAGCGCTGGAGGTCATTTTATCAGAAGGCGTAAGATAGTGTAATGAATGATCTATTTGAAGATTTTAATAAGGTAGTAATCGTTTCAAAAGCAGCATTGGAGGCGTGTATTGTTCTTACTTGGACATCTTTGACGTCCTGGGTGCCAACATTGCCCGGTAGTGAGAGGATACTGTCCTGGCCATACCCAAGAGAGCCACGATAGTTCACTAAGCACAAAGAACAAACAACACTAGAGTTAAATCTCATTACTTATCTTTTTATAATCATATGAAACTTGGCAGAATCAGCATATTCGTTCTCGAGTAACGACCAAGAACCGGTTATGTGAGGTCAAGTTAACCTTCGGCAGACAAATTTCAATCATCTCATCCTTGATGAGGTTTTACGCTTGTGCCGTACGTAATGAAATTTAGTAGTCGTCCCTGAGACGTTATCTACACACATATGCCATAAGTATGGATGGACAGAGGAAGGAATGGACGGACAACCCCAAAAATATGATGCCACTGCCTATGGTTTCTGCGCGGATATAAATAAAACATTATTTTTCTCTAGTAAATATATCAGGCAAGTTATGATTGTTTATTAAAAAAAATAGTAAAAGTAAAATATAAACATACCGAGTAGTGTAGCAAAGCCCATCCTGCACAGCACGGATGAGGACAGAAGCCAATCAGCTACGAACACCGAGTGAGGACCCCCTAAGTAACAGAAACACGTTAATCAGATGTATATTTAATATGTCAGGAATAACCTTGATTTTGAGAGCATGAATAAGCAGTGTGTTACTACGGGTGATATTGTCATAACAAACACTGTTTTGTGGTTGAACTGTGGCACGAACATGTGAAGGACTACAAACAAATACCAACACAAATCTAATATCCACTTGATATTATTTTAGCTGTTTGTAAGTACTACATTGGGTGAAACTGTACAACAATTAACAATAAGGTACCACTACTGGAATACAAAAAGAATATGGACTACAGATCCATAACGGGAGCAACCAACCATGAGGAATGACAACAAGAGGCAGCTTCACTGCATCTGGAACCTTCTTTGGTTTGATCAGCAGAGCTTCAAAATCAAGACCGGCTGGAAGATGGAAAGAAAACAGTTAGTCCTGTCAGATCGCAGTCTACCGTAGAAGAATAATGTTTTTAAACCTCCATAAAAACACAATTATTCTGTCTGAATTCAAATAAAACATCTCAGCCCAAGCCCCCTAATGTACTTCAGGTCCTTCTGCGAGGAATCCTCTCAAAATACCAATGAAATATTCTTACGGTATTGACTGTTGTCTTGCTCTGGTGGAGGGGTGAAAGTCAAGATCTGCCAATCGATTTCAGACATTGTCTGAGTGTCTTCCAAAGTAACCCATACCACTTCCTCCTGAGAATCCCTGGGCGGAAGGAAGCCCACCCTCTGGGACACAGACGACATTTAGAGATTCGGTTTTTTTACTAATAAGGGACCCCAACATCATCCCAAAAATGTGATTAACGAATAGCACATAAGGTGTTTACTGTATAAAAATGAGAACAATAAATAAAGCCCACGTATCCTACCAGACTAGGAGGGCAGTTTGGAGAGGAACAGCTGACCACCATTAAATCTCTCTGTATGTTCAGCAGACACCAGCTGCCAACGTCAGTCCCTGCAGACAAACAAAGAACATCATCAGAACATAATTTTCTGAACAACAAAAGGTTTGAAATAAACATGTTCAAGTTTCTCCGCACACTGACCCTGTAGGAAAATCCCCTATTGGAGAACGTAAACACCAATAAAACATGTTGAAACACGCTCATGATTTTACTAAGGGCTGATAAACGTGCCGAACCACTCACCTGAAGTCAGAGAGGTGACGCTCCCTGTGCTTGTATTCACCATCAACAGATCCTACAAAAGAAAACAACAGCATTTTACTGTACAATAACAATACAATTTGTAATACTATAAGTAATAACCAGAAACTTCCCAGGAGTTTACTGTACCTTGCGGCTGCGCTGGGGACAAGATACAATAACACGCTGACTATCAGCTGACCAGCACTGAGGGGACAACAGAGAGCTGTAGATACCAGCGAAGCCATCTGTACCACACACACACACACACACACAAATATTTTTGATTTTTATACAAAGTTTCAGTTTACGTCCACGTCTGCCTAAAATGACAGAATTTCAGTTTTTGATTCCTATAGATCAGGAGTGTCCAAACTGCGGCCCGCCATCCATTTTTAATTGGCCCGTATCGAAGTGTAAAAATATAATGCACTATGCCCACTGTGCTGCACTTCTTAGTTGAACACGGTTGTGAAATTGTCAACATAATTCGGGCACGAGGGCTTTACCACAGAGAATTTCATGCGTTCCTCTCAGGTGCTGAATACGGGACCTACGCTGCCATTCTGAGGTGCGCAGCGGCTTTATTCCCTGAGATCAAATAATCTACATGTTTTTGAAAGAAAAGGGTAGACCTCTCCATGAGATCCCTGACCCTTTATGGTTGGCAGACCTGGCTTTTTTAGTTGATCTCACTGATCATCTCGACACCCTGAAGAAGAGACTACAAAGAGCAGCTGGTGCCGCAGCTGCATGCGCACATGAAAGCATTGCGTGAAAAGCTCCGTCTCTTCGAGTCACAACTGCAAAATGAAAATCTACTAATGGAGAGCTAAGACGGAAGCTTTTTTTCTTCAAACATGTTCAATTATCAAATGGAATTTACCTGCATTTGTTTGATTTTGCCAATATTAGTGCATTAGAAGTGAGGCAGTATACCTCATGTGCAGTGAGAGAGCCAGTTCTTCATATATTTTTCGAAGAACTGGGCCCCTCACGAAAAAGAGTTTGGACACCCCTGCTATAGATGTTGAAATTAGCATAATTAGCATATTCATTATTGAGTTATGGTCCTAAACCTGTTTTATGGTGTCAAAGTGACCTTTGCCAAACAACTTCTAATCAGTTTATCATGTGTAAGGCGTGAAAGCGGTGCCCTCACACTGCCATCAAGCATTCCTTACCCTCTCCAGGTCTTTTCACCACGTCCACCACCACTGAAGTCTTCTTGGTATACCAGTCATACTAAAAACAAAAGGTGCAATCACAGAGGCAAGCATCGCATGAAATCGACAGAAAACAGCAGATGGTGAATTGTGTGAAGAAACATTTTTTTATTTTATTTTTTCCATCGAGTAAGTGCTAGAATTGAAAGTTATTGTGTCTTACCATACAGAGCCTGCTGCACTGCATGTGTGGTCCATAGACAGAACATTCCAGGTAGACAATCCGACACTGGTCTGGGCTCAGCCTGGGGGAGCACACCGCACTTGTGCCTGATGTTAGCTGCTCTGAGGGACGCAGCAAATACAATAAACTTAAACATTTGCAGTAATAACAACTGAACATATAATGAGACCAACATTCACTTACCACATTTCTCATCAGTAAGATCCACATAGAACAAAGATGACCTAACGCAGAAAAGAAAGAGGTGAATAACTACAAGTAAGTCTTGATAGACAAGCATTCATTTTTCGTATTGATCGGTGTTGACAGTGATCACCTCCTGTTGGGACAGTACTTGAGGCCAATTCTGAAAGGCTCATGCCACCAGCCCACAAACACCACGCCTGTGTCCCCTGGAGCCCAAAATGCCTGCAGAGACAAATAGACCGAAAGAGAAAGCAACGGAAAAGGCATGAGGGTTTGAGCAGAATCTTCGTGCACAAAGAAAAAAGAAATTGCATCATTGCCAAAATTGCTGTAGCAACCTGTCCGGGTGAGATGTCGTCAGGGACCCCCTCCAACACAGAGACGTTGTCCCCCTCAATGTCCAAAACACAAAGCACCGGACAGCTCTTACCAACGAGTGCCTCTCCCCAGTCCTCATAGAAGACAAACTGCTCCCCCTGCAGGGGTAAAAAGCAAAAACACAAACAGGTTGACAAAGAGGGGAATGTAACCTAAGAATGTTGAATAAACCTTAATAAACGTTTAAAAAATAATAATTTTCATTCACCTTTACAGCCTCTTTTTTCTCAACGCTCATGGTTTCCTCCTCGTCCCCAATAGAAGACAACTCTGGTGACTCACTCTAGAAAACAGATAATGAAACATTAAATAAGGAGTTATTGCCTATTAGTCTGAGGAATCCAATACACAAGTCCCATCTATCCACTGAGGAAAACGCTCAATGTAAACCAGAAAATCACAAATGGACAGAAAACTCGCTTCACTACTCTGACGGCCATAACCCATTCAGTGTTGTAAAGATATTTCGATTTTGAAAGGCAAAAGGTCAAAATTCTTCAAAAACTCCATTCACCCAATGCCGGTTATGCTATGCTGTTGAGCAATACACTTTTAAAAAGTGCTATGCAACAACCAGTGAAATACATTTGAGCCGGTTTGGCGAGTGTGCCATCTGCTGGGGCCATTCATCCAGCAGCAAAGTCATTTAGTATCATCTAGCATTTATAAATGTATAAAATGTATCTTAGCAAATTCTATACAGAGAACCACAGAGTAGCTAGCAACTCGAACCATTGAGGGTTTACCAATAGATGGTGTTGCATGCTTTGCAGATTGTAAACCAACTTGGGGGAACGTGTGATACTGGCTGAAAACATTGATTAAATAGACTTGCCAGTTTGCAGTGTTGAACACAACCGTATCCATGATCTTGGGTACGATCTAAATGCTTGATTTGCAACCTAAAGACAGCTGAGCAGCCCCACGTGATTCTGTTCGGGTATTTCGTCAAATATAGATTTGCTGACAGACCTGGAAGAAGGATTCCGCCTTAGGTCTCTTCCTTTCTGCTACATACAAGAGGTGGGTCTCAGAGTGGGACCAAACCAAGCAGCCAAACTGCTCTAAAGAAAATACAAAACACAGTGAGATGAACACCGTGAGCAGCTCAGGTAACACACAGTTTCAATGTTTTGTTTTTTTAAATGCAGATTTCAGTGTAGTTAACTCACCATCTTCATAGACTTTGCCATGCTTCTTTAAGGCGGTTAGATTGATGCTTTTCATCTTCACGTTTTTACTCCATACCTGAAAGGTCAATGAGAGGTCACATGAGGTTTTAGACCTCAAGGTGGAAAATGTAAAGGAGCAGATGGGATACAGGTGAGCACCATAACAAAGCAGTTATTGGTAGTTTGGCCACAAACACACCTCCAGAAACTGTTTGTCCTCTCCATTGACTTTGCACTCTCTGACCACGGCCTTCATTTCACCTGAGGGAGAATCCTTACTTTGCACTCTGACGGGGGAAGCAAATCAGATGAGACGACATCATTTAATCTGTATACATGGAACATATTCGAGCAACAACTACTGTTACGTACTCTCCTTTGATTTCAGTGCAGTTGCCCGAGGCTGCGGAGTACACCACCGACTTCTCGTCGTGGAATACAATGTACTGTCGGCAAAACTTGACGTTCTCGTTCCTGTCCAGATCGCGCTGGCTCCATTCTGCGAAATAAAAGTCGGTTCAGAAACCGAACGTCTTCCGCATAAACGACGATCTCTAGTGTGGCTCTAGCGCGCCCGGTCTACCTGTGTAGATGTTGCTGTATTTGCCTCCATACTGAGAGGTGACGACAGGTCCCACGTCGGCTCTGCTCAGGGACGGGAAGAGACTGAGTTCTCTGTAGAGCCTGGCGATGTCCCCCGGCTCGGTCACCACCACCTGACGACAAGGCACACAATGGCTCATCGCACCGACGCCGCTACGGCCCAAAGACACCAGCTTACCGACGGCAAACAGCGCCTTGCTCATGTGCTAGCTAGCGAGCTAACCAAGCATCGCTTTTAAGTTGGTAAAAGTTAACACAGTGCACCGCGGCAGAGACGGCGGTTAGTCCTATTGATGCGTTATGCTAACCGACGAGGAAGACACAAAAGCAGAAAAGTGGGCAGGCTAGTTTGTTTTTAGCAGTGCGATTACATTTGACAGGAAGTTCCTGTAGGAGCCGAAGGGTGGAAACAACAGGACCAATGTCAGTGTTTTGTGCGATTTGAAAAACTGCTTCATGATAACTGAGCACTTATTTTAAATACCAGCTATTGCGATATATACACCAATGTCAAGGTATCTTTTGTAGGGCACGTTAACTGTTCAGAAGCAAAAGAATAAGTAGTCAGAAGAGTGGAGGCAAACCTGTGACTTCATCATAGCGACGGTCTGCGTCTGCAAAGCAGTTGCTGGTACAATAGAGTAGTTAAGGTGCGCCTGTGTAAAATTAAAGGGAAACAAACGTACGACCTGGTTCAGCTTCCTCTTTTAACCTAAACAATAAGGTAAATAACTGTTAAGCACTTCCTGGGTGGACCGAAATACTGGAAAAAAAGATAAATAATTCATATATGGCATTTTTAAAATCAAGACAGTCGACAAGGATCGTCGTGCGTCATATATAAACAGTTTTTCATAGTAGTCACATTTTTCAATACCTTTATTTTGGTAGGAACGTCACTTCTACGACACCGAAAAGGAAGTGATATACTAATTCAATCTTGCGTTCCACGACCGTAATCTTGACAGTGTTTCACATTGAGTTTATACCGCAAGAAAAGTTATTGCACTTAGTGTGTAGCATTCAACGTCGAAGCACGGTAATACGAGCATTTTACGAGACGTGGTTTGAAATTACTTTCTGGCTTGCATTCCATTTCGTATGAGCACTCCTTCTGTCAGTCGGCTGGGGTAGGTGGGGTCACAAAGAGCCAAGATGGCTGACTTTGAGGAGCCGCTGTCAGATGACGAAAAGGTTTGCAAACTATTTTATTCTTTGCACAAGGTCGTTTCCTCTCATTTTTAGACACGCACGCATGTTATATAATCACACGACATAATGGCTAAGTTTTTGGAGAGTGCGTGCTTTTTTCCCTCGTATCAGTGATAAACCGCTGTCTTTAAGCTACAACTGACGTTAGCTAACTAGCCAATGCTAGTTAAAGCTCATAGTTGGCGCTAGTAGCTAACGTTTGAAGCTAGAATTGTGGGGTTTTTTTACTGAACGTAATGGCTATAACGTTACCTAGATAGAAAGTATCGCCGCCCGTGTCCAAAAGTCGGGTTCCAATTTCCATGCCAGTCTGCAGTATTTACAGAGCAGGCTGCGCATTCCTCTCGTGTAATGTTAGCTAGCTGTGGCGGCTAACGTTACTTTGCTGTGGATTCTCTGGATCAAACTGGCTCAAATACTTACTGACCACGAACACATGAGTTTGAGGTCATAACGAGGGTTCCTACAAGTTAGGAGCCTGACGATGACACCATATCGTCTAGACGTCTATCGTCTAGACGCCTTATCAGTTGGAGGGAAAGCACAAACTACAATGAATGACAGATGTTGCCGTCGTTCTTCTCCAGGGTAGATATTACATTTTACGCGTAACGTTATCTTAATACCAAACAACGGGGAGTGGCAACAGTCTCCCAAAATAATCGAGATATATATGTTTATACGTCACCTATTGGCGTTCAACTGAAACATGTAATGCCAAATGATGGCATGATTTTATAGAGTTGTGACTTGATCCGTCTTATTTAGTGCAGTGTCCAATTCTGTGTTCATAAAGAAGTGTCTCACGTGTCAATTATACTTTTTGAAGGAAACTATTTCATAAAACATGCTTTCGGCTACTCTGCTCTGCTCTATAACATACTACAGTCGTTTTTAAGAACAGATAAAGACCAAAAAAGTTAAGCTAGTTGAATCACAGGAAATGTATGCATTCTAGATTTTGCAATGACAGCGCTGTCATTGCAAAATCTAGACGTATTGGTTTTCTTAATGAGGTGTATGTATAAAGAATCTGAGTTTGTAGCATCTCACTTTTGTATTTATTATTATTATCATGATCACATTATTAAATTGTTCTCATAGGTTCGCATAGCGGCCAACTTTGTGACCCATGCCCCCCCCGGAGAGTTCAATGAGGTCTTCAATGGTAAGAAGCAGCGGATTATGACAAGATGCACATGATAATACGGTCTTCAGCATAATATAATTTGCCTCTTACGATAATATTTATTTATTTTTAAAGAGAAATCAAACCCATTGTTTCTTTTTGTGGTGATAGATGTGCGGCTTCTTCTCAACAACGACAATCTCCTTAGGGAGGGGGCATCACAGTAAGTAACACCGAAAAATGCTGGTTTATATATTGGGCAGAGAGGAATGGAAGCATGGCAAAGGGCAAAAATTTGATGAAAGATTTCTTTTGTCCAGCTCCTTTGCCCAGTACAACATGGATCAGTTTACTCCTGCCAAACTAGAGGGTTACGATGAGCCGGTATGTTTTATCCTCAACTTTTTCTATTCATCCCAAAAGAGCTGGTGTCAAAGCCATACTTGGTCATCCTTTCCTTCCCCTCATTCATAGGTCCTGATTACCGAGCATGGTGACTTGGGCCAGGGACGTTTTCTGGACCCACGCAACCGTCTGGTGTTCCGCTTTGACCACCTGCGAAAGGAGGTGAGCGACGTGCAGCCATATGAGGGAGAGACACCCTTGAGAAGCTGGAGAGAGGCCTGTGATACTTCCCTTAGTGCCTATGTCAAAGAGCACTACCCAACTGGAGTCTGCACGGTAAGGCACATGACAATTGTGACAAAATAGTCCTCTAGGCCATAGACTACATGTGACCTCTACTGTCTGTGTGTTGCAGGTATATGGGAAAACCGTTGATGGTCAGCAAACAATCATAGCCTGTATTGAAGGACATCAGTTTCAACCCAAGAACTTCTGGTTCCTACAAAACACTTTACATAAGCTTATTTTGACATCTAGTACCAGTCGAACGTTTAATTGAATAAGAATGTGTGTCCAAACCTTTGACTGGAACTGTATGTATAAGGAGATGTTGCCAATTAGCTTTTCTATTAAGCTTGCTGATTCTGCTGTCTGTTTGTAATGTTGGGCTTCTCCTCTGTTTTCTCACACAGGAATGGTCGCTGTAGGTCAGAGTGGAAGCTTACCATCGGTCAGTCCACTGCTCAGGTGGTGGGAGTGTTGAAAATCCAGGTGAATTTGGTTTGCGCATCCTCTGAAATTATAAATGAGTGGAAGATTTTCCAAAAAATGTTCCCTCATTTACTGAGATATTCCTTCGTATCAAGGTGCACTATTATGAAGATGGGAATGTGCAGCTGGTTAGCCACAAGGAAGTAGAGGAATCAATACCAGTGACTGTAAGTAAAACATGTTTATACATGAGCTCACCTGCAGTCATTGGAACTGCTCACCTGCAGTAGAACAAACATTGTGTTGCTTACAAAGCTAAAAACTGTCTTTCACTTCCAAGTTTGTAAAGAGGAAGTGTTTCATCTGTAACGATAAGAAGAGATGATTATGTGTTTTTGAAACAGAATGAAAGCCAGACCACCAAGGAATTTGTTGACATTATTGAGAACGCAGAAAATGATTACCAGGTAAGCAAGCATTTATTGAGTACACATTTCTTCATCAACGTGTGCATGAATAAACATTTTGAAAATAAAACATTAAATTCCCTTTTTTTTTTTTTATTTGCTTTCAGACTGCAATCAGTGAGAACTATCAGACCATGTCCGACACCACCTTTAAGGCTCTGCGTCGGCAGCTTCCCGTCACACGCACAAAGATCGACTGGAACAAGATACTGAGTTACAAAATTGGCAAGGAGATGCAGAATGCCTAGTGGGGGGTCACACACACACCACTAGAACCTGCATATACATGGGCAAGGAATAACCAAAGCAAAGCGAGAACAGTATGGGGCAAGGAATTAATTTAAAAACAAAGTATAACTGAAGATCTACACACTGTAAGGCACTCATATCCCCGCTGTAAGGAAGTTGCGGTTACGAAGAGGAAAGTGGTTACTTCTTGGTGTGTGTTGTGTAGGGTCAGTGTGCAGGGCTGTGCTCAGGACTGCTACATTTATTTAAAAAAAAAAAAAAAATCTGCCGTATAAGTAATCTTAAGACTTTCTGAGATTCATGTGTCAGAAGTCCCAATAGTTTTCCTTAGTTAGACTCATGCAGGACTGTGATCATTCAGCTGTGGACAGCTCAGCACTCTGAGTGAAGGAGCAGAAAGGCACAACACGTCTGATATGAGAAATCAAGCACACCATCACACATCGGGGTCTGATTTAAGACGGGGAAATGGGAATTTTTGTTCAAGTTTTGGTTCCATTGAGGATATCGTGCATGGTAGGATTGTACATCTGAGGATTCTGTAGAATTGGGATACTGACAGGAAAAATCAATAGCAGTCATTTGACGTTGTAACTCGTAACAAACTTAGTGATGCGTAACTGTAACCTGTTAGTGAAGTTATACGTTGCTAATGAAATGGCCAGTATTTCTACCTGTTAACATTCAGGAGTGGCACCATCCTCAGCATAGCTCTGTCTCTACGCTGTAAAACCTGTTTGTCGGTGGCTGTAAGGCCCAAGAGAGTGTTCCCTTGTTTTCTGTTGTGTTTCACTGATGTGTCTCCACCCATGCAAGCAATGATGACTGAATTAAGATAAAGCAACTTCCATGCTGTTGCATCTTTAATGCATTCTCTGTTCTGTTACTTTGGCAACACCACCTACATTGCTGTACAGCTCTTCCTCTGTGAAAGGAAAACAAACTCATATTAACCAAGATTTATTTGCCAAAATGTCTTTCCTATGGTAAAGAACTCCATCCTCACATGTATGCAAATTTCTATTTTAATATGCTGGTTTTTGTTGTCTTAGAATATTGCTCTTAACTGTAACAAACTGTAGTGGTCAACGCTAAGCGAATGCAAAGCAGTTGCCATGGAAGGCAAGATACTATATTTGACTCATGACACGTGGAAGGCCATATGATACCGTTTGTTACACGTTACATTATGTCGAAGAAGGCTGACGCCGGATCGGTTGCTTGTTAGCTATACAATGTGCAGTGTTCCACCCTCACTATAGTACAACTGTGTGCCGCTCAGTTATAAAGTTTAAGACTGTACTGCCCCATTCTGTTGTAAAATAAATGGATTAAAAATCCTTGCTAGATTGTAACTTTTCATGTTTGCTTTTGACAAACATGTTTGTGCTATCTAATGCGGGCGTGTCGAGTTTTGAGAAAAGAATATCCTTCACAAAGCTGCTTTGGAGCATCATAATTATGTATCTTACCAACATTTCAGACCCGCTGGACTATTATTCATTATTCATGAATCTTAAAAAGAGTCGGAGTCTCTACTTGACATCAGTTACTCTTTTATGAGAAATTAAAGGGACATTAACAACAACAACAATTACAAGTACTTATCAAAATGGGCCATTTTGGAGCCATTTCATTGGTGTATCTTCTTATTGTAATTATTTGTGTTGACACTAGGGGCACTAAGCTGGGCACCTGTCTAGGTGAAGGGATTTAGATAGAAGGGCCACCAGAGCAAGAGAGCAGAGCAAGGAGGGACTACAGGGGTTGCAAACAAATATTTGCTTTTGATCTCAAAGTTTTAAATTCTGAGCATTTATTTCGATCTTTCCTTTTACAGTATTTAGTGACTTTCTTTCAGGTATATACAGTGAATTAAAACTGAAATGTTAAAACACATTCAGACTTGATGCTGTTTGACTAACTTTAGATAGTCCTGAGTAACAAACCAATCCCACCAGTTTACATTCTGACATACAGTAAGCCTTGGTGTATGTATTCTGATATAAATCAAAACATATATATATAAAATAATTACTGGACCTAGGTCCAATACTGGTTATTCTCTGACGGGAATGTAGCCTTCTATTCACCCTTTCTTAGCTCATTTCTTACTGCATTATTCTGAAATAAACTAGTAGTTTTTGTCCACTCCAACGCCAGTCCCGTATCTCATGTCGGGCCTAGTCGGACTTTAAACAGCAATGCACGTGAGCTTGCCGCACCTCACCATGGATTATATACACGGCAGCCATCTTGGTAGGGTCAGCTCGCTCACCCATTACATTGTATGTACTTTGCTAATTTTAGTTTTAAACAGTTTGGTTTGTTATAAACGTCAGATATGTATTTATGACACTGCATACCTATGAATAATTATAACCATGGGTTTTTGTACAAAAATGGTATTAAATAGAACATTATTCATATGTATGCAGTGTCATAAATACATATCTGACGTTTAAAACAAACCAAACCGTATAAAAATCGGTTGGAAATTGAGCAAGTTATTATTATTTAAAGTACCATAGTAACTTTCCCTGAGCTTAAGAAACTCATCCTGAACTGAAACCCAAACGTTTCCCTATGGCCGGTTCACTAACAATAACTCCAACATTTTCACTAAATAGGCTTTCTGAAACAGGGCATACACACAGCTCTTTAATTGTTTGGATCTCTCAATCCCACCACTTACTAGTCGAGAGTAACGTGTTAAAAACTATGTCAGGTTAACAGAACAATGCAGCACACATTCTAAAATAGACAATTTGTAGCTTTTCTTATTTTTTCCCCTTAAAAGAGACGCATTATTGTAAATGGTCGGAAACTTCCTGTTGCCGTATACATCACCATCATCTGACCTCTGACCTCTGTAAGCATGACTAATCAATCCCAAGCGTCATCTCTATACACAAAACAAGCTCATCAAATATATAATAAAGTATCCTTACAGTTTTTCAGTTTTTAACCCAGTTAACACCTTAAATTTAGGTTTGAACTTGTTTTACAAGACTTTGCTTACTGTGAAACTTTTTAATTTATGTTTATAGCCTCTGCATTAAATAAACAAACCCTTTCGTCCTTTTGACTCTTTTTTTACTGCAGCTTCCAAAAAAATAAATAAAACAGAACTAGATATTGGAGGTGTTCATGATATGCATATTTATTATAAGAGACTGTTGGACATTGCCTCTCACAAACAGTGTATAAATCTACAGACTTAAATTGATTAATAAATTCTTGATTTTAAAGATTTTAAAAAAGAACAGTAAACCTAAAACAAACATGTGTCACACAACACAATGTCAGCTGTTTCGACAGTCCCTCTAGAAACAGTTAAAGTAGCAAGATTCAAACCTTTTTGTCCCCATCATGTCCATTGAGGAAATGTCCCCAAAGAGTTGTCACATAATCGTGACACAGTCCTTGGTTTGAGTAAGGCAGAAGTTAAACTTCCCTGAATCAAAATAATATAAATTGTTGACGTAGAATATCTTACAGTAATGTTGTAAAAAGTGTGCCCGATTTAAGGACAATATTCAGTGTATTAATGACAAGTGTTCAAGAAAGAAAACAGCGTTTGCATGTGTTCAATCACAAAGAATCAACTGTGAATTCTACTACTACTATACTATTTACAGTATTATAGTGTTTTCATAGACTGTCTCAGGATGTCTGCAGGGACGGCATACGGATTGATTGGAGAAACATTTTAAAACTACTCACTAGTTAATGGTGTTATGTACACATTTGCTACACTCTACATCCATTTATTTCAGCCTTTGACTTGCTATACAGTGTCGCTTCTGACTTAAGTCTTCATTTCTTTTCTCTTCATGCTCAAATAACGCATCATGTTAGAATTTAAAAAAGGAGTGTTGTACTGTAAGATCTTGTTAAAAAGTCTTTCTTCAAAACCAAACAGGTCTTTAGCTTGTTGTATTCATAGGCATGGTTTCTTAATATATAATAAAAGTAAAAGAGAACGTAGAAAAAACATATATAAAAGAGTAAAGCTAGGAATATTTATGGAATTTTATTTAATCAACTTAAAATATAGTATAATAAGATTTATTAAGTTATTTTGTGGTTGTTTTAGGTGACAAACTCTCGAATGCATTTGTTTGAACCAGTCCAGCTTTGAAGTCTCCTTCTGATCACTAGTGCTATAAAGTGGATTTAAAGGCTGGCAAAAATCGCGGTTACGGTGACTGTCGATTCGGGAGCGACTTCTTTAGCGGTTAGTTCGTATGATCTGGCCGTTAGCTGCCGGAAGACAAAACCAGGTCGGGTTCTTTAGCTCCTTCCTGCCCGCTGCTGCCGTGTCCACAGTTCCCTGTCAGTTCCGGGAAGAGGCTGGTCCGAGCAGAGTGACTCGGGGAGCCCGGGGTTGGACTCATGCCGGGCTTCTTGGGGGGAATCGGAGGAGCGTGGGTCCTCTCTGAGCGCGGAGTGAGCGGGGAGCGGATGCCCGGAGAAAGAGGCCCCGAGGAAGGAGACCTCCCCCCCGGAGGAGTTGCTGCCAGGTTGCGGTAGTCCGTGCCGAACGGAGAGCTGCTGATTGTCGCCAGCTTGGCGCCGGCCTGCTGGCTGGTGAAGCGCGACAGCACCTGGGTGACGGTGTTGCGCGCCAGCTGCTTCGCTGAGCTGTGCTCCAGTGGGGGAGGGATGGAGGAGGTGGTGGGGGAAAGGTCCCGGGGGGAAAGAGGGCCACCATGCAGCTGCTGCTCCAGCTCAGCCTGGCTCTGGAACTTGTGCCTGGCGGCGTGGAATCGCTGGTTGACGCCCGCCTGGTAGGAGGACTGGTGGAAGCCTGGGCTGCCCAGCCGCTTGGCCATGACGGGCGAGGAGATGGGCGAGGAGGAGAGGGAAGAGGAGGCCGTGCTGGAAGGAGAGTGAGGGTGCGGGTGAGGGTGAAGAGGGGAATGCAAAAGTGCACCTCCCCCGTTCTCTACCACCCCTCCGCTCTCTGGTCCTCTCCCCTCCTGCGTGGGTTCGGACTCTTTATGAGCGTGATGGCCGTTGGCCTTCGGTAGTGAGGAAGATGATTTCGGGGCGACCGTTATCTTTCCATCTGGCTCAGTCTGAACAGATGTGGACACCACCGAGGGACGTGGATCTTTCCCGTCCCTCTCAGCCTCTTTTACCCCGTCTTTACCGCCTCCCGTTTCAGTCAACCTCCACCTCAGCTCCTCCAGCTGGCTCGCGAGCTCCCTGCTCCTCTCCTGCTCTTTGCCGATCCGGGCTTTCATCTCCTCTCGCTCTGCGTCAAACTCGGCCAGCTGCCTTTCAGACCTCTCCTTTAGCTGCGCTGCCCTGCTCTTCTCACCTTCCAGCAACCCCTGGAGCTTCTCCAGGGCACTGGTCTCCTCCTGGAGCAAAGCGCGAAGTCGGGAGACCTTCTGAGCCTCCTCCTGCGCCTGGCTGCTGGCCTTTTGGAGCTCCAGAGTCAGGTTTGATGAGAGCTGTTGCTGCTGGGACAGTGACTCCACCACCTGGCTGACGGCCTGTTCCTGTTCCTTCTCTAACTTCTGCACTGTCGCACGCTCCACTTCCAGCTAGAAAGGGAAGGAGATACAAGTACAAGGATTGAGTAAACGGGTAAAGGCGAGGCAGCTTTTGCACATTTGACCACAAGGAGGCAGAAGAACTGCTTACAGTTCAACGGGATGAGAACCAGTGGTGTTTTATGCAAATATTTAAAAAATGCAACCATTGAGTGATATAATTGAGTCCTCTGCAATTCTATTTTTTTAAAGCAATTTATTTCTAGCATTAAAAGGGGTTATCATGCCTCTCACATTTGTCCATATTTTTTAATAGCCTTTTATGATACTTTTATTTCAAACTGCTCTTCTAAAATATGCACAATTTACTTCATTAGACACAACGCTTTTACAAACGAGGCTCAATTCCCATTGTTCTCCTAATTTTGGCACAGTTTCCATCTGTAATCTGTTTAATATCAGCTGCACTTGAATCCCAAAGATTAGAAAAAGGGATGAGACCTTTCGTGATGTTGAAAGTTAGATTCAGTTAGCCATTATGTCATTAGCTGGACGAGATAAAGAAGGAAATTAGAGGTGATGAAATGCAACCCGTATGTGTGTAGGATTACTGTGGTTACAAAAGCAACGCAGGCAAGAAAGCCCGAGGACGACTGAGAGACACTCAGGGAACCTCACTGACATAAGGCCCTTGTCTAAAGTTTGTATAGTGGCTGACTGTGTGCAGTGAGGATGCAGCATTAGACATGGACATTCATTATCTCAGGTTTCCTGGGGCCATAAAGCCACATGGACAGCAAAACAATGGTTTCCGCCTCATCTGTTTCCTGTGGAAGAGCCGTGTGTATGTCCATACAACCGTTTGTGTTTGTCACTGCTTTAAAAGGCCCGAGCCTTGTCCACCCTACTGGGTTACACAATAGAACTGCACTGATGCAGTCGCTGCTGATACGTTGAAGAAGGACACGGTGCAGACAAGCAGAGGAGAGGCCAATAGGAGCACAATAAAAATCCTTCACCAAATGTGCACGTTCATCCATAGGATGAATCCCAACAGTACGTCTACACTTCTACGTTCAAGCGTCAGTCATACCTGTTGCAGCAGTTTTTCCCTCTCTGTCTGCAGCATGAAGGTGAAGTCGTCATTCTGTGCAGACTCCCGAGCACGCTGCCGCTTTTCCTCCTCCAGATCAGCTATCATCTATCAAAATCAAACAATGGAACGAAAGGAATCACTTGACATGCAGGCGGGGTTGACCTGTAGAACTCACTCAACAACCGCGGTGCTCACCCTCCTGTGTCTGCTCTCAGCAGAAGCCAGCTGTCCCATCATCCTCTCCTGCATCTTCTTGCAGTGAGCCATGACCAGTTTAAGCACCGCCAGAGGGTTCGGTCCCACCGCCCGACCCTGCCGGTGTGCGTGGGACTGGGTGAGCGTATTCTGGCGCTCGGAGGACTCGCTGTCCCGCTGCAGGGCCAGGAAGGGGTCGCTGAGGTCATACTCGCCGTAGCGCTCCTGCACGAAAGCATCTCTATGCTGAGCCTGGAAACACAAAAGCAAAACAGCACACATGTAATCGTGCTTCTTTGACTGTTGACAGTCGATCCGTGCGGGATGATGTAATTGTCAATGTGAGCAAAGCAGATGGTCGTCCCTCTCAACCCAAACACAAAGAGGTGAAGCACGTCTGTCCAACCCCCTCGGGGGGCAGATGGAAACTCTTCCCTGGGGATACAGGGGTGAAGGACCGGGGCCATGAAATCAGACACAAACGCAGAGCTGTTTCTAATGAGGACGTTTTATTACACCCAAGCAAAAATAATTTCATAAAGAAAAAGACAGCTCCCCGGGGTAAAAATGAAATCCTGAGTGACTAAATATTGCATGCAATCGACAACTTTCCTTCTACCGTGCCCTACTCGGGCTTGTTGGAGAGAAACAGGCTGGAATGAAAAAAAGTGACACATAATGGGGCCTTGTTGACCTCGCCACGGGACATAATGATATATTATAGGGTGGTTTCATTAACTGCATGCAACGACTAGGTTAGCGTTCTGGAGGCCTGCATGGTCAGCTGGCAGTACCAGTGATGTAAGCCACAGAGTTCAGCCCGCGAGCCTTCGGGGAGACCCGCCGCTGTCCCCTCACGCTGTCCTCTCACGCAGTCCCCTCACGCAGTCCCCTCACGAGACGCCCCGGCTCACTCACCCCCCCCCCGCTACCCCCCTCCATCGTCTCCCTGCCCGAACACGCACTGCACTGCGTTCCTCCGCCTGCTCGTTTCTCAGAAAATGCCTCTCTCTCTCTCTCTTTACGCCCCTCTGCCAGCGTCCCCTTTTCTCACGCGCCCTCGGACGATGGCAGCAGAGACACACACACAAACACACACAGAATCCCTGAGGACATCAGTAAGGGAGGCTGCAGTTCAGGCCGAACAAAGAATGTGACCCTCAGTGAAGAGATTACAGGACCTGAACAAAGACGCAGTCTCAATGCCTTCAGTTTTACGCATTGTTTCCATGTCTGACCCATTAAGTTTCAATGTGTGAGAAAGGGTATGAGTGTGTGTGTGTTTGTATACTTTCTCTGTGTGTAAGCCATTTCCGTGTTCACCTGCGGCTGTGTGTTTTTGTGCTGGGCTTTGGAGTAGAGTTGTTAAGCTCCTTTATCGAGCTGTAGACAAAACTGCAGCTTCCTGAGTTAAATAGCTGTTTAAATAGACCATTAAGGGTTGGGCTGAGCTTGGATTGGCTGTGTCTGTTTGTGTGTGTGTGTGTGTGTGTGTGGGGCAGTCCCAGCCCGGGGTTTGATCTTCTACGGTTTTTCTCGGGACAGTTCTGATCATAATGACAGAGTGTGGCTTTTTCTATAAAGAGGGCATAACAACCAAACTATATTTGCTGCAGAAGTTCTCATTCCTGCCACGCTACTGATGAGAACTGTTTCCAAATTCCTCTCTCTCTATATATATATATATATATATATATATAAAAAGGCTATTCATTAAGTCAGTTAAGCTAGTCATTCATTTAAATTTGCATGACATATATACGAAATTCCTCTACGATTGCACGAAATGTTGTTGCCGTTGAAACCTGCGTTACAGCTTGTTGGAGAATTTCCTTCTCCAACCGCTTGCACCCTGTAATGCAACCCTGCAGTTGTGACGAGGTGTCAAAAAGAGAAACTGAGTTTTTGCACCTGCAAATATGTTGTCAGTGCGTTTACCTGCAGCCTCAGCGCACAATCAGGCCCCTGTGTGCGCTGTTAAGAGCCTGTTTCCCTCGTAGAGCCTCTGCACTGACTGTCACACAATGAAGCCAGCAGCTCTGAATGGTATCGGGTGCACATCTCCTGTTACAACTGTACGGTTTGGCCTTTTAATCTAACTCCTTAATAATAGTTTGGATAAAAGAATAAAACGAAATAGCTATCAAACTGTGCCGATATGCATATGCCTGTGCATCTGTGAGGTGTTTGCATGGTGCATTAAGGGTAACCGCCTTTTTTTGACGGGGGAACGTCTCAAATCCAGCAGCTTTGCAACAGGGACTATAGAAAAAGAATGCGTCCGTTGAGAATTAGTTTGCCAGTCAGAAGAACACTTAGGCACACCGAGACAAAAGGACGGCAGGACCAGACCTGTCACATATGAAAGGCTTCTTTCATGCGACTTAAGGAGAACCGTTTAAGCGTCTCTGCAACAAGAGGACAGAGGACAATGCAGAAGAAACCAGTATATGAGGTTGTAGTTGCTGTTGATCCTAAACCTGCCGTGCCACAGAAGCACAGTGTAATCTTCGTCCAATAGGAGACGTGCTGAAATGTGAAGCACCAGATCAACAGCAGAAAACATTGGGGCCTCCTTTTCAGATCCATGTCTGTGGCTACAATGTTTTCTCGTATGAGGAAGTAGGACTTCAGTAGTGGACAAAACTACTCCGCTACTCAATGAAGTCTTCTGGAGGTTCAATTTAGTCATTTGTGTTCATTACAACACACCAACCATATTCAATCTGTTTAAAATGATTGCAAATGTCAAAAAATGACCACAAAAAAGTATAACATAACATATTTTAACCCAACAGCACATGCCTTAGTTAGGTTGATCCCTAGAAACAGGAGGTTGTGGCGACAGTCTTGGGTTAGTGACTAATAACCAGTTAACGAGCTGCACGGGATAACTTTAATTATTATTCACGTGACTCTCTGACAGGACAGCATTATCTCGTCTTGTCTTGGAAGAGCCCAAATTGTGATAGTTCTCACTTAAAGCTGCATCTGTGGATTTTTTTTGCCACTTTTGGAAACTGTACAAGAAGCTAAAAGAGAAATTTGTGTCAATGTTTGGCTGTAAAGCCAAAATAATCGTCTTAAGGAGGCTGGACGATTACAGCCAAGCTCTGTAGAGATGGATGAAAATACTCAGTGGCTCCACCACTACAGGCAACATTACAGCACTAAAAAATAATGCATAGTGGAACCTTTCCTGACAGATCTTCAGATAAATAATCAATAATCACTGACTGACCAGGATGAGAGCATTGACAATATAGAAGTCCTCATCTGTATTTGAGGACTCTGAGATTGTTTTAGAATCAGTATTATAGAAATTGGAAAACGAATAGAAGGTGAGATTTGCCATTTAATGATGTTCCGCATTGTTAATTTCTCAAATATGTACAATTAAAATATCGTCCAGGAATGTCACTAAAAGCTAACACTGTTTTAAAATGACATGAAAAGCCCTTTCAGTCTCATAGTGTCTCACAAAGACAATGCAGAGAACAGTGCGGAGGGACAAAGAGGGCAGTGTGAGTACAGTGTGTACTGAAAAGTCCATTTTACATAAGGGGCCGCAGCTAAGACGCAAACTTCAGCCAAAACATATTTACTTCAGTCGGTGAGGCTTGGTGTTTGCTTCCCCTCATGATGCAGAGGGGAAAGCCTCACTAAATATTGCACCTAAAGCCGTGTTTCCAGCTTGACTATATATCCTGCAACCAGATTTTATATATATATATATATATATATATATATATATATATATATATATATATAATCTGGTTTTATGTTACTTGCCCCGGCTAAATGCATTTGTGCTCTGCATTAGAAAAAAAAAGAGGGAGACAAAGAGTGAGGAAGAGTGGTAAAATCAGATTGTGCGCTTAGGCTTTGAGAAGTGTAAGCTAAGGTGTGTTCTGAAGGCTTAATCCGTCTCCTCCCCACCCCCCACCCACACACATTTACCACAGACGGCAACAACACGACTGGGAAGACTCACTTGGCTTTAGGGGCCGTGCAACGAGGGAACTTGCAGGTAATGTTTAACTGGCCGCTGTGATCGGTGCTTAGGGATGGGTCTTTGGGAGCAGGCGCGCTCAGCCTTTGGACAAGCATGACTCATCGTTAGGTAGAATACAAGGAAGCGCTCCGGTATTTCTTGAAATGCAGCCCAGAACTAAAGGAGAATCATTTCACTGATGCTGACACAAGCACAAACTGCATGGAGAGAGCATTGTTTAGCCTTATCTCCTGTATCGCTCGCTTATTTGCAGCAGGCAAATACTCTGCTGTTCAGTGCAAATAGCAGCAAAGGGTGGAACCTATTGCCATTGCAGATATGATGCATTATTTTCTAGCTGGGTCTCGGGATAAGAGAGTCCGCCATAAAAGGCCATCGCAAGAAAAACCGCTCCCTGCTCTGCGTGTGTGTCTGTGTGTCTAGTTGTGTGCGTCTAACAATAAAAGCCAGGAGGTTGGTTACTTTGATGTCATTTCACAATCATCCGGTCAGGGAGCTTTTTTCTCTCAGGCCCTCAGTGAAGCACTTTGATATCAAAGTGCTTTTAAGGCGCCCTGTGTGTAGTTTGGGCTTTTTTAGTATTTTATCATATCTTTTCCTTACCAAGCTTTGACAACAGGTCCAAATTGGGCAGTGACTCTTGTAGAGGAAACACATATACAATGTTATCTGAAAATCACATTCTAGCCAGGCCCTATTGTTTTAGGGAATCGGGAAAACACGTCAGCCGGTAAAAATACACATAGCATTTTAGGATTACAGGATATGACATCATATGGAAAACAAGACAGGAGCATGACCACAACATTTTACCCACATTAACGACCTGATGCTCTGGGTGAACAAAGTTCAATCCATTGCCAAGCAGCAACAAAAAGGTTCAGCCTGGAGACGTATTTGGATATCTCCATATCGGAAGTTTGTTTCCCATATTTACTTCTTTACTTCTTCTTTACCAGACCGACTTTAGAGGGATTTAAAGGGTAGGTGCAGGCCTGTTTTCATGACTTCAAACTGGCATCGAGCCACTGAGAACTTGCTCTGCGCTGGATTTATGTCACGTATGCCCGACAGAGTGAATAGTAGCATTGGTTACAGGGTAGATGTAAGACAATCATCAACCCAAAAGCCATGCCAGTCCTGTTGGAATACTGTTTCGGTCGCAATGTTCTCAGGAATGTTCCCTCTAAAAAATTTTTTTTTTAAAACATGATTATGTCTCCTTGACGACGGGAAATCAAAACAGTAAAATCAAGAAGAGGCGTGTCGCAACCTTAATAGTAAGAAAATACACAGAGAGTTTCGCTCAAAGGAAGGGTTCAAAAGGTGCCTGGATGGGAATGTCCCGACCGCTCTACAGGCGTCCCGAGTACTCGCAGCCGACAGGAGAAAATATTTCAACTCTAAAAAGAGTGGAGATCTGAGGCGTGAGCTCTAGTTAAGAGAACAACGCAGTGGCATATCAACACCCAAGAGGAAATCACGACAGAAAAGTTGGCGTACAAACAGTCCTCTCGGGTGCAAAAATCAATACCGGGACAGAGAGCTCAATATAGGACGCATTAGCCTGCCGTCGACCCCTAACACTCCCCGCTGCAGTCACGTGCCAGCGCACAATCCGCCCTTACGAGAACCAGTCGGGGAAAATGGTGTGCAGGCCCCCAGAGGTATACAGGGGAAGTCTGTGATTTGAGCCCACAACTCTGCACATCCTCTCCACAACAAACACCGCCGCCTCTAACAGGCCCACCGGGGACCATCAGCGCGTGTGTGTGGGCAGATAGGACATGGGTCACGGTCGGACATTAAGGAGCCCCCCCCCCCTCTAATGTTGCCGTGGATGGAGACGAGAGAAGGAGGAGAGCAGGAGGGAGGGGGGGTTAAAGATAGGGATAGAGGAATCGGTACAGACAGCCAGGCGTCTGTGCGTTTGTCCTGAGGGGCAATGACGTGTCTTCATCAGACCTCGCCGAATAGCATCGTAGCCGCTTGCCGAACTGGTGCGGTTAGAGCAGCTTCCCCCTCGGGCAGCGGCCTTGAAATTCTCCCACCATGACAGGCTCACTGTCTCACAAGATAAACCTCACAATCAAGGCCTGTTCAATAGAACAAGACAGTCACGGTTGCTGCTTGTCCTTATCACAACCTCAACCACCATTTCAGGCAATGAGTCACTGTTCAGGGCCTAAGCCGTCCCGCCCAGGAGCCACTGCCGCGGCCTTCACGGAGAGCGCCAATCAGTGCCGACTAAAACATTGCAAGGCGTCGCAGTTGAAGGTAATGCTCTTTGACTTGATGATGAATCAATGAGGATTGGAGGATTTGGGCTGTATAATGCCTGAGGTGCGTCTGGGTCGTTCAAACTGTGGGCAATGTACTGAGTTGTTGTCCGTTGTCTGAGATGTACAGATGCTTTGGGAAGACGGGCAAGTCGTCTCTGTGATCTGCGTTTGGACACAATGCGGACATAATGCGGACATATTCAGGTCTGAATTGTGCCTGAATTTAAATAAACAGGGCATGAAAATACAGATTTCCAACTGACCAGCATTAATGCGTGCTGGGGTGGAATAGAAACCCTGGGAAACCACTATGACTCCTGCGCCATTGTCTTCACTAGCTCTGTTTCCTTAGTTTCCTGTTTACACATCCCCTCCCTGTGAGCGCACATTCTTTTTTTGGGGGGGGCGGGGGGGGGGGGTGTCAAGCTTAAACCGGACCATCACCTTTAAACGTGAATGTAGTCCAAAGAAAAAAAAATTTGTTTCATTTAATGGGTCCCTATAATAACTATAATAACATGTTTGCTTTAATGGTTGAAGGGTTCTGGACAGTGAGTAATAATCAGCGGGGGCGGGAACCGTGTGTTTGTGTGTGTGTGTGTGTGTGTGTGTGTGTGTGTGTCCGAATACTCACCCTGAGGGCATGTATGACCACATCCTGGGCCTCCAGCTCTCCTTCCAGGACACTGAGGAGAGTCAGTAGCTCTGCTCTGCTTAGGGCCTCCACATTCATCTTCTCATCCTGAGGAGGCAGGTGGAGTGTTAAAACAATAAGAGAGAAAAAAAAACAGACCTCAAAATACCATCAGAAGGATTTTAATAGTCAGTGAAGCCAAACGTTCCTTCTTTTTTTCAGGTACGCCTTTTACCACTTTTTAGTAGATCATTAGGGGGCATTTATGGGACTCGGGGCCCCATCTGTGGCCTCTCACGGGGTTGTGCTCAGGGTTACAAACAGGAAGTCATTAGCATGTCTGCATCCTAAGTTGCTGAAGGGACTGAGGACATTGTAAAGTCTACCAACAGGGATAGACAATAGTGATGCATTGAGACGTCTCGTTTGGCACACACTTTTAAGGTATTAGCCATCCCGCTCTCCGTCCACCGCGTCCTGTGATTCATCAGCTGGGTCCCGTCATAGTCACGGCGTCCAGACATAACACACTTCACACAGCAGACATCATCCTTAAAATTAAGAGAAAGACAAAACAAAGTTGACCTCATCTTGGATAACGTCGCTTTCACAGCGTTAATTGTGTGTTTGAGGAGGAAACCTGTAAGCTGGGAGGTCAGATAACAGCAGCTGTAATGATCAGTATGTCTCTTACGCCTTCTGTTGTTCTCTCTCTGTCTCTGACACACAACAGGAATAAATGAACTGAACTCTAAAATCCTCATTAAAAGGTGTTGGGGGGCCAGATTAACCCGGAGGGAGGATTGAACATCTCTTGATGTTGCACACTGCGAATCACACATATATTATACATATATATATATATATATTAATGGGTTCAATAAAGATTAAAACGCGAAAGATTTTCAACATATTCGTCAAGCCATTATGTGACACCTCGTGTTCAAAAGAATCTTTTATGTTTTTCCTTGCATGTTTTTTTTATTCGTCACCTGTGTGTGTGAATACTAAAAGCGACTGTTGTGATCTTGCGTGTAAACAAACCTCTCCTCTTCTCTGACAGCAGGCGTTGAATGTCAAGTGAAAGCTACTATTTAGCTTCTTGCAGCAGCGCCCAAATTCCTCAGTGCATTTTGTGGTTCTCCACACATGCACAGCAAAGCACACAGTGCGTGTGTGGCACTGGCTGCTAACTAGTGGACACGCGCAAACACACACTCTGCTGTGGGTCAGCTTGGTTATGTGTGTGTGTGTGTGTGCGTGCGCTTTGGTTGTAAATGTAGGCAAATCTCTCTGTTTATGTGTCACCCGATATCGGTAAATTAGCATCCAAGGAAAATGCGTCCAACATTCCAGGGATACCCACACCACAGGAAGCATCACTCCAGAGTGGATCCCTAAATCTCACTCTGTGGAGCGCCTTGTGAAAAGGCACAGCAGCAAAGTTGTGACTTTAAGATGGACACCCAGCCATCAATGGCACGTTCATGCAGAATACATGAATATGAATGCAGATCCTCAACTCAATGTAAAGTGGACGACACTATAATCCTTGTCTGCGTGTGCGTGTGTGTGTGTGTGTGTTTGTGTGTGTGTCCACACAGTTTCTTTCCAGCCATCTGTCTCAGAGGCCAAACCCAAAGCCTGGGTTAAACTTTACGCATCCCATCCCCGTAACCAGGGAGGATCTCTGCTGTACACGAGCCACACACGAGCGGTTGCTCAGGAGGAGCAGATGGATCCACCTGCCGAGGGGCCTTTTGTCTGGACCCACAGGACGTGTCGTTATCTCCCTCGTCGGCATCATTCACTTCAATCGCACAAGTGCCACAAAAAGATCACCAAACCAGCGATCGTGTATAGATTCCCTGGGAGGGATAATGTTAAAAATCAATCCGGCATCAATGTCACTCAAGTGCACACACCCATCAGCAACTTAAGACCCGCGCGCCCCTCAGCGACTCGCACTCAATATAATGTAACGTTATTTCTAAAGATTATTGTTGCATTAATATATAAAGCCCGATGCGGTTTGCAACTGTAAAGTTTCTCTTGGGCTAACATGAAATGGTAAAGCCCCATCCGGAACGAGTAAATATCAAGTCAAAAATCCGTCTATGGACACGCATTTTCCTCCGAAAAAGCCTGACCAACTTGGATACTTAATTTCTGGAAACCACGGATGAATATTCCCCCAAGCTTCCACGTTAAACATACCTTCATGCGCCCTGTCCTGCCCGCATTAATTGTTCTCCAAATCCAAAAAGGAGACTCCACAACAGCATGAATCAAAGCGGTCCACTGTCACAAGCGAATGCGAACAACAGACGTTCAGTGACGACCCCGCCAGCCAATCGAAGGGGCGTGGGGGTAACACTCTGGCCAATGGCCAGCAGGCTTTGCGCTAGGGGGCGGGGCTTGGGGCGGTCCCGGGTCTGTGGGATAAACCTCTTTGTTTCGGACCTGCAATGTTGATTTCCACCCATTTGCTGATAAGCAGCGTGAATTGTTTCAATTGATCACATATTTGGCAAAGCGGTGGTACGCCGTAGTTCGATGTTTACTTTGAGGTACAATAGTAAGATCTTACTTTTAAGTGTGTGAGTGCACTTCAACTGTGGATTATTTGTAAATAAAATAAATAAATCAAATTTACAGACAGATTTTGAATTCGGTTAAAATAATTGCAAATTATGATCCTCCACGTTAATTTCTACGTTCATTCTATGACTTCTCGTTGTTCAGGTTGTTTCTGGAAGAAAAAAAACACGGAGAATTAACGCCTCGTGGGCAAAAGAGCATTTATCACCGTCCACCGTGTTCTATCGCCCCCTAACGGCCAAAGGGCAGTAATGCAAAATGTGGTCCCTTTAATTTAGTGGACAATAATAAGTTTACTGACATGATCCATGTATACAAATAATTAATGGAGTTGACTTGTGTCATGTACAGTTATTCAGTGTAATAAAAGGTTGGCATCAAACAATCTGACCTCGTTCTACATCCGCTTCGTCTGTTTGTTTCTTTTCTTTAAGACTCTGTCTTATTCAAAAGCCTGAAAGCCTGAAACCTGATAGTTGGAATGTTTTTGTTCGACCTGCTTCTAGTGTTACTGAAGACACCATACAAGCTTGCATATCCGTCACACGTCTGTACACACCAGACTGCTGGTGACATCCCATCTACACGCGAGGCTCCGATGACAACATGTGTCAGCCAAAGTTCAGCACTATTATAATTTCTATGTAGGCTACAGCTGGTGTAACATGACGGCACAAACAGCAGGGCTCCTGAACCCTCTGGTGGCAGAAGAAGTATTAGGATCATTCAATTAAGTACAATTAAAAATACAATAATGTAAAAATACTCTGTACGTCAAAGTTCTGCATTCATCTTTAGCTAAAGTGTTATTTTGTATTTCTGTCAAAAGAAAAAGTACTGAGGAGGGAAATGTTCCTGTGAGTAGTTATTTTATTCATTATTTCAAATACATCCCTTTTTGAGTAGAGGCTTACTTTGTGGAATTCAAATGCTGTTGCTGGTTAAGGGCTAATCTAAATTAGATTAGTTAGTTTAATTACTTTTCACAACTGCTATTATATTTCCAAACTAACAACGTCTTCGCAAAAAAGTTTTTGTTTCGAAAATGTGAGAAAGCAGAGACCTCACGTTGACCCAATTTTATTGGATAGATTAAAAAAGAAAAATGCAATCACTAATCACATGGAAACAAGCAAAGCCGGAGTCTCACCCACATAGTATAATATTTGTTAATACTACCTTGTTAAACATATATTTAAAATTTTATGTTGGACTTGATCGTGGTAAAAAATAATTTTACAAGATTAGTAAAAGCAAGATCAGGAATGGAGATTTATCATAAAGCAAACTTGTTATTATCAATAATATCAAAAGAGATTACACAAATGCATATAGTCTGTTACAATACATAGAAACACTTTTTTTTGTAGCCAAGTTGTTGGCTGGGACAGTTTTCTTATTGCAATTACAATAATAGTACAATAATAATAATACAACTTTATTATGTCATGTTTCCTTATTAATAATATAATACTAATTGGTTTTATATAGCGCTTTTCTAAATGTCTCAAAGACGCTTTAACATTAACTTTATTGAAAGTGTCACAAGTTGGCCATTTTGACTTGTGTCCTGACCAGAGTTAGCCTGGCAGAGGATCAGCAGTGGGCTCCTCTGGGCTCCAGCTTCAGATTGATGCTGTCCTTGGGCGTGGTAAATCCATCCGTTGACAGCTCCAATGGAATCTAGGACAACAAGATACGTGTCACAAATGAAGCCCTTCCAAAGCTCAAATCCCATCTCACCCAATGCCGGTCACTACTTGAAGGCCACCTGTGTCTCCTTGCATGTGACGAAGCTGAAGTTCTGGAGGATCTCCACCACGCTCAGCTTCATCATTAAGAGAGCAAACCGCATTCCGATGCAGTTCCTTGGACCTGCTCCGAATGGTAGGTAGGAATAAGGATCAATGCTGTCTTTGTTCTCTTTGCTGAACCTGAGAAAAGAACACGTATTTGACATTTATTAGCCAAATGATGAAGATCAGGTAGAATCTGTCATTAGCCTGCCATTCATCCACTACCTTTCAGGCTTGAAGTCATCGGGCTCAGGCCACAAAGTAGGCTCACGGTGGAGTGTGTAAACTGGGATCATGACAACGGTTCCCTTAGGGATGGTCACACCCTCAATTTCCACAGAAGACTTTGACACTCGATCTAATCGATTGCCACTAGGGTACAGCCTCATCGACTCGTTCAACACCATGTCCAGGTATTCCATTTGCATCAAGGCGTCATAGGTGGGCCGAGCCTGGGGTGCAAAGGGGCTATTAGCTTCATTTGGTTTTATTATTTTAGGTTAAAACAAACATGTATGAGCAAAAGCAACCTTATTTGGGAATGTTTCATCTATCTCCTCTTGCAGGGTCTTTTGGATATCGGGGTTAGTGGCCAGGTTGTAGGCTAAAAATCCCAATGTGCCGCTACTTGTCTCGTAGCCAGCGAAGATGAATATCATAGCCTGAGACAGGATCTCACTGTCACTCAGTCCTGTAACACAAATGCGTTCTGGAAATGCTCTCAACGTCCACATGAAGCCTTTAAGTGTCTGACAGTTATGGACCTCAGTGGGTCGTCACTGGTCTTTGACAATTTTTGTGTACGGACACAACGTGAAGACGTTTAAAACTATTTGTAAAAGTTGTGAAACTTATGTAACGATCAATTTATTGTTGACCCGATTCTTTGACTAAGCAAACTGCTCTTGACCAACGGAGATCCTCTTTTACTTCATAAAAATACATCATATTTACAGGTTTGAAAGAACGTTGTGAACGTCAGTACCACCATCAGGTTTCTTCCTCACCTTTGTGGGCGCTTGGATCCTCTTTGGTTGTCTCTGACATCTGAGAGTCCACCATCAACTGCATGATGTCCACTCGGTTCTAGAGGACAAAAACCAGTGACAATCCTCATCATCCAGTTTGTTTTTAAGGAACAAAGCTGATACACTGTATGAATATCACCTTGTGTTCATTCTTACTCCGGTCTGATTTGATTGTCTTTAGAAAGCTGTAGAAGAAGTCTAATAATTCGGCAGGGAACAGAGTCACATTCATCTTATCGAGCATCGGCTCCAAGAATGGAAAGAGAACTGAAAAGAATAAAATGTGTATAGTTCAGGGTTCAAAGGCACGAGATGAACATCCTGGTTAAACCACCCAACGTTTGACATACCCAAAAGCAGAAACAGGGGGGTCAGGAAGGTGAACTTGACCAGTTTCCTAATGTTTGCTACAAAAGGATCAGACGGATTGTTGATAGAATCGATGTCCACACTGAAGGCAGTGCTGGCCACGACATCCATACTGTAGGGTCCGAATATGCTGCGGAAAACAGGTTTAAATTGAATGTAGGAAACACAAATTCTATGCATTTAGAATAATGAATGAATGACAAAATCATCTTGAGAACTGAAGAGTGCAGATGGAGACTCTGTGTCCTCTCATCCCAAACACATCACTCACTCCTTAACGTCCACGACTTCACCAGCCTCTGCTTTCTTGTGAAGGCTCTTTATCAGATTACCCGAGTGCTGCAACATTATGGAGTACATCTGCCCAAACGTAAAAAACAAAAACGCTAAATCATTAAATGTGTACATACCGGAATGATGTTATGGATGATCACCATTTCATTAAAAAGATGTTAGAGCTGCAATGTGCTTTTCAACCTCTTTCAGGCGCCCACTGGTGAATGACGGAGAGAGTATGCTTCGAATCCTCTTCCATTCCTCATCTTCCACCACTGTTATGGCGTCTCTCAAGGCTCCATTTAGACCAAAATCCTACGCACACACACAAACACACGCAGAATCCCACACAGAGGATGCCCTCTTTGCATTATGTTCTTCGATAGGTATTGAGACAATCATTTTAGAAATGTCCCCGACCATGTATTTCCTCCTCACCCGTCTGTTAGTGAAGTTAGAATAACACTCCTTCACCAAGATTGATTTGATCATAGCCGTGTCCATGGTTACCAGGATGGGGACCCTGCCATCGTAGATCCTTGGAATGCCATTGCAGATATTGTGTAAGCAGCAGCGTGGAGCGAAGGTTGTGTAGTAGGGTGTATCGTTGCACGCACACTCACCCCCACACCTTTCCGTATTTCTCATAGCATTCTGTGTCAAAATTGTGGATCCCCTGGGAAATGAAACGAGAGCAGCGTGAAGACATTATCAACGTGTTAGCGCCCACTGTTCTAATTTTTTTTTTTTTAAATGTCTCTCGCCTTTCTGTACTCCAGAAACGTCCCGATAAAGGGCAAGGGTCTGGGTCCAGGGATGCCCAGTTTCTTGAAGAATCCGTACGGTGCATATCCATACCTGAGGATGAGAAGACGCAGACCAAATCCATCGGTTTTTGAGTCGTGTTAATATTTCTTTGGCCTGTATTTTTTTCTGTAGTGTCATTTCAGGGTAAACAGGAGCAAATGATAAAGCACTTTTTTAATTACACCTGTGATGACTCTTCAATGAGTTCTAATGGAAGGATCCCATGATGATATTCTGTGCTTCAGCAGTCACACTCACACAGGGATAGTACTTCTGCCCAGAGTGGGACTGTGTGTGTGTGTGTGTGTGTGTGTGTGTGTGTGTGTGTGTGTGTGTGTGTGTGTGTGTGTGTGTGTGTGTGTGTGTGTGTGTGTGTGTGTGTGTGTGTGTGTGTGTGTGTGCATGGTTTTACACATAAAGACGACATATGCTCAGCGAGTTCACGTCAAAATACAATTAAGCATTTTGTACCCTCTGTTTTCATTCTTAGCCTTAAATTAAATACAGACATAAAGGCCTAAAGATTCCTTTGCACACGAATGAAATTAGGTAATCAATCAAATGAAGTTAAACTAAACAAATAACTTCTGCATGGAAACAGGAAGTAGACCTGTTTTTCTCCTCCTTCTTCACAAACTAAAAGTCCACACGCACGGTCAACGCGCACGGAAGCCCACTCACACTGTGATCAGAGTGACGAGGAACACGATCAGCGTCCAGGTCTGGATGGAGAGCTCCGGGAGGAACCCCATGCTCGGCTCCCGGTGTGACTGCGGCAGATTCGGGGGAAGCTCGGCGAGTAGCGCGAGGCAGGTCGGGCTCCTCGTCTAAACGTTTACGTTACAGTTACGTAACCTCATACCTCGATCATGTGACGTAACTTCCACGTAGGCTGATGGACTGTGGATGCTGTGACCATTCGCCCACTTCGTGACCTGCAGACTCTCCTCAAACTCTCTGCAGCAGTCGGTTCATTCTCATGTTGTTTTCCGTAAAGGGTTTCAATTGTGATTATAAATTGGAAGACGCATGTGGTGATTTGTTTGCTGTTGTTGACATATCGGTTATATTTTTAGTATTCAATTTTGGATCAAATGCATAATTAGTCATTAAAGTGCACAATTAGTGCTGTGTGATGGTGTCAGAGTTCATGGAATGAGAAGGATATCGATGCAGTTGATCCCACACATTTGATTTCATCCAAACAAAGGCAGCATTGCAAGAACAGCAGCGATGAGTTATCCAGAATCCTCTCCAGATATTCCTGTCTGAACGACGTAATATTCTATTCAACTCAACTTTATCTATATCACCCAAAATCACTAATTACAAAATGTTCCCCTGCAGGCATATTTACAATATGTACAACAAATGACATCCTCTATCCTCGGAAACCTCGCAGCTGAAGAGGAAGAGCATGTGATTCATTCGAGTGGTAGAGGGGTAGTTTAATGTTACACAGGGCATTTTACCCTGCAGCCCATTTGACTTGTCACAGGAGTAAAAGTACAGGTGACGCTTAAGAGCGGCCTTTGTTTCAAGTGTAAGCCATTATCCTGTGAAGCACGACACCAGGACCCCAAAGTGAAGCTGTGAAAGAGAAATCATTTATTTACGCCTTCGGCTTTTCTGACTGTGCCAAGTTTCTTTTGTTGAAAACTGGCTTCTAACACCAACTAACAGCTCTGCTTTGTAAGAGCAGACCCGACTGAGCCATTAAGGCGTCCAAAGTGGCGAGGCGTGGAACCGTTTCTCTCTCATGCTCCCACAGGTTTGGCAGGTTGTGGGGGTTTGATTAAAAGGTGGTAAAAGTCCAGAGTGTTAAAGATAATAACAGCTGAACTTGAGTCGTTTACATCGAGCCTTAACAGGGGATATTAGTTTGTGACAGTATCATTGTGGGCAAAGGTTGTTGATAAAAGTAATTATTAACCTGAACAAACTCTCGCCACACAAATGAAAAACTGCACAAGTCATCCTGCTGTTACACAAGTTACAAAACAACCAAAACAAAATGAACAAAATAAATGGAGCACGGAGGTGAAAAGAAAAAACATGACGGCACACGTGTTTCCCACCACTTATTAGACAAACATTTAGACAAAACCTGTTTGTGCCCCTTCCATCTGGCAGGAGGCTGAGGTCCATCAGGACTACGACCTCCCGCCACACGAACAGTTTCTTCCCGTCGGCAGTCGGGCTCATCAACAGAGCCGGTCCCCCACTGCCTGACTGTAACACTCCACCGGTCTCTCCCCCTCACACTGGACATGCCACTTTAACTGCAATTCATCACTTTGTCACTTGTCACTTTGTCTCTTGTCTGTTACTTGTTTGTTAGTGCACTTTATGCTTAATATTTTTCTTTAACTTTTTAATATTTAAATTTTTTAAACTTTATTCCCTTGTTTTATACTAACCCATAGCCTTAGCCTTATTCTACTAACCCATTGCATTAGCATTTCATTCCACTTTATTTTATTACTTGTGCACTGTTGTCTTGTCTGTCTACTGTCGCGCACTAACCGCCAAGACAAATTCCTTGTATGTTTGACATATTTTGGCTAATAAATGTTTCCTGATTCCTGATTTAAGGATTGAAGATGGAGTAAAAAAAAAAAAATATATATATATATATTTAATTGAACTCTGATTAAATATTTGACGAATTAGTACATTTGCCATTAAAGCTGTTTTGACATAAAACATCTGAAATGACCTCTGATCTTATGAAGGCGCCTGGAAGTAACGAGGATGTAATAAATACCTTCAGTTATACATCATATTTCTTGAGTGTGCTTGGCCTCCCTCAGCTGGATTTCTCAGGAAACTGCTGCCAGGAAGTAGGAGGGAGACACGTTGGTATCAGAGAGCGTCAGGTTGGACATAAAGAGTTCAAATCAAAACCAACCGTGGCACCTTGCACGGTTCCTCCTGCCATCCCGCAGGGTTAGATGTAGACTAGAAAAGCGCTCTACAAGTGCACTTACTTAGAGTCTCAACTCTGTAACGTGACGGCGAGCAGCTCCCCGTAGCCCTGTTGCCATAGTTACGTACAGCCGGGGTGAGGAGTCGGTAGAAGGACGCGCGAGGATGGATATGTACATACAGAACTGGATGAATAAAAGGTTATTAGGTTTCTTTTAACATGCAGTGAATTTAAAACACACACAAGCACAACAATCTGTAAATTCTATTACACCAGAATGTTCCCACTGGCACAATCGCTGTTAAACAACCACATACAGTTTGGAAATGGTGAGTCATTAACCTCCAGTATAACCATTCCAAAGACACATCACATAGTCATCACAATGAGTCTATAAAAGAGCCAGGAGCCAGTGACAGAGGATGAGAGGCAGTAGTCACGTCCGTTTACTGTCATTGCATACACGTTGATACAGAGAAATAACAACACAACTGAGGATGAACAGAGAAAATAAAAATACAAACAGATGAATTCTCTCTCCTTCCCTAGTTATTGTACAAGCACACATCAAAATCTTCTTAATCAAATATGCAGCTGCACCTTTTTTCCCATGGACATTATACAATTATTAGCTTTATACACCCAGCCAAACAGTTATGTATGTTGGCACATTGAAACACAAACAGCAACCAATTTAAAATCATGAAAGGCTGATGAGATTGATGTGAGGTCCTGCTTCTGGTTCAGTGCACTCAGAGAATTTGCTCGAATCGCAGCTGTGACGTCAGTCAAGAAGAAATATGGCAACTACCTATTTATTAATATTAGTACCATATCATGATCCAAAATAGAGGCGATTATTTGACTGAATCCAAATGATACTTGCATGATAACAGCAGTCTGGGATTGCGTTTGCTAGCTTACCAACATGGAGTGTAGAGACACGGGGGAGACGTCCGTCAAATCCTAGACGAGAGGCTTGTTCTCGTGTTTACAGCAAACTCACGTCGCTAGCTCACCTAACGCCACATCGCTCGCCGTAACGAGCGCCGGCCTCTCCTCTCCGGATTAAAAGATGCTCATTTTTTTATTCTGGATCAACTGTCAATTTGAGAGGATATAGTAAAAGAAACATCTATCTTCCACATCAGAGCTGCAGCTGGTTCGGAGCGGACGTGAGCGGATTGGACCATGTGACGTGACGCTGGGAGAACTTTCCCTGATTCCACCGAACCTAAAGAGAAGCTTCCTGAGCAGCTTCAAGACAAAGAGGAGAAAGAACGTACGAGCGGAGATAAAGAGGAATCCTAGAGCAAAAATCAGGCGGATTAAAATAGTATAGAAAATTATAATAGAAATTAGAATTATAATAGAAAATAAAAGCTGTAGCTACTATGGCAGCGAGGGAGGGGAGAGGACCATGTGTAGAATTAAACAGGCAAGTTACAGGTAGCACCTCGCATTAGCCTCACTCCAGTGTAGGGACACTTCAACTACGAGCAAACCAATGTAATAAAACGGAATTTACACTTTTACCCAGCTGTTAGGCAGCCGACGTCGCTGTGCGCTATTGGCGAGGATAAAAGCAAGCTACGTGTCAACAGAGTTAGACTGCAGAAGGGTCTTTCACAGAAAACAACCTCAAGCTTTTGGCGGTCATACAGAGCAACGTCCAACTCTGTTGGGAACACATATGGGTCAATGGACGTGTGTCCTTCTGCTGCCAAAATGACTACTACTAGATTAGTGGGGAAACGTGAGCAGACAGTCTCTCCCTCCTGCGGATTTTTCTTACATTAAAAAGGACAGTGGGGTCATTTTAAATACGGGCTCTGCTGCACGTCGGCCACCCGCATAAAGGAGCTATAAGGTTGTTTGTTGGACAATCCTGGGATTCCTCCTCCTCCGCCGCTTCATCATCTCCCCACGGTTTCCTTTGTGGCTGCTGGTTGTGCGGCGGCAGTCAAGGCCTCCGTGCGAGGATCCCGCACGCCGTCACACGGCCATGCGGCAGCGGTTATGAAAGAGCTGCTCCACCACGGAGGAGTCGGCCAGCGTGGAGATGTCGCCCAGGTCGCGTTCATCACAGGCGATTTTGCGGAGGACCCGCCGCATGATCTTACCTACGAGCAGCAGAGAGGGGATGATGGTGAGAGCTTTTTTTTTTTTTTAAAGGTAGCTTTTTATAAAAGGTATCTTTTAGAGTAGTTTTCCTTAATCTTTACCAGATCTGGTCTTGGGGAGTGCTGGAGCATTCTGAATGAAGTCTGGTGTTGCGATGGCACCAATCTTCTCCCGCACTGTAAAGTTGAATTTAAGAAAATGTTATGCAGAATATGACAACATCATCTTTGCAATTAATAGTTTGGAAAAAAACTTAAATAAAGCACTTTTCTTTTTCATATCTGCGCAATGGAAATCTGATCTGGGTTTCAGTGGAGACGTCTGGTGTCCCATGAAGCTCCTAGAACACTTAATTAAAGAATACTTCCCAACTAAGCGGTCTTCACCAACCTTGTTTTCTCAGCTCTGCCTCCAGCGTCCGGTTGAACGTCACTCCGTCCGTGAGGGTTACGAAGCAGTAGAGGCTCTCGCCTTTGACAGGATGAGGTCTGCCCACAACGGCAGCTTCTACAACAGCCTGGTGCTCCACCAGAGCCGACTCCACCTCCGCTGTACTCAACAAGTGACCTGCAGGGGAGAGAGACAAAGAAAGTTTCAAACAAACAGTAACCACCCCCCCAATACAACACATACAGAATTGATTTCAGTACCAGGGCCACGAGAGTAGGGAGAATATCCCCAGTGTTCCCTGAGAAGGTCTCTTGGTTGACATGTTTCTGTCTTTTTGTACACTGGATATTATGCACCATTTGTGACATAATGCCATAGAGGAGCATGTTTAATACAAACAGCGTGAAAGTCGAATTCATAACGGAAAACTCACTTTTTATGGTAAAATATCACTCCTGTTAATGCCTAGTTTATGCTTCTGCGTTTTCAGAGTGACGCAGACGCAAGGGACACGCAAGGGGGGCTTGCGTCTGCGTCACTCTGAAAACGCAGAAAACGCTTTTCACACCTCCTTGCGTCCTTGTGTGCGTCGAGACATTTTTCTAGGCTTGCATGGAAAGCGACGCAAGCAACGCAAGCCTCCCGCAGCGCACCAGGCTGCGATTGGTCCGCTAACTACGTCCTTTATGGAGTCTCACATTTCCGCTTTCATAGCCCGATACGGCCATTATAAAAACAAAGAATGTTTACGAGAGAACGGATCAGATTTAAGAACTTTTGTCGGAAGAAATGCTTAAATATGAGCGCTTACACAAGCCGTCATTGGCGGGTTATAGAAGCAAACGCCGGTTTGCCGGTCGAGAGGAACAAGTTGTGGAGGAAAATACGGGACGAATGTGTCCGCGATGAAAACCAGCAGTGGTGATGCACGGGGCAATAAAGTCTATGATAAATAAATAAACAAATAAATAAATAGACGTGACTCTCTAGGTCGTCTTCAACAAAAACACGTCACTCCGCCTGTTGTTCTGGCGGTAAATTGCTCTGCAACACACGCAGAACCATGAATTGAAACGAGTGCGTCGACGCAACGACGCAGACTCAAACGCAGAAGCATGCGCCAGCCTTAAGGCTCATTTTGTGGTGGGGATTAACAATAATTAAAAAGAAGCCAGCAAAACAAACACCTCATTTAGGAAATTAAAATGAGATAAGCTCAGGGCTGCTTCTTACCAGAGACATTCAGCATGTCGTCTATCCTCCCCGTTATCCAGTAGTAGCCATCCTTGTCTCTACGGCAACCTGCACATTAATAACGTAAAGTTTTCCAAAGCTTTCAGCAGAATTTGTTAGAAAATAAGAAAAGAAAATATTGAATCAAAAAAATAGATAAAGGTAATTGAGTAGACTAGAATATTTGATAGTATGAGTATATATTGATTAAATGTTGAAGCAGTACAATAAAAAGTCCGTAGCAAACAGAGAAGATTAATAATAATGAACGCAACACAAATTTACCGGGGAAAAAAAGTCACAATCCGAACTTTGTTTAAGATTTCAACTGCATCTAAAAAAAGACGACATCCTAAGGACAGCCCGGGATGAATGCTGCACCGATATAGAGCTTAAGAAGGACGCGCGATGATATTTTTCTGTCCCCCTGGTCTCTCACCGTCTCCCGTCACGTAGTATCCAGGGAACTTCTTGAAGTAGATGGTTTCAAACCTTTGCTGGTTTCCGTACACCGTTCTCATCATGCCGGGCCACGGCTGTTTGAATACCTGTTCAAAGGAGGAGGAAGCAGGATCGGATCAACGCACATGAGGAGGACAAGGAGAGAAGGATCCTTTTCAAACGTGGTGGTGGTAATCGTCCTGACCAGGTATCCGTCACTCGGCCCCTCCAGCTCCTCTCCAGACTCATTCAAGATGGCTGGTACCACTCCGAAGAACGGGAACGTCTGGAGAACAGCAAAAGAACAGATGTTTGTCAGAATTGGGTTAGATGAGGCAATCTGGGATTTACTGCCACGCCCTTTGTCTACATGTCAAACAAGTAGCACGTTAACCAAAACTATAGCGTTTTGAACAAAAGATCTAAATCAAAAAGTTAGTCATTTCTTCATATTATGGTTTCATCAATGAGCAAAATAGTTATTATTGATATTATGTCAGAGGGCTAATCAATAAATCATTCAATTTAAAAAAAGGCTTCCTTTCATGTCTTTATTCCAAGTTTGAAGTCTAATCCCCCTCAAAGTTAGAATGAAAATCTCTTTAAAGTCTTCCTCACTGTATCGTGATGTTTTAATATGATACCCTGGTGTCTCAATGTTGTAGTATAGCAGAGTATTCAGCGTGAGTATTTTGTACGTCATTCACTCACAGCAGATCCGGGTTTCATGGGTGTTGCTGCAGGTAGAGGAGTCAGCACATGGCCACCCTGAAAACATGGAAAATTGTTGTTATCCATCATGTTGAGAGCAAACCGTTGGCTGGCTTGCCTCCTGCTGGCAGCTGCAGAAGTCTGCAATCACTGCTTCTCAATGAGGCAGTTTGGAAAAAAAAGGTGGTGTGACTTTGTTTGGGTTTTTCTTTCAGCAGCAGCAGTTCAGTTTTTTTCATAAATCGTATACCAGAAAGTATTAACTTACAGTTTCTGTCTGCCAGAAGGTGTCAACGATAGGGCATCTCTTCTCCCCCACCACGCTGTAGTACCAATGCCAGGCCTCGGGGTTAATGGGCTCTCCCACCGTCCCCAAAAGCTTCAGAGACTCTCGCTTATACCTGCAGATAGAACGTGGTTTAGTACCGAAATCGCAAAACAGACAACTAATGAGCAGCAACGCTAGCGCGCCAGCTCGAGAGGGTCGCGACTCACTTCTGCACCGGCTCTCTGCCGTACTTCATCAGCAGTCTGATTGCGGTCGGCGCCGTGTAGAACTTGCTCACGTGATATTTGTCCACAATCTCCCACATGCGGCTTACGTCCGGGTAAGTAGGAAGGCCCTCAAACTGAAACACAAACAGTACGTTGAATCTAAAAACCTACGTGAACAAAAACGGTAAAACAGAGAGATTTTTAACAACACATTTCAGACTGGGGAGTTTGGATTGTATTGTTTAAAAACATACCTTCTGTTTAGCCCAAATTAGTATTATTACATTTATGAATTCAGTCCAAGGCTGCAAGTGATAATCATTTGGCTTAAAAATATCAGGAAATGGAGAAACGGGGCGACTGTTAGAAATCCAACAGGGCCCTCGATGTTTTTTTTAAGATATACCATTTTATAATTATAGAAAATGACTAGAATCTATCAGAGCAGGTGTGTATTTTTTATAAAATGATCAATAATCCAAATAGTTACCATTGCAACTGATATTTAATTCAGTTTCAATTCCTGTTGGTCATTTATGCAAATTGGAAGCTCTCTGCAGATACCGAGGAGAATAAATGCAAATTTAATTTAAAACAAAAAACACCGGCGTAGTGTGGACGCTTTGTGTAAACGTAGCAAAACGAAAGGGTATTAGTGTGTACATACTAAATCTTATTACATGTGTATTCTAATGAGCCCTGGCTTTTGGTGGCAGGTGGAGTCGGACGTAACCCGCAGCGGGACACTAAAGGGAGAACTCACCAGGACGCTGGTGGCCCCGTTGGCCAGCGGGCCGTAGGTGATGTAGGAGTGTCCGGTGATCCAACCGATGTCCGCCGTGCACCAGTAGACGTCGTCAGGCTGGTAATCGAATACCAGTTTGAAGGTTGTGGCGGTGTAGAGCATGTAGCCGCTGACTGTGTGGAGAACTCCCTGCACACAAGAGAAGTCAAGCTCGCTAGTTTGATAATTCTACTTTTTTGTTTTTTGTAATATTTGAAGTAGCAACAAAATAAAGACCGTCTTTTCTAGACACAGATTAAAATACAAAAAAAGGTACAAATCTTGCTAAATTTCTTGTCGGAGGTTAAAAAATAATAATAATTTAAAGTCAGGTCACATTACGGGGCTGTTTCAAATGAGTTATATTTTCTGCGACAGGATTAAATACGGGGTTACAGGAAATACCAGTTAGACAAAAGGCGAGGGTTGAGTTAAGCTTCTCCGAGATGTGTATTCATTGTGCGGTCTGAGAACTCACTGGCCTGGTCCACGGATCCAACAAAGGTCTGTTTTATAGAGCAAATGTTTGTAGGCTGAATGATACTTACCGGTCTGGTCCGGGTTCTTTTCACTCAGAAAGGTTTCACTCACCTTATGTTTGTTAATTAAGTAAATTAGTTTGCCTGCGCTGACGTGACCGTCACAAACAGAACGTTACCTTTGGTTTACCGGTCGAGCCACTGGTGTAGAGGATGAAGAGAGGATCCTCAGAAGCGCACCACTCCGGTTCACACTCGTCTGAAGCTCCACGGACCAGAGCGTGCCAACACAAGTCCACCTCGGGGTTCCACGGGACCTGGTGTGTGTCACACACACACAAGCACAGATAGGACGAGTCAACACCAGTGATCAATGAGATCTCGGTCAATCGGTTAGCAAACATTTGAAACAAGCTACAATCTAAAAAACACAAAAGTGAAAGGCAATTCGTTCGGAGAAGAGTGCAAGACATGGAAAGTCTGTGGGTCTGAGCGACAGTGAATAAAAAAACAAAGTTACAAACATTTAACATCTTGTAACAGATTCTTTGCAGTTTCAATGAGTTAAATGTCTAAACAGCTTAAGCAATGCAAGGCAGCTTTTCATTCTTGTAAAAAACAAAGTCTTTTTTGGACTAACCCAAAAATGAAAGAGGAGAGAAATCAAGTTACGGAAATAGGAGCTAGAGAGAAAGAGAAATCTTTCAAATTACTTTAAATGTTTTTGGATCAATCTCAATTTCCTTCATGTGCCAAAACAAAAAAGTGAGCTCCTTTCAAACAGATAATCGATCCAGATGAAGTCATCACTCCGCAACCGCCCCCATAATACTCCAATCTTTACATCAAACAAAACATTCCCAGTGAAAGTTAAATTAGTAAGAAAAACACAACAACAAAAACACAGCCGGTCACTTTGAGCTGTGTACAATCAGGTAAAACTGTGCAACATGAAGGGAAAGTTCACGAGAGATACAAAAAGAGAAAGATGTGTTAATGCACAGTCCAAGCTTACAGGATATTTTCATTTCATTCCGATTCATTTTGACAGTCCAGAAAACATCTGAGAACGAGAATATTTGGGAATATTTATAATCCTTTACGAAGCAGCATTTTCCCTAAACTTTACGTCTAAAATGTAACTATTGTTTCATTGTTAGCAAAGTCATCGCTAATAATATCAGTAATTTGTTTTAATATTCGAAATTATAAAATATATGTTCTCACGTTCAAAAATGTAATCTGAATTATCTGAAATCACAGGAACAACAAACTGCTGGTTGCGGGTAAAAACAATAAATCAGTATGAACAGTTCCTTACTTTTTATCAGACTAATATAGATAGAATCAGAGATTTTAAATGACCAAAGAAGTACAAAGTTATTTATTCACTTGACCAAAAAACTTCTTCTTACCATGTTTATTGTTTTTACCCTGCAGTGTAGGTATGAAAATTCTACTTGTGGGTAAAATATTGGTTCAAAAAGCACAAACTAAAAAGGTGTTATGGGGGCATTGGGGGAGGGAATGAAAATACCTGCGGTACAGGATGTGATTTCTTTGCTCTCCCTGCCTGTTTCTCCTGCTGGATGGGAGGGAATGAAAGGAAGAAGAGCAGGAGGAGGAGCAGGAAGAGGACGAAGGAGAAGTTAATGAAGGAAAGTGGTAAACTTTTAAACTGACATCCAGGTACCAGGAACATTTGACGATGTTGTTTTGGGTCATTTCAAAGGATTGAAAAATGAAGAATATCAGTAAAAAGAAAGTACATTAGTGTGAGATAAGTATTTTTTACACGTTAGTACTGACCCTGTGTCTTACACATGGGAGAGGCAAAGCAATGAGGTTTTCTTTGACAGAAGGCGAACATAAATAACAAAAACACAAAGCATGGTGGGACTGCATGATGATTCAGTAAAGCCAAAGATGGTCAAACTGTTGTTGCAGCGATTCTTTGGACCGGTCTGGAACGGCACATTTTTTGGGGGGGCGGGGGAGGGTTTTAGTTCATGGTTTACCTGCAGATCAGAGCAGGGGCGTTTGGCGGGAGGAGACTGAGAGCCCAGTAGTGTCTCTTCTGCTTCTTTGGACAGATGTTTCAGCATTATACACCTCTGAATAGAGAACCCTCTGCACAGAGACATGACACGGTAATCATTAGCATCTGATTCCAAGTCAGCGCATGACCTCGATGTTCAGTATGCTTTGTGTGCAGACATTAATGCATCACGACAGACATTTCCCAGGCCTTCATTCATTTAACCCTTATTTCCTTATGCCTATTAAGGATGGGACACATGGGTGGGAGTTTTTATGTTTTACCAAGGTCAACCTATAATAACCTGTTTCACTAAAACGCAGAAACACAATAATTAATTGTATGTAATTCCACAATATTTTGTTACTGTACCATTATGATTTATGTAAATGTTACAGAAAGAGTTTGAGTAAAACATAAAGCTGTGAGAGTTTGGGTTTGAGGCTATGGGACGATATATGTCGATAAGTGCGTGAGTGTTTCTCTCCACAGCTTACTTCTCTCTGCATTTCTGTAACGCTTCGTCAGCTAAGAGCTTCAGGTTGATCAGCTTATCTCCTCGATAGAAACCATCTGAGAGAATGAGACATAAAAACCTGAGATGAACAAATAGATGATGGAGAGAGAAAAAAGCGGCACCTGCAGTGTCATTGGGTGGTTAAAAACTAAACCTTATCAGCTACGGTAGTAAAACTCAAAGGCCTCTATTGGATAGCTGAGCTTTGTTTCACCATTCACGCTTTCATTACTTTCTTCACGAGGTAATAAAACTTTAACCACACTGCCGGTCAGAGAGAAAGACACAACTTTCAGTTACTTTTGATTTCCACAGCTGACGTTGACTCAGATTGTGGTGCCGTCACGATCTTATTAATTAGCTCACTGTGGTAAAGTACGTCACTGATATATTAGTAAGTTAATGGGATTTGATTGATTGATCAGCCTGAAACCCACCTGCTGTGATGAGCAGCGAACACTGCGAGTCCATGATCCTCTCACACAGAGACTCTGCAGAAAAACCTGCAAACTGGAAGCAGCAACGTACGCGGAATTAACACTCGTATTTCATCTCAACTGCCCAGAATTCATGGTCTTGGCAGTGTTTTTCTTGCATAACTTTTAACTCACCACGATGGAGTGAACGGCTCCGATGCGGACGCAGGCCAACATGGCGACGACCAGCTCCACCACCATGGGCATGTAGATGGACACCGCGTCACCCTTCTTCACTCCTGCGGACAGGAGGTCAAAAACTCACGTATGAGCATGTAAAAAGCAACAAAGCACCGGAATGAAAGTAACTTGGACACAATTATCTGTATATGGGGTCGACTGAAGGGTCTGCTGTGAACGTACCCTGAGACTTGAGGACGTTGGCGAAGCGACAGACCTTCTGCAGCAGCTCTCTGTAGGTCACCGTCAGCGCATCACCGGGCTCGTTGCCTTCCCTAGAACACACATACAATCCAACCCATGATCAACCCAATGCATCAGCTCCACTCCAGGGTCCATTAGTTAAGACCTGTTTCTGAAAGAAATCATGCATTTTCATATAGATGTAAATGTCTACATAATATTACTACTTTTCTGTAGTAATGCAAGTTGTTGCTCCTACCAAATATTTACAACGTGGGAATTTTGTAATCTTCATTAATTTAATCTGGATAATAATGTGTTAAGGAAAATAATAGAAACGGTATAAGTCAGAATCATTGTAATGCAGCCTTTAAACATAGCAAATACCTTCATATCCAAAACATAAGACACCATATGGTCTAATGTCATAATAGATATGATATTGCATATTTAACCACATTTTACACAAATGTTTAAAAAAATAAAAAAAAATCTAACCTCCTCCTCCAGCCATATTTTAATCTAAGAACTTCAGCCCAGTTGTGAAACATTTCAACTTCCTCCAGTTTCACAACGGGAAAGTTGTTAAAGAACAGCATGCTTGCAAAAGCGTTAGTCAAGGTCACACACACACACACACACACACACACACACACACACACACAGTTGTGACAGCTCCGCCTTTGTTTGTGAATCTCGTCTCTCAGCATCAGTCAACAGACTGTAAAACATGTGGCCAAACTCTATGATCCTATTAGATATATGATACATTGGGGGCGTAAGGGAAACACTGCTCTCAACACAACACTTTTACCCACAACTTCTGACAATAAGATAATCAGCACCGATAGAACCAAACAAGGTCATTTCTCACCTCCACCAAACACAGGCACTAAAGTTGAAACCAGTTTTGAAAAATCATATACATATATTGTGTAAAAAAATGTTAATTCACATTATTTTAAGATGCCATGAAGATGATCGGCCTGAAATGTATCACTCAAAATGTACGAAATCAATTTTTTCTCACGCTCCTTTGTTGAGCTGCAATAAATCGTCTGTTAATCAATTGGAAAGCAGCTTGATTTATTCCATTCATTGTTTCAGACGTTTTTCCAGCCAACTTCGTTTCCAGTTCCTAAAGGTTGTGCTGCTGTGCTTCGTCACACACAACAGAACATTGTGCACCTTTGTGTTTTGGCCTGTTTAAAAAAAAAAATGTAAATCCATAAACCAGTTGATGTCTGAATTTGGGTATCATTTTTTTGATTACACGTGCATTTGAACCATGCTGGAAACAAACACTTCAATGAAGGTCATCAGATGTGTTTCTTTAGCCTGCTATCCTATCGGGAAATGAGCGATAACACAAATGTATAAACATACACTGACTCATAAAACACACGCCTATTAATATACACAACACCGAAACCCGTTTTCAACGCTGTGGGTGTAGATGTCAAACACATTCTTTTGAGGACAACACTAAAAATAAAAAGAGACGACGTCAGACGATCAAACCGAAGGAACATTTAAGGAGCCCCCGTTTCCCCCCTCGGCTGAAGGAGGGGAGTTTTTGGGGCGAGAAAGGGAACAAGAAAGAAACAACTGGAGTAGAGAAAGCTTTAATTTCTCTCTGGGCAATCAGCAATTAAATGCACCACTGCTACCGTCAGTTTCTGTAGGATCTTCTTGGCCTCAGTCTGAACAGTGTTGACGTTGTCTTTGAGACAACGAGGCTCTGTTGGTGTTCCGACTGCAGAGAGAAGAATCTCCCTGCCTGTGTGATTGAGCCAGTTATGCGCATGCATCAAGAACCGGACAAACTAGGCGGGGGCATGATGGTCCCTTTTGGACTTGCGTTAAAATGGTGTGTTCTTAATCGCTTTTGATCGTGCGATTCGTGGAACAACATTTTGAGGACGTCCCCTGATGCAGACCTACTAATTCTCAGAGATTGGATTGCAGATAAAAGTCAGAGATGGGAAACGCTTTGTGGCACCACTGTTCCATTTAAAACAGGCCCATCCGCTCCCCCGGACAACCCTGCTCTCGTGTGGTGGGGCTGCATTCCTCTCTGCGGCCTCACCATCATCCGCATCAGGACACACCGTGGGCCAGAGGGAAGAGGAGCGCTGAAAGAGGGGGAAAGGGCTCGAGGGGGAAAAACATGAAAAAAAGTATCGCTGCGACGGAGTGGCTTTTCAGGACAAACGGGAACTAGTGCCGCACTGTATGACATCTTAAATTACAGCCGAGAGACAAAGCCGGAGGGGGGAAAAAGGGAATTAATGAGAAGAATGCGAGATTGAGTGAGAAAGGAGGGAGGTTGATTGCGGCTCCATTCATTCAATCAGCTGGAATTCATCCCTGTTGTTGTGTTTGGAGAGGCAACACCCCTCACAAAACAACACACACACACACACACACACAAACACTAGCCAGAGATCTGCATAACTTTTAAACACGGTTTCTCTTGTATTGGTCCATTCACACACAATATTAAGATACAACGACGGCTAAGTCATCAGTGAAAAACAGTGTGTGTGTGCATTCAGTGTGGCCTTTTGTTACACACACACACACACACTAACCAGTAGAAGGCCACTTTTTCGCCGAGCTTCCTCTCATGGACGTTGCGGTCGAGGATGTTGTAGCAGATATTGGTGGAAGCTCCTTCCATAAACTTGATGAATATTTCTCCTTTCGTCACATCGAAGTTGTAGTCGAGGAACGGACCCGTGTGGTTGGTCTTCCAAAAAAAATCTTTGGCAATGTCCCCCCAGAACTCTGCAGGGCACAAAGAAAAAGGACCAAGGAGGCCGGATTATGAATACGTTTGGAATCCCACTTTGAAGATGCTCATCTCAGATACATTTGTGAAGTCCTACATGGTTGATAGTCCTGCATGGACTCATGGGCGTGCAGGACTGTGGATTTTTTTTTTTTGATACAATGTTTTAAAATTTAAGTGGAAATAATGCAAAACACAATTGTAATAATGTAATTACAATTATAATCTGTATATGAAGACTTTTTTAATTGCAATTAATCAATGAATAGATTAACATTTAAAATTACAACAAATTAAACTAAGAAAACAAACTAAATATTTAAAAGAAACGAGTCATATTATTCGTCATTTATTTTCTATAAACTCAGATTACACGCTAACTAAAACTAACAATATTCATTCATATATTAAGATATTGTAGACTATTTACTAAGTTAATTTGTTAATGAATTATTTGGGGGCCATAGAGCCACAAATGAAAGTTAACTATCAATTCACCATTTATTATTGATGGGTTATCATAAAGTGTTGCCAAAGATAATTAACCACATTGAGTTGCATACACATTTGTGACAATACAATGATTTGCATCTTTCAAACCGTTTTGGATTTCTTGCTTCATCATCTTTTTGCTTAAGACAAGATTTATCTTTTTGTGTAATTAATAGCTGTGCAAATATAAGTAGATTATTAAACTGTCAAACTACCAGTTAACAATTATTTCATGATTTATTAAAGATAGTTCAAAGTATCCCTTTGTCCCTTTTGTGATGCACCCTGAAGACGGATTCCCCAAGCAGGGAAACTTGTTTGATGCATCTGAGGTACTTTTTACGGTCTCTAAACTTTGAAGAAAATGACACAAGCAGCTGTTTGATTAACAATAGCTCCACAGATGCAGAGCCTCCCCCTCCTGCCTGCTGAGATTAGGAGAAACACGCTGCCTCCAAAGGCCATGTTGCTTCTTTAACATCAGAGTTACCTAAATAAACAGATCATTCTCACAGCACAGAAGCTGGAATCAGAGGAAATTGTTGCATAAAAGATAACTGAATCAATACATTTAAGGTCGCAACTAACCAACCAAGTGGTCCAAATATTGTCTCTGAAAAAACTGCATTTCGTCCAGCTGGAGGACATTTACTAAACGTGCAGCGTCAGGTGTTAAGCACCGAAATCGACACTTAAATTGTATGATCCTATACATAAAAAACAAAATAATCAAAATCCAGAATCAAAATTAAAGTCTTAAGAATGCCTGATTCTTGCAGACGTCCTTCGATAACATTCTGACGATGTGGATGTAAGACGCGGATCTGATTTTTATTGAAATAACTCAAACACGTGTTTACTTTAGTAGTTAAAGTAGTTAGAGGTGGCACCTCTAAAGCATACCTGCACCATCACTAAATTAAATGCTTTAAAGCTTGGAGTCGGACAGCGTGTTCCAGGTGTACTTTTTATTGAAGTCCTCTATACTTGATTGATTAAGAGTAGAAGTCCATTTCCCCGCATTTATTCAGCATCAGAATATACTGTAAAGTTTCAAAAGTGCTCATTCTTCATCTTCAGAATGGTCCGTTTTACCATAACACATTTTACAGGTTAATGTTATTAATCGCTTGAAATAATAAGACCTAAAGAGAGATTTTTTTATTTTACAAGGTTGTGTTTATTATCCATTTATAGGTATGCCTGTATTGTTCGTCCATCTGATAACAATACAGCAGTACATGTCACTTAGACATCGTATTAAATAACCCTTTATCCTCAATTCTAATAGTGCATTACATTGTAATATTAATGAATTAATAATTTGTAGTTGCTTTATAGCAGTAGTATTAATCTGCAAAGTTACTCAAAAATACTCAAGCAAGCAGCCTACGAGTATCTGCAGTTCCTTTCACCCACAGGGTGTAAACACGGTAACGTGGGCTTACCATCGGGATTCTCGATGGACTTCAAGTAGAGCTCTTTATATATCTCAAAGCTGGGGATGTGAGCCGTCTTCTTCAAGTCCTCGGACCCGTGGAAGACGTCTTCCTTCGGCACTTTGTCGGGGATCATCTCAGAGACTCGTGCGGCTGCTTGGATAACTAATGTTAACTGAGAGGCGAAGCGGGACGACCAGCAGCGGGTATGTGGACACTCGCTTTGCCAGGTGACCCGTACGGGCACTGCGGGACAGGGGGAGGAGGCTGCGAGGACCCTTTTTCAGCTGCAGAAGCAAAGCAGCGCAATGAAGCAGCGCCGCTGCAGGGCTAGCGTTGCGCTAGCTGGCAGTGAAGTTCATTAACACTTCCTTGTTTTGCAGGATTCTGTCCTGTTCGTAAAAACAAAGACGAAACGTTGAATACGTGTTTTTAAAAAAGCCGCATTTACAGCTGCTGACGCTACGGTTGTGAAGCCCGAGGCTCTTTAGGGTGCAAATCCAGATGGATTTGTCCGGTCCTGGTAGCGCTAACTTCTGCACGCAAGGGAGAGTGGGTGTCCTGCTAACCGCTAAGCTAACAGGCTAAGCTAGCTCACGCCGATAGAAGAGGAGGACGACTCGAGACGAAGCGCATCTGTTTTTAGCTGTATAAACGTAATGCTTTTTATTGTTATTTAATAATAATAAATTGAAAGCTTGCTTTCAGTCAGCAGAGTGTGTTTCATGGTGTCCGGGAGGCTCGAGGTGAACTGTTTTTGTCCCAGCGGTGACAGTCGACTTCCAACTGCTGCCTTTTCTGCTTCTGCTTTTTCTTCCTCGTTTTGTCAAGGAGAACGCTGAACTCCATTTGCCCCGTGTCGGCCCAGCAGCCAATCAGAGCCCGCGCTGCCTTCAGGTACTCCTCGAAAATGAATAACTACAGTGGTAAATGCTGCGTTCAGGTGAACTTGGTTATTCTACACGGTAGTACCAATAAATAGATAAATAATCCAAATGAAATAGTGGATTTTCTTGTTTTAATCTATGTGTTGCAGTGAGATGCAGTAAATGACATGTTGTGTGGAGCCCATTTAAAGAACAATATATAAAGAAAATAATCACAATGGAATGGTGGAATGGAATATTGATTGGCATTAGCATTAGAAGTAGTTTTAAATTCAGCTGTGGAATAGTTCATTCACATTTATATTGCTTATTTATTGACTGTGGTTGTTTTATTTTTGAAGGGCTGGACCTGACAATCTACGTTTCCGTTTTTTCATTTAAAAACATAGAAACACTTTTATTTTACATGACATGTCATTTAGCTGACGCTTTTATCCAAAGCGACCTACAATAAGTGTATTTTAACCATAAGGATACAAACTCAAAAGAACAACAACCAGTGCAATGTCATTAATCTGTGACAGTTGTTCTGACACTCAGCACTGCATAGTCAAACACCGCCACCATTGACAAGGTCATGTGCATACAATTGATAAGAGTTTTAAAAAGTCAACAGGCAGCAGATGGCGATCCTGTTCCACTGCTGCTGCTGTTCACTGCAGAGTTTTAGGAGTGTTTGACCACAGCTTCAGAAACTCTTTTGAGTACTTGAGTATTGTGTGCAGAGGTGGAATTTAGCTCAGTGCACTTACTCCAGTTTTTTACCATTTGGAAGTCTGTGTACTAATGTAGTTAGTCAGCGTAAAATGGATTTGCAAAATAAGTACTTTTAATACATTGAGGTAATTTGACTAATATTACATCCATACTTTTACATTAGTTCAAGATTAACACAATATTATAAATACAGTGCTCTTACCAGTTATTATTATTATTACATGTTGGCATTTTAACGTAAGTAAAGGATCTGAGTACTGCAATCCAAGTTGTGACACTTTGAAAGCCCCTCTGGCCCTTTCTGATGTCACATTTCTGGGGCGGCGACGGTCAAAGGTCAACCCCAGGCCTGGACTAAAGGCTCATGAGAGATTCACAAAGGCTGCTTTGTTTCCTGCGTGTACAACTGTTATCTTCATGTGATTACGTTCCACTCGATTGCTGCATGTTTTGAATCTCCAGTGAAAACGCTGTTTTAACGGGGATAAACACTAACCAAGTAAGCAGGTATTCATCAAGTAGAACAATTACACACTTTGTGTTACAGGCATTTTAGATGTGTATATTTGAGACATTGCATGTTTGACAACTTCGGAGTTGCTGTTGATTTGGTTTCATCTAGCGTCATGTCAAAACTTGTCCAACACTAGTTTATGATCAAATACCTGCAAAATAAATGGACTAAGATGGTTACCACAGTAAACACACTAACATCAGCATCGTGAGCAGGGTGACTTTAATGGTTTGCTTAAGTTATGCCTCACATGACTATGGGAATAATGTACTTGTGTTTGTGGTACCTAGTTGAGAACGTTTTCTTAATTCTCAAGCTGAATAAACCAGTCATGAAAAGTTGAGCGTGTGTTTCTCACATGGAGTCTTATGACGCATTGCTTAAGATTTAACTGTTTGGAATCTATAGCAGTAAAATGCAACATACACAATAATGCAGCAGTGTATCGATCCAGAAACTTTATTCATTATAGCAAAACACTGACGAGAAACATTTTACCACAAAATCAATAATTATACTTCAAGCACTTTGAATTTTTTCTGATACATACTTTAAGTCATGTAAGGTTATGAATGCAGGACTCTTGTGTGGTATTAGTACATTAACCAAAGGATCAGAATACCTCTGAGTCTGTGAACACTTATTCATTTATTTATTCATTCGTTCTTTCATATATTTGCAACATGGAATCTTGTTTAGTTCATGACGCTGTCCATCTAAATGAAAAACAAAAATCAAATGTTGATGTAGAAATACTGTTTTTTATTGTCTGTACCAAACTTGAAGTAAAATCAAGTTTACCCAAATATAAGAAACCCAATAAAGTCCAGCAGAAAAACGAGACAGAGGTGAGAGACTCACAGTGTACACGCTCATCAGCACTGATTGTTGATAGAGAAAAGGTCAGAGGTCACAGAAGCACCGTAGTTACCGGCAAAGCCGGTATTTCACTTCGCTCAGCCCTTTTCATAAGAACGCTTTTGTCACTGAAAAAATACACCACACTCTGCATCGCACAAAATAACCCATTGTACTACAACCATTAAACCAGACAAGACTCAACACACAACTACTTCCAACAACTCGTCGGGAAAAAAGAAAAAAAAAACAAGACGAAAGACCTCATTGTGTTACAAATCACACCTGACTGGAGCGATGACTGTTGCATTAAACTGGCGGTCAGGAGGGCGGCGGATACATCGGCACTGGGCTCAGCAGAGGCCACCGTGTTAACGTTGCATAACAAAAAGCACTTAGTCACTAAGGCTCGACAACACAAAGCTGCTGTGCCAGCGACAGGTTTCCTGCATTGAGCGATCACAGTAAACTGAGGGGGAAACGGTAACGTCCTTCACCGTGACTTTGTCCTCCGTGTGCTACGATACGTCTTGGCATTAACTTACCAGACGGGTTTTACTACCAGGACATAGCACACTTTGTCCTCAGCAGCATTTTTTCTAGGGTTGTCTCTGTACTTTAGCACATTGCATCTGATATTAAAGATGACTTCCGTTTCAGCTTCAATTTCTTGTGGGATGACTTCCACGTTAAGATGAACAGCAGAGGAAAGAGCAGTTTTTTTTTTTTTTTAAACCCTGGTTTTAAGTGACCAAAAGGTTTTGTTAGTACAATAATGTATTTGGATACAAGTCCCTTGGGCATCAAAAAAGACATTGATGTGTGATCAGGCCTCAACCTCAGCCAGTTTCACCTCCCGCTTGGAGTTTTCAGATAAAATGATGAATGTGAACAAAAATCAGTCTGTATTCTTATTTTCCTCCTGTTTCTCAACACGCTGGGGGGGAGGCAGGGACTAAAACACGCTACATGGCCTACAGTGTTCACCCCAAAATGAATGTAAAACCTCTCAAATTAAAGCCAAAATTCAAACGAGAGTTCATTGCTGGCTTGAACCCCTTTGCGCTGCAGTACAGAGACCAAAAAATATTTAAATCACTGCACTATAAAAGAAACTAAACTCCTTAAAATCGTGGGAGTGTTATGTAAAAAGCCAAACATTCTGAAATAATGTCAGAAAATTCTACGGTTGAAAGTATAGATTTTTGTTTTGAGGTGGTTTTACTAAAATATATTACCAGAAAACAAAACTTCAACCTCTGATTGTGTTGAACAATTTTTTGCTTCAACCCGCGGCAAGAAAAAAAAAAATCATTTTACAGAAATTCTGGCATTAAAGTCGAACGATTTAAGAATATATTTCTTTGTTTCAAGGGGCCTGCTACACCGACACATCTCAGCTGTTGCCCAAAATACCTCCAACGTTGTTTATTTTTTAGAACACATTAAAATATCACTAACATTACAAACATTTGCCCAAAACAGCAGACTTACATTAATGTAAAATACAAAAATTATGAAAAATGTCTTATGAAAAGAAAAACGCTATAATTAAGGCCATTGATTAAGTTGTGTATTCCAATAAGGACACCTTTGCCGTTAACAGTTTATGGAATCAACATGTGGTGTTTCAAGTTAGGTACAAATATACAGTGGGGAAAAAAATATATATATATAAAAAAGAAACTGGTCTCAAATCAGATCCACAATACAAGTATTAAAATTGGTTGTTTGGGGGAGTGGAAAAGGGACCGAAAAAGGCATCAGACACCAGTCTTGCTTCCCGACAAAGGAATATTCTTTCAACGTGGCAACTCGTTGATCGCATATTTCTTTAACCACTTTGAAACAAACAAAATCCAACATTAGTAATGAGAGCAGAGGTTTCGTCACTGCGGTTACGACTATGGTGAACGCACACAGATCAGCCAGTCACAGCTCATTTGTGCTATTTGTAATGTGGCCTCTCTGGATCAGGAATTATTCTTATTGGCTGGCGGCTGAGTAAGGGCCACTGGTGTTCAAAAAAGAAAAAAGAAAAAAAATACATCAGTGCATGGACTTACAACACTCTCCAAAAAGGCAAAACATTCAAAACATTTTTGATTTTGTTGTACTTTTTACTTAATATCAGGCTGCTGTTTAAAACGCTGCCACCACACATCCACACAAGAAGAAAGCCACTTTCCTGTAGTTAAGAACTGCACGTTTAAGAAGCTTGAAACTTGAAGCACTGAGTTGGAACTGACCATTGTGGGACGTGGAAGCAATAAAAAAAGACTGATCGGCTACAAAAACAGCAACACTTCTCTACATCCGATCCAAAGTCTAATCTTTCCAACAGAGTGATGGGTGAGCGTGGAAAACCTACGAATAAAGTCTGGAGGACGATGTTCAAAACATACGACAGAAAACCAGAAAAAAAGAAAAAAAAAGAAAAAAAAGAGCGAGGGGGACAAATGTGATAAAACAGTAGCATACATTTATAAAACGCTCTTTTGAAAATCAGGCTGCATCCTTGGTGGAAGAAAAGGCTAAGCGACGATCCGACTGTCGCCTTGTCTCTCGATAAACCCCGAGCCCTTCACAGCGCGGCACACCACCTGCTTTTTTCATTTACACATTGGCTCCAGCAAACTGGCAAATTAGGTTTCTGAAAGCCTGATGAAGTTGAAATAGATTTCAAAACAACTCAGCGCGATTGAAATTGGGACCAGCTGTCAAAAGTACACTATGGGTTTGATGGTAAACGTAACGTTTGGATGGATGTTTCTACCTCCAAACGAATCAAACTCCGTGTCGATAGGCGAGGCACTAAAGGCTGCAGCGCCATCCAACAGAACAAACAATCTTGGCTGGTTTGGGGCAAAAAAGGTTGTGTTCACAGCCGGGTGCTTTGGAGGAGGTTATTTCAAATAGTTTTTTTAACACACACAACCACCCACGCGCACACACACACACATACATACAAACACCCACACAGACTGACCAAGAACATCATCGTGTTTCACACTCAAGTCCTTTACAAAAACAGATATGTACTGCACCATCTGGTTCTGGGAAGGATGGGATTACAGGTGTGTGTGTGTGTGTGTGTGTGTGTGTGGGGGGGGGCTTGAAACTCTCACTGACTGACAGGCTTGAGGAAGAAGAGACTGTGACCCTCTTCATTATTGGTGAAAGGACGTTTCCAGGGAAGAAAAATGAGCTTGGGGTTTGGTTTGGTGTTGGATATAAAACCAAACGGACTGTCTTGAAGAAAACCTCAAGGTGGGTTTGTCTACCAGAGCAAGTGAAAAGTTGCTTGCAGTTTTGATTAAAACTCCTCCTGCTCTTCAGCATCCGGTATCACAAAACCCTCCTAGAGAGAAAGAAGGGGGGAGAGAAAGGAATAAGGAACATTCTAAAAATTGTAATATATACATACACACACACTCAAATAGAAACTTGCATTTAAAAATGACTTAATTTGTGGAAAAACAAGCAACAATGCGGCAGCCATGTTACTCAAATAAAAATATAATGAAACGTTAGAAGTTATTCCATCATCCTTTCTTCATTTAACTATATCATTGTCGAGGATACATTTCAAAGGGTTTCTGTATTTTCCCATAACGATGTATATACAGCAGGAGAAATGGTGCGCTAGAACACTCGGGTGTCATAGACTTGAGCTCAAGGCATTCTGGGACATTTGGGTACTTTCAGATTGTTTTTGCATTTATCAATGTCATTTCCATTTGGGTCGTCGTGGCACAGGGGTGGAGAAGGTGCGCTGGGAACAACAAGGTGGTTCAAGCCCCGGCTGCTCCATGTCCCATGTCAAAGTGTCCCTGAGCAAGACACCCAACCCCTAATTGCCCCCCGGGCAAAAATGTAAATGCCATGGGTTAATAATACAATGTAAGTCGCTTTGGACAAAAGCGTCAGCTAAATGACCTGTAATGTAATATTTGTTCACTTCACCGGGAATAGTTTTCTCATCTCTTATAATGTTCTTTTCAGCACAATAAGGGCGTTGTATGTGGGAAAATGTTCATGGTAGAATAGAAAAAAAAAAAGAAAAAAAAACTGTACAGGAGCAATCACAGTCAAAATGACAAGGAAAGCAATATGCACAGTGGCACACGACCTACAGGGAAGAACTGTAAATAGCTCTGAAAATAAACTGCATGCCATTCTTCTGCAGGAATGTACAACAGCATCAGCCGTTAACAGCGGAGCCAATGGGATTTAAGGAGTTGAACTGGCATGTATTGAATATGAATATGTTGTATTTTTGAGGATAGAAGTATAAAAATGGTGATGTTTTAGAACACATTACAGGAAATGACCAAACAACTTCTGAGTCCATCACAAACTGTCAGACTTCCTGCCTGTGGCCTTCAGTGCCAAGCCACCTGGTTCATGCACAAGACTGTAGTCACTCAGAGTTTTGTCTGATGTCCATCAACAATGTACTATATTTCATACAGTTGACCACTCACGTCTGTGGCGTAGAGAATGTCGATGATTTTCTGCAGCGTGGGGTCGCCCTCTCCTTCCTTCTCCTGGCAGATCAGCTCAATGTTCCGCAGTTTACCAAAATAAAAATCTCTCTCCTTCTCCATGTCCTGAATTGTAGATTTTAGGATCTCCACCTGTAGAGGGGGGTGGGGGCAGAACATGGTTTTTACTTATTGAAGTTCATTCACTTCTTGTAGAAGTAAAACATGTCAGTTTTCAATAGTAATTGGGGGGTTTCTTCCTCTATGCTTTGTAGTACCAACCTCATTCATGAGCTCCGCCCTCTCCTCGTCGCCTCCTCCTCCTCCTCCTCCCATTTTTGGCTTCCTCGCACTGACAAGAGCCAACTTAGGCGCAACTTTGGCAACAGGTGGCCTCTGGGGAGCTGAAGAGGCAACAAGAGGAAGAATATGAACAAGAGAAAAACCTAAAACTTTGATTTCAAACCACAAGACCAACCAGCAGCCTGACCTGGACTGAGAGCCTTTTTGGGGGTTTTGGTGAGAGCTGACGTGGCATTGTTGGGTATGGGCATTGCATCCTGGCCCTGCCTCGCCTCAACCGGGTCATACTCCTTTCCATCGTAGTTTGCATCAAAGAACTTCTTGAACCACTGGACAAACTCAAAGTTGTCCTGGAACTTCCCCTTCACCAGTTTGTCTACTGGAATGATCTAGAAGCAGGAAGAGAGAATCAGGACCAGGATGTTTGGGCATCGCTTCAAGCTAAAGAGTGGATTTAATGGCATTAAGATTTAACAGCTAAATGAAGTGAATGCCTCATTTCTACAGACGATGTGGATTCAGAGTTTCTCCTATTATAACAAGCTGAATACATTAAGGAAAATGACTATCCAAATCAGGCAATACTTAATATTTCAATAGTAAAAGTAGTTATTTTGGCCAAAGACTATGTCTCTAGCTTTTTTGGTTGTGTGAACAAGTTAGGTCAACACATAATACTGTGGATTCAACTCATGTGACTCATACTGACAAAAGAAACTAAACATACTTAAGTAGTTCATCGCTTGAGTGTCAGTTACAGGAAGAGAAAACTTTTTTTTTTTAACAGCGGCACATAGTCACTGCGGTACTGACTCGGAAGGAAACTACTAACTTCTCGAATAAAATGATAAACAAAGAACTAACAAATCCGGCAGGGATCAAAGCCTGTGCGGAGCAGAGAGCACAATAAACAAATAGAAACAGCAGTACACCCAGTTACTCATGAGACGATGCACAAAGGCAAAGTTGACAAAGCAGCCACAACGCCGGGGATTAGAACCCTGAGCGGATATGAAAACCACGATGAGCTCTTAGTGCTCCAGCCGCTGTTACAGCGATCCATGAGTCAACTCCCTCCAGTCTTTCAAAACAGCACAGACAGGGAGAAAGGAAGTCTAAACATGAATTAATTATTGCAGCTTTGTCAATAGTCCTGCATGTTCAGTCAGTGAAAGCAAATGATGACTAGGATGAATCTGCCCAGCCCTTTTCATTCTATGTTGGCAATATCGAGACATTATGAAGCATTCAGCTTCAGAAGGGGGGTCCACATACAAACAGAGTGACAGACCAGTGCTCAGGAAAAACAATGTGACTCATGACCAGATCAGCAGGTTTCATACCAGAACGAGACCACTAATGAAACTGAAAAAAATGTTTTAATACTCTGATTTGACAGCGACGAAGGGGGAAACGTAGGTCACGTCCACTCAGTTCCAGGGCTACTGATCTGAGCTGAAAATAAGGCTGCTGCTCCAAAGATATTATTCATGTGGTCTGAACACTTCCCTACAGTTACACCATATTGAGTTTCATGTGCTTTTCAATAAATGCATTTTTTTTTGCAAGATCAGCAGAAGATGCAACCTATGCAAGATTTGGACGTTTCTATATGCAGGTTCCTTATCGATTTGATTATGTGTAACTCGTCCATTAATCGCTCTGGGGAAAATGCTTGGTTTAAACCGGGTCTTTCTGGCACGTGTCATTCCATCCAAAGATTTGAGGCCAGTCGTCATTCATGCTCAGACCTAAGCTACTTTAAAAAAAAGGTATCCATCCTGTGTTTTATGTTAACCTTGGATTAGAACTGGCAATATAATGTTTGGGGAAACACAGGATCTTGTTGCAAGATTACATAATTCTCCTTTTGCCCTCACGAGTACATGGTGATGTTACTTACTTTGTCCACTCCCATCTTTTTGAAGGAAACCTGCAGAAGCTTGTAGTTGTGGATGTATTCGTGCTCCAGCTTGGCACCAAATTTAACTTTCTTCAGAGGCAAGGAGTTGGGAAACAGCATGTCCATGAACTGGCAATAAGCAGTACCTTGACAAATGAAATGATAGGGTTACTCAACTCACAATTAAACTGAATGCACAATTTAGTAAAATGCGCTGAATTTTCAAAATGGGGATTGGCTAAAGATGATCCGTGACTCCCATAACAAAAGAAAGATTTTAAGAAATACGTTGCTTACCTGAGCACAACATTTCTATCTTGGTTAGGTTCATTTGTAGAGAGTCATTGATCCACACCAGCATGTCATGACGGCTTAAGTTGTCGCTGGTCACTGAGGTTGAGTACACGTTCACAGCCATTGTCGGTCACCTGCTGACAGAGAAGGGGAAACCAGAGTGGGATAAACGTACATGACGACTGATTTGTCAGTCAAAGTGGATGGAAGGGCAGAACAAGTGGACAGAGCCAAATAAAACTGCACAAAGCTGGTGATTAAAGACGGCAGTCAAAGCCACCTGTAGGATCATAGGGACATAGGGATCGAGCTCCCGACTCTGGACGCGGTAGCAGTCTACACAAGAAGGCAAGCCACATCAGCAATGACACAACCCACCCAGTTCAGTCCGTTTGTCCCCCTTTTTATTCATCTTGTGTTTTTGTTTTTTTTATCTTTCGTTCGCTGCTACTGGCTTACTTGGGGTTCCCAAATGGAATTGCATAGCATAACAAATGCCAATCACAATTTCTCAAAGCAAAATATGTGCAGAAGTATTATAATATGTCAAGATAAGAAGCAGCAAAAATGAATGTTCGTAAACATTTTTTCCCTGGCATTATATCAAAAAAGTTTGAATAGATTTTCCTTTAATTGACCGATTGATTAATCAAATCAACTAATCATGCATTAAGCGCAATATCATTTGCAGATTAACATTATTGATTTAAAATATAAAATCAACTAAAACTATGATGTATTTTCTAAAATGAATCCTTCTAGCAATATATGTTAAAATATATTGTTAAAATATATATGTTATATTAAATTTGAATGGTTATATAGTCCAGTAATATATCAAATATGATTTTGGACACTCCGCATAAAGAGTACGACTTTAATACTTTTGTTATATTTCATGCAAGCACGTTTGTGGTGAAAGACAATTCCCCGTAACAGAGTATTTTCGCTGTGGTGGTTTTAAAATAATTTTAATTCACCTCGGAATACCACCGAACTAAGATCGTGGACAAAGGATGACGCATATTTAAATGTACTAATGTTACGTTAGGTAAATTACAGCAAAGTCGTATATTTCAATGTTAAAAATAACCGTTACCGCAGCTCCCACCACTCCTTGCATTCCAGCTAATAGCAAGTGACCGTTAGTCCAACGCAACAGGGCCCCGGTGAGAAACTTGTGAGCTAACGGTGGCGGTTGTTAGCCAACTGACCAGAGAACTCAACGTAACGTTAGCTCCCTTCGAAACGTTAGCTAGCTTAGCTAGGCGGCTAACCGATAGACCGGTGGACTGTCATTTGCTAACGGACCGCAAAGACCATCAATTCAAACATTATTTATACTAGTGAATAACATGTAGCTACAATTTAAGTCAGTTTTAGTCACCGGCGAAACTCCACTGGCTACTGTGAGCCGGACATGGAGACGTTTCCACCCCCCCTCGCCCCGAAACCACCAAGCAGCCCCGCTAGCTTCAGCTAGCCCTGGGCGCAGATAATGCGGCGGATTTCCAGTAGGTGAGCTCGAATGTGTAGGCTTTGTCATCGCTTCGCCTGACAGCTACAGAAAGGAGCCGCGTAGACTAGACGCCACGCACCTGGCTGGTTTGATCGTTGGTCAAACGGTTCCGTCCCGGCTAGTCACAAGCTAGCATCGTTGCTAACAGAGCTAAACTGACCCAACACCAGTCGCCGCTTCACATGCCGGCTAAGATCGCGAAATGACATCGTGTTTCGGCGCAGTTGAACCTACCTGGAGTGGATTGGCGTTCACAGATCTAGGACACGATGACGTTATTCTTTTTAGCGGGTGTAACTCTGTGTCATAAAGGAGTCTGGTGTTAAGTGTAATTGTCTCGGCTTTGCAGCTACTTCTGCTTTTTTTTCTTCTTCTTGGCAGCTCACGTTCTCTACCGGCAGCGGAAGAAGCAATTTGTCAACGTCACGACGGAATGACGTAGCAGAACGGGTAACGCCTCAACGGGACGTTTTGTTACGGACATTTCTTTTTAAAATATATTTTTAATTAAAACATACGTCTTTAATAATGTTGTACTGGGCTCTGTATAGTTATAAATGCATTATACAAATAACTGCACACATACCTTTCAATTTCAACGTAAAAATATTAAATGGGTATATTGCCTGCACCAAGGAAAAGGCTCTGACCCAATGGTGGAGCCTGCATGTTGGACCTAGCTGCACAGGTGACAAGTAGATCTACATTATGTGAACGGATACACACCTAAAGATGTACATCTACACAAATGGCTGGGGAAGAATTGTGGAATGTCCAACCGCCAAGATAGTGAATAGAAGGAAACACTTTAATAAAACATTTTCTCTTGTTTATTACATGTTCTTCCTTGACCTCTCTCTCTCTGGATGTATGTTACATTATGCTACTGTATAATGTAACATTATACTATGAATCAATCTAAATGAAAGTTGGAGACAATTTGGTACTTGCTCCTTTATTTTGCTTTGCAAAAAGTAAAACCTTTAATCTCCTTGTCTATTTTTATTGACTGTGGATATGATTTATAAAATGGATTAAAATAAAAATAAAAGGTATTTGAAGTTAAAACTGTTTATCCTTATAGCAAACCTAAAGTTGAAAGTGTATTTGAATGGTCTTAAGTAAAATAAGATTGTATTTGTTTAACACTTATTTAATGCACACATTCATTTGTCAAAATACACAATGTTTCCCTCAAACATTGAAACACAGTATGTGATGCAATACACAGGATCGGATGGGCCCTCACAGAATGAACATTAAAAAAAAATTCACAACTTAACAAAACATTGTAGCATATAAAGAAACACATTAACTATACAAATGAACCATTATGATTCTGTTGAAAAAAACAAACTAAAAACTTTAAAAATCCGACCATTTATTTTATTTCAGTTACCCTGATGAAGACACAAAACCGAATACTACTTTAACAAAAAAAGCTGCTAGACAAATTGTCAACTAGACCTTTAGTATGAAAACGTTGGCTCTTATGTCCATCACAGTTTTGTTGGTGTAAAAGTTCCAGTGCACGTGCACATGCACTTATCCTTTTAATCTACTGACAGATGTGTGCACAGTTCCGGTTTTCTCATTTAAACAGCAATCATTCCAATCTGACGGTAAAGTTGGGCAGCTCAACATTATTCACGCCCCAAATGACAATTCATTCATAAATAAAATATCAAGCTTATGACAGAAAAATATCTCACGTTTCTAACATTATTTTTCATCCATTTTTTTAAAATACGTAAAAAGCTCAGGGGTTTATGCCATATGTGCAACGATTAAATCTATGCTCACGACGATATTTCCTCAAGAGACATGACTGATAAACCTTCTCCCTGCACAGACATACCAGAGACAAGTGTAAAAAGGAAATACAAAATGACCAGTGATGCCACTATGTCCCTGCTATCCACTGGACTCTTTTAGCCTTTGAAAACAGGGAGGATTGGCAGCGTCTTCAGTAGGTGGAAAGATTTGGTAGGAAAAGCTACAGAGTTGATGTAGAAGCTGGAGCAGCATCTTCTGCAGGCTTGGAAGCCGAAGTGACTTGTTGGCTGTGCACACAGACTCAAGTGTGTAGGCCTTTCGTCCGTGTGTCAGGGATCCACAAAAGCCTGTCTGTGAGCTCAAAGTAGAGAGACTGCATAGTTCATTAGTACTCCACTGACTTCTTATAGAACATACAAACTATATTATACAAAACATTGCCAAACTCCACTTTATCTCAGCTGCTCCAGTTCTGGGGACGCAGGGGAGGACGGAGAGGGGCTGGAGTTGGAGGTGGTCAAAGGAGGAAGCTCCTCGCAGGCAAAATAGTCCTTCAGGGGAGCAAACAGGTGACGGATGACTGGCACGCTCCAGGCCTTCCCCAGCACCTTCTGCCTCTGCTGCCGGTTCATGTTTCTCACATCGGTATAATGTTTGGGGAACCCAAATATCCTGGTGAAAAAGAAAGGGGGAGGTCACACAGCATGGAAACCATAGGTTGTTAAACCTACACCGGGATTCCACTGGGCGAAGCCGCGCTACGCCCCTGGGTGGGTCGCAATCTCTCACTGGAGCGCTTCAGAGGTGGAGCAGTTTTCTCCCGCTACTTTCGGATTTAGTAAATGTAGCCATTTTCGATTCTACCAGTAGGTTACGTAGTCAAATATCGGTTTCTTTCTGTGTGTGTTTATGGTTATTTCCTAGTTTTTTGTGCTGTAGCCTACAGAAGTGATTACTGTTAAAAGTTCAATAATGAACAGCATGGATCAATGATTTGTGGCTGCATAAGGATTCTGCAACAGGCCCTTATTTGGAAAGAAATGATCAGATGCGCCAGCTGTTCCACTTCCTGCCTTCAATCTTCAAAAATAAGCTTGGCAGCCATTATAGCTCATCTTTCAAATGATTTAACTTCAGTTTTTTTTTTGTTTATATCCTACAGCTCCTCCATAGTGTGAAATAGGTTACTCTTAGCTAGTTCCAGTACAGCAAGTTAGGAGCTGGTAGTAGAAGTTCAAAGAGGACAGAACTGAACTCAGATAAAGAGGAATTGACCAAGAGTTCAGTAGCAACAACCACGGTTGGTCAGGTTTGGCCAGTAGGATGGTCACAGGGAATCGGACCGTCCTACTGGCCTACTCTACACACAGACACATAACATGACTTATGACGCCTACCTTTCTAGCTCCGTGATCCAGAGGTTGTCCTCTTTGCCATTATGGAGGACAGGCAGCAGGGAATTGACACCCTTTCCCTGCTTCAGAGAGTTTGGATTGGTGGTGATCGTCCTCACCTTAGAGACCTGCAACAAAAATACCATCAAGTGACTGATGACAACCTTGAATGAACATAATAATTAACATAAGTCCTAAAAATAAAAACACATTCAGCACTTAAAACCGGTTAAGTGAAGATAATTGAATAAAATGTAATCTGCAAGTTCACTGACCCTTGCTTTTCTACCAATCTCTAAACAGTCCTGGAGATTCAGCTTGTCGTTCTGGGACGCTGTAATGGGCCTGAAGGGAAAAAGCAGAAAACCTTATTTTCTACCGTAAACAAAAACAGAAGTTAACAGGATTCAGAAACAAGAAAATATGGATATAAAAAGGAGAAGACCGTATAAAAAAAGCAAGATTGCACCATTACTGCTAGTGTTACGAGACAGATACTTTATTATTCCTAGTGGGGATATACACTATTACAGCGAGCCAACAAACAAAAACATCACGTAACAACAACAACAACACATTAGTCCATTCAAACACATAGTTGGAAACCATTAGTTTAATTGGACCCATTGAATTCACGTTTCTGCATTGAAGTCTCACCTGCTCATCCCCGGAATGTTTCCCCAGAAGCAACGGGCTCTGTGAGCAGGGCTGACATTGACTGCATTCACCAGCACGGGGTTGCACTGTCAAAGAACCAAGTCACCAGTAACAGTCATTCTCACAACTCCAAAAACAAGTTAAATAGCGAGGAACAGCTGGGCAATAGCTAAGGAAAGAAGGAGTGAAGGGGTGGGAAGAAAATGGGGAAGGATAGAAGAAGAGGAGGAGAGGGCTTCAGAAATGAAAGGATCCATCACACAACTGGACGGGGCGAACCTCGAGGAAGCGGCAGATGTTGACTTTGTCGTGCGTGTTCATGAAGACCACGTTCTCAAACAGCCAGAAGAATGGCCGTGGGTCTTCCTCTTTGGGCTTCAGAAGCTGAAGGATCCTGTAGTATTCAAAGAAGAGCCTGCCAGTGCCCTCTGTTGGAGAGAGAAGGGAATTACAGCTGAGAGGAAGAACGTCATAATAATAAACAGCATAGAAATAGGGATTCCAAAATGAGTAATATCCTCAGGAGTTTTTATAATGATGTTGCGTTTCCTTCTTTCTCAAATATGTCTTTGTTGTTGTTGTTTTGTTTCCCCTTTTCTGTGATTTAAGTGATATTTTAAATGAGGGTTGCCTCCCAATGATTTCCTTAGTAAAAACGAAGGTTGAATGCGTACTTAACAAAAATGCAAGAGAAAATTAAAGAGATCATGTAATGCAAAGGTCTAAGTCATGGAAATAAAATAGGAACCAACAATAAAAAGGCAGAAAATATTCTTCACTGTGATTAATCTGATTGGCATCTAATGATTACCTCTTTTGCTTATTTTACTTTAAGAAATTAATAGTCTTCACACAATAATAACAAATTCATTAAGTTCCAAGAGCCTAAATTGCCCAATTATGATATGTATGATATATGTATGGCATGTTGAAGTTGCACTGACCGTTTGACCTTTCAATTCTTATTTTGTGACAATCAATGCATTTAAAGATGACATGCAAACAACATAGTTACGGACCGTAAACGCCTTTTCTCAACGGGTTGACAATAGAGAGGTCGTTACAGGGGCTGCCTCCGATCAGCAAATCAAATGGACCCCACTCATTGATCTAGAGGAGAGAAGTTCAATATTAAGCCACCGGTCACTTCAGTTACGTCAGTAGTTATAAAAACAAAATTTAATTTTCAAATAAATAATAAATAAAAAGGTTTCAGAGGGCATGATGGGAAGGAGGATTAACATAAACATAAACTGTGTGTGACAATGTGAATATACAAAAACAGAACATACGTGTTCGTGGGTGATGAACCGGGCGTCACCAACATGGTGGATCTTCCCATCGTGGTTGATGGTCGCCACGGCAAGCGAATCTTCACAGATCTCTGAAGCAACATATGCCTCGACTTTGAAACCGAGTTCCTTCAGCACAAAGTAGCCTGTAAATAATACACAAGACACACATATACACATGCTGTAAGCGTGTAAGGGACAACGGGAACGTATTGGCAGCAAAACACGGGGGCCAACCACATATGGTTTGTCCCTGGAATGTCCAGATTTAGATCCTGTACAAATTGTTATTCAGGAAAACCTTTCAACGCCACTTTCCCAAAACAACACCTGCAAACATTCCAGGGAACGTGAGCATATGCTCGGCTCGAAATGAAAGCCACATCGCCGAGACAAGAATGTGAGGGGTCATGTCCGTCTGACGAAAGACACTTTTATACAGAGCATGGCGGCAACCGGCTGCAGCAGCGTTCATGTCCATAAGGTCTTGGCCCATCTCCTTCTGTTGAGTTTCATGGCATTCATAGGTTTTGCAGTAACACGACTTGCTGGACTTAAGCATGCCCATTTATTCCAGCATTGCGATGGCAAATGGGTTATGGAGCGAGACGAAAAGGTTCCTGTATGTGTTGCCTGTGAAAAGTGAAAAATGACTGGCGGTGCTTGAAAGGTTGCTTTGAACCCTCTTAACCTTTAAAAATCAATCATTATTGGGTTAAGTGCCCTAGGTGTACTCACTGGGAATGTCAAAGAGTATTGTACTTACTGGAAGTAACACAAAACTTAGCCACAAAACTTTCAGTTAATCTCCCGGCGATCTCCCTCCAGGTGAAATAAGTACTCACCAGTTGCTATGCCATCAAACAGTGAGAGAACTCGGACTGGTCTGCGCAGGTTTGCAGGGATGGACGGGTAAACACGGTGAGGCTCCTTTAAAGTAAAACAATAAATATCAACGATGTGGTAACTGAGTCTGTATGATTCCTGGGAACATGTATTTTAAGAGAAAAGGGAACTCCATAAGACTTAAATTTGCTGTTTAGAATATTGAGGTCATTGTTAGTGTAATGTGTTTACTTACACATTTATTGCAACTTAATAGGATTTCTTTTTTGACCTTTTGTGTAAATCCGTTATGTGGTTACATGATTTTTCAGTTTTGGTGCTTCTTCTTACTTTGTTATTTTAAATGTTAGGTTTGTATACACGAGATGCTTTGCATGGTATGTAGTATAGTAATTTAAAGTTATCTATGCTAGGCTTTAAATTTGGGAGCTTGGGGTCACTAAGGTTTCTCTTTAAATACAAAGTTAAACAAAAACTTTTCTACAAAGCCAAATCTAAAACAATTTATTAATGGTTTTTTTTAGTATTTATCTGAAATCCAATCCCTAAAAAAGTTGTACATTTTCCAGTTATGCATCAATCAGGTGACCTTTTTAAGTTTAAGCAATTTAAGAAACCAGATCTATAATCTATCGCTGGGGACACGAGCCAAATTTAACTTTGAGCCTTTTCTACCCAAAGCCAGTCATGGTGCACCATCACAGAGAGGAGCAGAGTAGAGGGGATCCTCCCTGACCCGACGGGTTGAACCCCTGGGGGGTTTGGACCCAACCCATTGAGAAGATGGAGCGAAAGTGTCGATCACTCACAAACTCCATGGCACTGGTGTTGGCGAATAACTCCTGAACACGAATGCTCCAGTCCTCTCTGGGGATCAGAGCGCCGTGGGGTTTATGAGGCTGACACAAGTAGCAGATCCACGGGTCCACAGCCTTCAATGAATCGAACGTCCCGGGACCCACAAGGATGTTCAGGCAGTCTGTGCAATAACATCTGCAAATGTAGAGGATGGGAGTAGAAAGAAACTTTTAAATAAAAATAAAAGAGGAAAAACTGAGCTCTCGAGATGAGTGAATCGTGGAAGAAAAGACGAACAACCTGCCGCAGCTATCATTGCCACACAGTAGGACCTCCAGTCCATAGCAGCAGATGGTACAATACGATTGATATCCATCATCATCAAAGCAATACAGGGTTTCTTTTAAGTTATCCTACAGGGACAAAAAAAAGACACCACAGACAGGGATTAGGGAAAGTTCAACAGACTGAGACCACAAGAGGAAATACATCGTTATTGCTTCGATTATATTTTTAAACCAATTAACCCAGCGATTATGTTTTGGATAAAACAATTCATTAAATAACTAATAAAAACTAAAATCTTTTTTTTGCTCCTAGCGTCGCCTCAGGCAACCAAAGCAGGTTATGAGAATCAACACAAAACACTGACTACGTAAAGAATTGTCCCAGCCCTACGGTGTGGAGAAACAATTGGAAGTAATCTGAGGGACACTTACTGGAGCTGAAGATCACTTACTTTACACATGGAGCAGAGGCTGCCTTTAAACAGAGGGTGGAATATGTCAACGTCTTTGGTCCCACAACACAAACAGAAGCCTGCCGAGAAAAAACAAACAAGCACAGAAGCAAATTAGCCATACAGATAAATATTGGCACAGTTCACAAACAACAGCATGACAGCAGGACCGAGCTCTGCTGCTGACCGCAGGAGGAGCTGAAGGAGTTTCTGGCGAACCAGAATGATTTAAGAATCGGATTTCTTGTAGCATTAGGAATAATTATCTTGAGCCAATCTTGTTGCACAATACAACTTAAAAACTCACCTTCGATGTCAAGCTTCTTCTCCATGATTGTACGGATGATATTCTCTGCAAGGAAAGAAAAAAAATGACGGACTACTTCTCTGATGTACTGTGAGCTGCACTTAATAGAGGAGGTGTTCTTTACTAATTGAATTAGATGAAACATTTTTCTTAGCTAGCAATAAAATCCAACCAGTTGCCCAAGCTTGGTTCAGAGTTCAGCGTGTTGTCTCTCTGAATGATGTTGATGGATTTTTTGGTACCTCTGAGTTCCTGGTCCGGCTGGGTGTACGCACTGGTCGTCTGGTTGACCTTATTGTAAGGTTTGTTGATGGTCTTCTTCTTGTAGGGCAAAAAGTCCGGTGACATGTCATCATCAAATCCATCAAATGGACTGCTTTTCTTCTTCTGAGCCTTCCCTCCCTTCCCCTTTCCTCTCTCCTTCTCCCATTGTCCTCCCCAGTCATCTCTCTCCCCCTCCCCTCCTCCATGGACTCTTTTAGTGCTTCTTTCTGCAGAATCAAATCCTTCCTCCGATGCACTTTCACCTCCACTCCCTGGAGACAACTTCTCCTTGGAGTTGCGTGACAGTTTTCTATCAGAGACTGACTTTTCTGTTGGCTTAGTCCTGATGGTGTTGCTGGTTCTGCTCCTTGGGCCGGAGGAGCTGAGAGGTTTTGCTCTTTTGCCCCTCTGAGTAACATCTGGACAGAAGACAATCATACATGTGACCTAAAGGGTATAAATAAATAAAATACACAGGATATGTCCAATACGTTTCAGATCCTCTACTATCTTATCTACTATCTAGAACCTGCCACACATTACCTGGCTTCATTCTAAATTATGTTGTATCTTAGCGGGAAAAGATCCTGGCCACCATTGGAAACTTTCCACTGATCACATCACACAAGCTTGTCTCTCCACTGGGACCATGTTACGGTCTAACGCTCACACCGGGCCCTGGCCTAGGCCGTGACAGAGTAGGCTTGAGGTGACCTTTGACACAGACGCGCCTGAAAGCAAATCTATTGAGTAAATCTATTGAGACTCTTCCTAAAGTAGGTGTTTGTACCGTTTGGGACATCTGTTGGTTTGAGTCCATCTGGGCCCGTTGGCTGAAATCCTCCTAAAGCCCAGTCCAGCATGTGTTTCAGCAGCTCATCTCGGTCCCCAACAAATTCAGAGAAATCCTTCTTACAACGTAGAGCGGCCTCCTGGTAAGTCACGGATATCAATGTGTAAACGGGAAAATTCATCCATCGTAATATTAACACTTTCGGGTATTAATTCAGGTGTAATTGTGTAACCACAGATAGAGGATCATGTCTAAGCAGCTATCACAACACACACTCTCTCTGTAGAATCCTTTTTATATCAGTGAGTATGCAGGAAAAAACCCCTCAAACCTGCAGAGACGTGAAGAGGGCTTCTCGGTAGGTGATGAGGATGGCAAAGGAGTTAGAACAGAAGTGCTGGGCGAAGGCAGCAAATGGTTTCAGGGCCTTTAAACTGACCTGGAATCAGAGCCAAGAATTCACAGCAGAGAATGGAAAATGAGAATAAGTGACTTAGATTGTCACTATTATGATATATATATAATAATAATATGTTCAAATTTACACAGTCACATTGCCATCCATCACTTCATCAGACAGATCTTCGGGATTTAATAAGCTGGCAGAATGAAAGATTGTCATTACGATCGTTTTCAACTGTACCTCAGGCTTTTTTTTAATTAGATTGTCAGTGAATGCAGCTTATTTAGTACCACGGGGTAAAGGGGTAAAATAACAAAACATTACTTTAATGTAATGAAAAGAAGAATGTATGTACATGATTAACTACTGAAGTCAAATCTCACGCACTCACTTGAGAGGACATGTTTTGTCCGTACCACTCAACCATCCCAGTGTCTGGGAGTTGCTCCCCTCCGCTGCAGCGTATGATGGCTGGCCAGGGAGAGAAACCATCCACTTGACCCCAGACCAGCTCCCCTATCACGTGCTGTATAACACACAATAAAGAAGCTAGAGAATAAATACTGAATTTTTAATTAAAACCTTTTTAAAGAAACATCTGTTTGCTTCCACCAACAGGGACAAGTTACAGATGCAAAGTGACCAGAGGTACTTGCTAACTGCTATATTCTTTTTAAACATTATCAGACGTAAACATGGTTTATGTGGTAAAACTGAGAATATAACATTCAATATATATTACATATACAGTATGTATAAAATAGGCCATTCAAATAAATACTGATTATTCAATTTGCAAATGCTAATATGGATTTACCAGCAATTGTCCTGAGTTAGGTGGTGTGCTTGTTGAAATCCCGCCATCATCCCGATCAACAAGGACCTCAACGAATGCAGACTGTGGAGTTCTTTCACCTGCAAAACAGTGACGACCACTGATGACCACAAATGATCATATTCCTTGTGTAAAATTAAAAGGGCTCTTGTTCATCTCGAAGCATTTCTAGGCATGACTATTCCCAACTTACCAAAACCATGAGTCAATTTTGTACAAAATGTAAATCCCCCCTTTGAACAGAACTATTTGTCCCTTAGAATGTCATGTTGCTCTTTTTTAGCTCGTATTTCAGAGCAGGAGCTCTCCCAGCGAAGAGGAACAAGTGATATGACGTTTGCAGTTCTTGGTTCAATAACCGCTCATATTCTAACTCAATTTTTATCAACACTCTCTTACTTGCTGTTTTCATTGGACTTGCAGATGGACTTGTTTCGAAAACCTCTGTGGTATCAACCACATCTGACGAAAAATAGAAGAAGAAAAACACGTTATTTAATATTGTCCACAATGTTTGGAAATGCTGTTTCCGTTGATTTTCATTGTTGAAATGTTTCTGTTGACGACGCTGGTGCTCTGATCCCACAGCGCACACCTGGCTGACAGTCTCACCGGAGGAATTGTCTGTGTAGTCAGAGTCCTCCACTCGGCTGGAGGCTTGGGAAAGAAGATGGAAACTGGCTTTGGCCACCTCAACACAATCCCCATCCTCTGACAAGGCCTCTTGGTTCTTCTTGTCACTTCTAACGACCTGGACAGAGTTCCTTAGTTTACTGATAAGCGGTTCTTCTGCCAAACAGCGGAACTGCGATAAGGCTGCAGGGATCAACTTGCTGGGAGGAGGAGCCCTTTTGAACACCTTGAGAAAGGAGCAAGCAAACACAAGATAAATCTCAATACTTCACGTGTAGGTGCTAAAAATGTCCCGTTGTGTTTGAAATCCAAACAGTGAACTGAAAAGAACGTTTCAGTTTTAGCTTTTCACACTCACTTTATCAAACACCTGCGTCCGGCCCAGAGAGCTCGGCAGGGCCAGGACGGTCAGGAAGAGCATACGCAGAGCCGAGTGTGGTCTGGTGGCATCCAAGATCTGTAAAGACAGCACAACTCCTAAAGTAGCACTTCATATTTTACTTCTAGTAGGGAGGAATAGTAGGCATACTCAAACAAATGATGAAAATGTGCTAGCGCTTAAAATCAGCGAATGGTAAGGTACATTTCTATTGTAATTATACAGAGTAGAACTGTGCTTTCCGGTTAATGAGCTAGCGTACAACATGGATTTCTCATTCACCTCACCGTCAGAAAACAGAGGTATTTAGTCCTGTAGCCAGATACAAATGTCATTCAAAAACAGTTAGGCAGCCCTGATCCATTACGGTGTCAGTTTACCTTTTGCCAGCCATGCTCCCCTTTCACCGTCTTGATGAGTTTATGGTAGTCGTACGCCAGCTGATGCTTCTCTGAAAGCCCACATTTGAACAGACCCAGCTGAAAGCCCAACTCGTACAGCACATTCCTGGACAGTGTGTTACCCTAAAAGGGGAAAAAAACAGATATCACAGAAAGCATTATGTATTAGATGAAGTTAACCATCGAGACACCGATGTTTACATCTTAAACTACAAATGTTGATGTCCTGAAAAGAAGCATTAAAACATCAACGTCAGGAAAATCTCCAGCAAACAAATACATAAATAAGAAAAATAAATGTTCTTACGCGTATACTTCCAGAATGTTTCAGCACCGTGTAGATATTAGTCAGTACAACCTCTCCGAGGTGCCGAGGAAGACTCTCCACTAAACACTCGAGTGCTGCTTTATAGAAAGTCGCGGCGTCCTTCAGGAAGTCCCTCCTCTCCTGTTCTCCCAGATCGACGACTGCGGTGGCCCAAAGGAATTCTCTGGCACGAGCCCCGACTTGCACCTCAGTTATTGGGAGCAGCTTTGTGCCATCTTGTAAGACCCTCACGTCTCGCATTGTGAAAAAGTGCTCGGCGACAGAGGGCCGGAGGAGATTGGTCGCGTAGAAGCGAACCAGCATGGCCGTCAGCTGAACCTCGGCTACCACGCTGGTGCCGCACTCCTGCAATTTTTGGAGAGCTTGGAGGGGCTCCAACATGTGGGAGAGGAAGATGAAGCGAAGTTTAACTTTATGATCCATCAGCTGGGTTCTGATGCGCTCGTCCGCTTGCTTCAGTGACTTCAAATAGTCTACTAGAGGCCTCCAGCTGCTTGCGATCCTCTGCACAGAGTGGGTGGTGAACAAAACCTGCACAGGACGGGATGGGTTGTACGGCTCCAGAAACAGCCCTTTCAGATCGTCGCTGACGGGTGGGTAGGTGTGCAGGAGATCGTGGATGTCTCTAACCAGGTCAACCACGCAACTGAAGGAAGCCAGGAGTCCCGCCTGGCAGGCTCTCTCTGCCACGTCGGGGAGGCCGCAGAGTGACATCAACTTTGGGTTGTACGCCTGGAGCATGGATACAAACACCCGGCTCACCCCGGGGTGTGGAGCGTTACAGTAGAACGTGACAACTTTGGACAGGAGGAGACCACATTTCTTCAGCTTCTCGATCAGAAGGCGGGCGTCGGCAGCGGCTGCGTTGGGGACGGCGTCCGCTGTGGTTTGCGGTTTGTCTACGGCATCGACGCTCAACTGCAACGTGAGCAGCGGCTTTACCACGCTGACCCCTGAGCTCTGGTCGAAGTAGCCGACCAGGACGACGCTCGTGTTCTGGCCTCCACCCAGCTCCACGCCAACATACAGGTAGAGGGAGTACGGCACGCGGGAGCACGCCATTACAATGTCGGTGGGGTGGTTTGGACTCAAGATGGGGCCAGAAACCTGAGAGTCTCCGCTTGTATGTCTGTATCTTTTGACGAAGCGCAACAAAGTATCATCGCTGCGGCCACTTCCTTTCTGCATTGCTGCTACTGCTTGCGTCACCCTTTTGTCCTTCGAATCTTCTTCCACTGTCGTCTTCTGTGTCTCAGTTTCCTCCTCCGCTGTCAAGTCCATCACATCGTCATCTTCATCAGATATCACTACTATTACATCTGGACTATTTTCAATGAGTTTGTCTTTTTGGGGTTTGGGTTCTGCTGTGTTTCCATCCGTCGTCACAATAAGGTCGTCGTCGGAATGATCATTTATAATGGGAGTGAAAGGATAGTTATGAGTACTCTCAATACAAGGAGCATGCAATATTGACTGACTTCATACTTTTGTTTAAGTAAAGACATTTCTCTTCCATCATTGATAAATAGGTGTCCACTATATAAATGTTCATAATGGTCACATACTATTGCCACGGAAAGCTCTACAATGCTTTGTTTGCTATGTAGACTACCTGTATAACAACTGTGTGATATGCTCACTGACTTACCCGAGTAAGCAGGAACCATGCTCTGTCCACCTCTAGCCTCCAGGGGATTGTACTTCCTGTCCTGGTGCAGGTTCCTTTCAAAGAATGCCTTAAACCAGTATAGGAAGGCCAGAAACCATGCCGTGTCCTTCTTTATCAGCTCCTCAATGGGGATGCACTTCAGAGGAAAGAGGTCAATTTACTTGTGATCGAATCTAAATAAATGTTGTTGTTTTTTTAAAGATACTGCCTGTAGCATCACAGAGGTTGATTAGCAGAAATAAGATATAATATTCGTAACTATGTTTTAATTGTGTTTGCATAATGTTTTTTTCTTGACCTTGATGGATAACGTCATGATCCAGTAAAGATGTGTTGAATTAGGGAGAATACAGATCTTTTTTGTTTTTACTTATTTGTATTGTTTTTTAAAAAATGAATACATAATAAAAAGACATTTTGAAGGCCCCCGTAGCTCAATGTCATACAAAAACATCATAACATCAACATAAACACTGCTGGCATTATATTGGCAATGAGCCAACTCTGGCTGATTTTAAGCTCATTTTTAATATTGTATTAATTACTAGTCATCTATTCACCACTTTTGTCACAATACTCACTCGCAAAACTCCAACTTTTTTAAATGCAGCATTCAGTAATCTGTAGTTGGGAATGGCGTCCACCATGTTGTTGCATAGGAACTGGACGCTTGAGAGGTCTATGGACTTGGGAAACAACCAGTTCATCAGCTGGCAAAATGCTCCACCTGGGTGTTCATACAAGCACACAAAAGTGATCAATAACATGCAGTCAGGGTACGAGACAACAATAAGATATTTACTAAATATACAGCTCAGCTCATGGCTGTGACTTACCCCCGCATAGCTGCTCCGCGTTGGTGAAGCTCGTCTGTAAAGTGTCATTGAGCCAAGCCAGCAGCCCGTCGTCGGGGATCAATTGTGTGGGCTTCGGCAGAAACACATTCACTGCCACCTCCATGTCCATCTTCTAATGACTTGGATCGGAACAAACACACTCATATTCAAGTTATGATATTCAAGTTCTGTGTTACATAGTAACTTGACTTATCAACAAGACAGCAATGGTAATTATTCAGGATCTAAAGTCACTTTTTCCCCTTTACAGGCTGTATAAAAGTAAAGCTAGGACTCAAATCGATTTTATAAATACAAGAACATTTGGTAAAGGATTTAAAAACACGGATGTTTGTAAACAGGCACATACAACTACCACCTACTTCATCACTTACCCTTCTTCCCCGCATCCCCGACGTCACAACCACGGCCTCGCGCACGTTAACTGCTAAACCTTGTGTTCTCTAGTAAATCGAAACGTGTCCCGGAAGGACATTCCTACGAAATATTGATCCCACGCACGCAAGGAACACCGGTGAACCTCGCTCACTTTAAGGCCCAATCCCGATTTTACGGATTCCAAGGCGCGCTCCCGCTAGCTACCTGCGCGAAGGGTTTCGGGCTGTCCGATTTGAGGGCGTTCTGGCCATAGACATATGGGTCTGGCAGACATTTTGAGTCCTGTATGAACCCTCTCCGTATGATGCCCAAAGAATTACCCACAAGTCATTGCAATGTGACTTTAAAAACGGGGTAACCAGTGAACGCATAGAGGCGTAGAAAGGTAAACAAAGAGGACGGCACACGTGTGTTCGGACTGTCATAGTAAAATACATACATAATAAATACATCTAAACGTCGAGGATTAAAGGTGGTAAACACACTTGAAATCATACGATATTTATTAATTTAAGAACTAAATTATCTCATATTCCTGTTGCCTTTAGGTACTAGATTGGGAAAGTAATCCGGGAAAGTACACAATGTGTTCCCCTGCCTGAATGCCAAGTAGCGGTGAAATGTATTTCACTCATTTTACACCTTCGTGTTTTATGGCTGAGAATTCGATATAAAACAGCCAATTAATTTCCGCCCCCAGCTCTTTGATAACAACCACGACGCATGTTGTTAAATTAACTGGTTTACTGTGTGAACATGAATGCAACCGTGTGTACCCAAGAGTACCCATTTAGCATGACGTTGAAGTCTCCACGCCAATCGGATGAGAGGGGGTTTCAATTATGACCAATAGAATCAATGAAACCAACAACTGACACAGGTTTGGATTCTAAACTGTTTTACAGTAATGTGTAGAATAATACATCGGAGTTCTTGTCAGCTATTTACAAGTTCTACAAGCGCCAGTGCACTGGCCGGCGGAAGAGCTTACTAGTCTATAGGTAGGAAGTACGAAGTTTAAGGGAGGTAAATTCCTTAAATATGTGATTTTAGTCTGTTACGGTACCAGTCATATCATTCATGCGAATAATTTTAGTTTTTAATGTTCTAAACTAAACGTTGGCCATATGACAAATTATTGAGAAGACTGTTAACGCTAGCTAACGTTAGCTACCTAGCAAATACCTAAATCCGTGTTCCAACTTCGATTGTGTTAACCGTTATTAGCTTAGTCAGTCTAAAACGAATCAAACGGAGATTATAATTTACTTTATATCCACATTATTTAACTTGGAGTTTGTTTTGTGAACGAATTTAACGTTAGCTACCGTTAAGCGTGCTAGTAGTGAGACAAGCACAGGCGTTGCGTTGACAACAAAAGCTAACGTTAGCTAAACTGCCTTTACAGCCGTGAAGCGGACACGTAACGTTATGTAGCGCGTGACTTGTTTTGACGCACGGCCGCATTTACCTAAATTTGTTTTCTAGAAATAACTACGACTTTAATATGCAACGTTACGTGCTATTAAACGTTGTTCACTCACCCTCTCTGCGTCGTCCCTGGTAGGAGTTTAAACTACCAGTTTAGCCGTAGGTACCCCGCCCCTAACTCCGCCCGTAACCCCGCCCCTTGCAGTCACGTGCTGCCGGTTGAACGCTCTCGAAATGGGTGACTAAGCATGTTAATCAAAGCATTTTAATACTTTTTGGTATCAACACGATATAATAAAAACGATTGCGAGTAAACGTTTGTTATTACACAAGGGTCCTATAATAACAACCACTCGTGACAGCTAGCATATGTAACGTCAGTGTGTTTACCACAAACTCAGCATTAGCATTAGGCGCTAACTTTAAACTGGCTTTTTTTCCAAGACTTTTTTGGTAATTTATCATTAATTTGTACACTTTGTTCATCCTTTGTTTAGAAGGTTAAGTTCAGTTTCGTTACGCTCCGTTCTTGTACCGCTTGATAGTCTTTATTGATACTACTGACCACAACAACACTGTTGGGCAATGTGTTGGTTTCAAACATTCTACTCATAAATGTTTGTCAATGCACAGGTCTCTGATTGTCACTTTCTGTTCCTGTGGGGTACAACAGGATTCTGTATCAGATCTTTTTTGGACTACTAGGACATTTCTGTTTTTGACACAATCTCCAGAATTTAAAAAACTGAACTCAAACATTTGAGCACATGACACAGATTCTGTTCCAACCATAAGGTTCCCTGTTTGACTCCGGACAGACAGTAAAATTGTTGCTTACATGAAAGTTAGTTATGTGTAAGTACCTTTCTATCTGGCAAAACCTGTCAATCTTAAAGATTAAACATGCAGATTTGGGGATTTTACGTAGTAAAACTTCTCTATGTTGACTGTAAAACGGGCTGCATGTTCTGTTTATTTTTTCATCATATTCTTTGCTATTCAAAAATGTTGAATGTATAATGCATTTGTTGTGGATTTTATACCCTGAATAATTAATGGGGTCACAGAAAAATCCTAGTGGATTAAACAATAACTAAAATAACCTTCATGAGCTAATGACATTTAAAGACTTATCTGCCCTGAAAGTTAATATTAGGAAAAAAGATAAACGGCTCAAGACATTTTCACACAGGGCCCATGGAAGTGTTTTCTGCTTTTATTGAATAGAAGTTATATATGGGTTGCTATGGAAAGTACATAAACAAAAGATATGAACGCTTTTCCACAAACAAAAGAAGTATAAAAATAGCACAGAATCCTTTCTTTTGAAATGCTTTTAGCAAAATAAAAAAAGAAATCTTCGAATGGATCTGGATACAACATATCACACTAAAATGCTGTAGTATAAAAAGTAAGAACTTCTGATATAACTATGTTTTTCACATCATAACACAAGATATCTAACAGCTATGGATTAAAATGCTCTAACTGTGCTATGACATTACACATTTAAAGAAAGCTTGTAATGTTAACATATACTGTATGTGTCGTGTATGTGACAATTTCAACAACAACAACAAATCTATCGATTTTTTTTGGCTTACTGTCTCAAGCAAAACATTCAACAAGCTCAGCAGTATTAATAAAGAATGTAAACAATTACTTTTAACAACAATTAACAACAGACTATATAGGCTCCTGGTGGCTCTTTAAGCGTAATTTTAGCACCATCGAGATGTTATACATTTAACTGGTTATCTAAACATGTAAGAAAAAAATAAGGCTTGTGCATTTTGTGGTACAAAAAATAATGTAGTTCTTGGTCAAACAACCAAACCTTTCTATCAATACAGTACGCAAAACATTGAGTAAAAAAGTTCCAGTGATTATATCCAAGTTACATATATATATGTATATATCTATATGTATATATAGATATATACATACATACAGAGGACATATGGGAATAAAGCTACAGTACATGTGTTCACAGAATAGAGCTACTACAGGAGCAGTGATGTTCAGTTGCCCCTTTTTCTGAGGTAATGTCCATTTAGTAGGATGTGGTGACAATCTAATGCGATGAAATATTCCTCCAGTTATAGAAACAAAACAAGATTTTTCAGAGGAATATACCAATCGTTGATGTGAACAAACAAAAGAAATACCAATTTCTTTGCTTGTTCACATCAAGAAATTGGTAGCAGAATAAACTGTCCAGTAGATCCCTCTGTGTGGTGAACATGCTAAAGCGTAGGCGTACAGAGTGACATAGAGTTGTATAACTATTAAGGAGTGTTAAAAAACTACTGTTTTGCAATACCTTCCGGGAGTTACTTAAAATCCTGGCAAAAAATATTTGTCCGATCAGACTGTTAGGCTACTAGTAATTACCAATACATACTGTATCCCAAAGCATGTGCATCAAACAGAACGAAATAGCTTATCGGCCAGCAGCGGAGATGATCTAAATGGAATTCCTCTTGTTGAATGTTTTGGAAACTTTATGGCGTCTTTGAACCAAGAGAAGTCAGGAATAGTTTTCAAAAAATAGTGCATGTTTTATCAGTGTTTACCACCTTTTGCTTTGTTTTGGGGGTTACAATCCAAACTTCAACAGCAGTATGAATGCCATCACTCGTCATTCTGTCTGCAATAGGCCTCTACACGCAGCGTTTTTGCTTTGGCTTGTTTCAAGTATTTGTATATAACTATCAGGGAGATGTATATGAGACATTATAACCAAAGTTTCACACTATCTATACAACACTTTTTTTAACAGAAAACTTTTGGAAGCTACTTTTCTCATAGGGACTTATCAATGCAACAGACAAAAGGCAAATGATTGTCTGTTTCTCTTTTACAACAATTATCAACAAAACAAACCCTGCTTCATCTGTGGACTTGCTTCCATTGCTGAATACAAGCTCCTATGTAGCCCCTCCTGTCTTTCTTTCCATATTTAAATCTAAATGTGTTCTAAAAGCGTATACTGTTAGTATTGAATATACACAGTATTTGTGTGGCTTGGACTTGACGGATGGGTTTTCGCTGAATGTGGTTTGTGTTTGTGTATCAATACATTTTTGATAATTTAGTTCAACTGTGTATATTTCTTAGACAAAATACATTCAGATCTGATTCTAGTGGAAGAGCATGTAGGCCCTAAATGGTCCATCTAACGACTTTGGTTCAAGTGTTTTTCTTTTAAAGATTAAAAGTCTGTTGTCACACATTTGAATCATCAGCTACATGAAGGCAGAAACATCCTCAGAACGTTTTAAACATCCTAAAATAAAAGTTTGATACGGTTCCATAAAAAGCTGTACCTTTGGTCCCATGTTGTTCTATTTTCTACACATACTATGTGTTGCCAACTTAAAAACAATACCATCTAAGGCTATTTTAAAGAAACACAATATTTTTGAGGTCACTGTAATCTTGATAAAAAACAAGTGAGTTGGATTTTCTTGTCTTTCCCTTTTAACTCAGCTGAACCTTCAGAGAGGCAAAGCATGATTATGAATGTTATAATCAGTGACCCTACGTGCTAGATAACAGCATATGGTTTGTTTGTTTGTTTATCTCAGTGTCATTGTGTGTTATGTATGTTTAAGGCTTCAGTGCATAACCACCAGGATCCCAAAAGGGCTGCACACCACAACAGCTACTTTCACTATTTTCCTGGTTTACTGATTTGAAATGAAACTGGTTCTTCTCCTTTAAGAGTTGAGGGAAACCTTCAGCACTTTGCACAATGTGGTCGGTGCTCCTTGACGCCTGATCACAATGGAAGCGCTGGTGTGTAAATATAAGCGGCATCTCTTTGCTGGTGATGGCTGGCGTCTATTCGCAGGCAAAGTAGTCTTTCAGTGGTGCGAACAGATGCCTGATGACAGGGACGCTCCAGGACCGGCCCAGGAGCTTCTGCCTGGCACCGCGGCCCATGTTGGAGACGTCTGTGTAGTGGACGGGGAAGCCGAAGATCCTGAAGGGTAACAAACACGCAACCACCATTACAATCAATGTCACAATGGTGCTTAATTAAGCAGCGTAGCTATAGAAAATAATGGTCACAGCGGCGGCTATTTTTATGTATAACAATGCCATTGCGACCATTTTAGCGGACTAACTTCCGTAAAGGCCTAAATGAAAAACACTAAAACAAGCACTGGCGTAGTAACGTTACAGAGTTTTCAAATAAACTAATATGTTTTGATATGTAACATAATCATAGGTGGCCTCACTCCCCACTATACTAAGAGGGACGAGCTACGTAGCTAACAGTGCGCACGTCGCCATAGCAACCGACAACAATCGCTATTATCATTGGTGCTATTGCAAGGCCATGGACAACCGTTCAGTGTCTGTTCTACTGGTATATATATATATATATTAGGGGTGGGAATCTCTTGGCACCTCACGATTCGATTCCGATTCAGAGGTCAACAATTCGATTCTAAACCGATTATCGATTCTAAACTGATAAAACGATTATCGATGCATCTCGATTTTCTAAATTTTCTCAAATCTGAGTTTGCTACTTTAAATGAAGAAAAAGCTGCTCTTAGTCTCAGACCGGTCCGTATTTGTAAAATACCGGAAAAAAGTCCAAATCTGTGAATATCTTGCCAACTTTCAATACAGATTGACTTTTTGGGAAATCGAAATAATGAGGTAAGATATGCGCAGGCTCCTTCATAGTTCGGTAAAGTTATTGGATATTCACAGATTCAGACTGACTGGTCTGCGAGCTGGACGCATTGCTCTTAATGTGCCGGTAATGATGGTAAATGATGGTTATAGCTGGTTGTCACCTACGGTCCACTACGATTACAGAAGGGGGGCGTTTGTTTTTGGACAACGTTTTATCTCATCATTTAGACTTTTTATCCCCTTTCTATAGTGCAGAAATGGGCTTCTACAGTTGTGTGAATGCATCACTCCAGCCAATCCAAAGACAGGGTTTGTAACCAATCAGGTGTAGAGACCGTGGTGACTGGCTCCGCCCCCTTACTGTCAGAAAGAAAAACAGCGAGCGCGTAGAAAACACCTTCGAGCGCGAGCAGAGACTAACCTCGCGAGCGAGGAAGTTCACGCTCCGCGAGCGAGCAAATATGTCGCGCAAGACAGACTTTTAAAATTTTTTTTAGATTATTAACTTTTCTGAATCAAGACCGAATCGTTCTAGAGAGAATCGAGAGAAATCAAAAAATCGATTTGTGTGTGTGTGTATTTTCTGCTAACCTCTCCAGCTCAGTGCACCACAGTATGTCCTCTTTCCCATTCATCAGGACAGGGAAGTGTTGATCCTTCCCTTGCTTGATGGAGTTGGAGCGGGTAGTGATGGTGCGCACCTTCCCAAACTACAACATAACGAGCACACGATCAAATAGAGCTTTCGTTGAGTCGTTTTTTAAAGTGCAAACTGTGAAGAGTGACGTTGCTCTGTGTTCTGTAGCTATATCAAACCTTTGCAACTCTGCCGTGATCCAGACAGTCCTGCAGCTCCAGCTTGTCCATCCCAGAGGCACACAGAGGCCTGAGACATCACACACATATAGATGGTGTCAAAATATTCACAAATCTGGCAACACATTGTACCCCAGTATCAAGTTAACAATGTTTTTTCTTTGAGAGATTGAAAATGTGTTTCTGAGATGACGTTAACGCGTTCTTTTTCCTACCTGTTCATGCCCGGCATGTTTCCCCAGAAGTATCGGGCACGGTGAGCAGCGGAAACTTCAATGGCATCCATCATCACAGGGTTACACTTCGAAAAACAAAACAACACAAAGACACACAATGGGTACTCAATTAAACATACTGCTACTACTCAATCATAAATATACAGCAAGGGATTCACAGAAACATTCTTGTTTTTGAATTTAGGGTATCAAAGAGGAAATCCCTCTGGCTGACAAACACACAACTAAGCCGGAGAGGGTTGTGCGATGTGACAATATAAGTTGCCTTTACATCAGCAGTGTCATGCCAGAGTGTGGTTGTGTTTGGGTGCCATGGCTTCAGTGTTTTGTGTTTTGCTGCTACAGGATCAGCTCTCCCAACTATCGAAATAAACTTGTTACATTGGTTGTTTCAAAGGTGACATTATCTTCTAAAATAAATACTTTGTTGTAGATCATTTCTTTTTAAACTTAAACTTTTCGGTAACTTGCAAAAAAGTTTTAAGATCGTGGATTGTGTTTTGGCCTAAAACAAATTAGATTGAATACGATTTAATTTAATTATATCCCCCACCTGAAATGAGCTCTTTTGTTTTGTTTTATTATTTAATCATATTTTGTTCAAGGAACTTCTTTAATCCATGTTGTGTTTTTTTTGGCTTCTATTTACTCACCTCCAGGAATCGTGAGATGTCCCTCTTGTCATTGACGCCCATGGCGACCACGTTCTCAAACATCCAGAAGAACGGCCTGTCGTCTCCTCCTTCGGGCTGAGCCTCGCTCAGCAGACGGTAAAACTCAAAGAACAGCCTCCCAGTGCCTTCTGTTGAAACAGAGGAGCATCGATATAGACTGAACTGCTCTCTCATGAGATTTAGTGATACAAGCAGGTCACACTCCAAGTTCCTTTGGCAGGCACCTACCATAGAGCCCTTTCCTGGCAGGATTGACGATTGACAGGTCGTTGCAGGGACTTCCTCCTATTACCAGGTCAAATGGACCCCACTCGAGAAGCTGAGAGATACAACAGCACCACCAAGTGTTAGACTGAGGAAGTGGCAGCTACTGCATGAATAAAACAAAGAACTCACTTTGTAAAATACTCACAATTTTTACAAATAAAATAAATACTCTCGCTTCAAACCTCAGTCTACCCTTTTAGGCTAAGAAAGATGTTGTTGATGGAATTATGTATTGCTGGATTTAGGTCCAAAAATCCTGATGTTTAGTGCATTTAACATTAACAATTAGCATTAAATAATCTATATACAGCATATGTAAGAATCTTAAACCAGACTGATATTGGTCGCTTTAACAATAATTTCATAAATAAATAAAATAGTAATAGTTGCTAATTTTTTTGTTGCTGATTGACAATCAATTACCTGACGCAAATACAACTAATATTATTCATTTAACAATCAAACTAATCCAAACGAATCTGGACACAATTAGTCCTCTTTTATGGTCTCACACAAATGCCTCCTTTTAGGAGCAGAACGAAAAAATAAGCTACAGAAAGAGATGAGGAGGAACACACAATCACACACACACATCTCAGTGTGATTAACAAATGAAAGGCTCCCCAAGTAGATTTCAGGAGGTTGAAGCTGCTTGTCCCACGTTCTGAACTACGTCACTGCAGCTGCCAGATTCTGTTTGGTTCTGTATTGGTGTTTGAACTTTGGCCACATCCACACTACTATATTTCCATTTTAAAACACATATCTTTTGTTAAGGTTACGCCGAGCGCCGACCACCGAGTTTAAACACGTTGGGAGAAGGAGTTTTGAAAATGCTTCTAAAAAAAACTGCGGTACAAGAGAGGAATGCAAGCGATGCCGCCACATGAAATACGGATCATTCTTCAAGTACCGGAGGCAAACGGTGTGTTTCCAATAAAGGGTCTCGGCCATATTTCCAAACAAAATATCTTGTGGGGAGGAGAAAACTGTAGATCCACATGATCATTTTCAACAAGTATGTTCCTGAACTTCTTTCCTACATTTTTCTTGGTGATGTTCCTGACATCATGGACGTACTGGATCTTTCCTTCATGCCTGACAACACCCACTGAGATGGAGTCCTCGCACACCTCTGAAGCCACATACTGGTCCACCTTGAAACCTAGGTCCCTTAAAACCAGGTAGCCTGGAAGCACAGAGACAGTTTGCATCTTGACCTTACGACGACATTAACACATTCATTCACTGGCCGTCTCTCGGCATCCAAACCCTTGTCCTCACCAGTAGCGATGCCGTCAAACAGGGAAAGGACTCTAATTGGTCGTCTCTGCTCTGCAGGGACTGCCGGGAAAATCTTTGGTTTCTCCTGGAAGAGAAACAAATCAGATTGGAAGCTAATTCTTATTTAGGCAGCTGGATGTGTCAAAAGACAACGCTCCTACCAAACTTTAGAGAAAAAAAATGCGACTCACAAACTCCTGTCCATTGTCGCTGGTGAAGAAAATCTGCAGTTTGATGCTCCAGTCGTGCCGCCGCTTCAGGGCGCCGTACTGCAGCGTCGGCTGGCACATGTAGCATCGCCACGGGTCCAAGTAGCGAGCATTGTTAGACGCTCCGGGATCCACCAGGATGTCCAGACAGTCCACACAGAAACACCTGGGGGTCCAGAAGGTACTAGCTAAAGTATTGTGTGTACTGTTACTTTGTGCGTGTGTGTGTGTCTGTGTGTGTGTCGGACCTGCAGCAGTTGGCGTTGCCGCAGAGAAGAACTTCTCGACCTCCACAGCAAACGGTGCAGTAGGACTGGTAACCATCGTCGTCGTACATGTAGGACATCTCCAAGTACACGTCCTGAACACGCAGAAAATAAATCACAGGAATACGTCTGGCTTTAGTGATTATTAAAAGAGACGGCAACGAGTAACGAGTAAAAGGTTCTGACGTTCAAACAAATCCTTCCTAGTTTTCTCTATTTTTTATAAATTATTTCAGTTTAGGTGCTTTTAAACAAAAATATACATCTTTTTGTGAGCTTAATTGGTTGTTTGTGCACTTTCTGAAGATTTTTTGTAGAAGTAGAAGACGTTTGCCATGGAAAAAGGATTTTGACGAGGGACCCCGAATGCAACACAAACATGAGCTGCATGCCATGCATATGTAACGTTTGCATACCTTGCATGTTTGGCAGAGGCCTCCTTCAAACAGCGGGTGGAAGGTTGCTGCTCTCATCTTTCCACAAGAGAGACAGAAATCTACGAAAATGAGTGACATGATTAACAAATCACAAAAGAATTCACATCGAAACACACAATGTGAGGGTGTGAGTCTTTACCTTCTATACTTCTTTTATTCTTCAGAACTTCATTGACCATTTGTTCTGAGAGAAGAAGAAGGAAAAATGTCATCAAGTAACATATTTTCATCAAGGGATGTTTCAAACACATTTAGCATCCTCCCAGTGACAACAGGACTCTTGGTTTAGTTTCCTGCGCAATTTATCAGTATCCATCTTCATTCCCTTTTAAATTTCAAAAAGACAAAATGCAGGAAAACTAAAAGTTCAAGTTCCATAATCTACATGCAGCATTGCAGAAAAGTACCTCTGCTGTAAGACTCCTCTGGAGCGGCCTTGCTCTTTTGGAGGCTGACTCTGGGCCGCTTGGCGCTGGGGAAATACTCCGGCAGGGAAACATCGGGGACCTGGTGGTGCAGAGGGTTGCTGTCTGCAGGGAGAAACAACCACAGTCACACCCTACTATCGTCTCCTCACCCAATGGCACATTTTGCAGGCAGTCTGTTGTGTGGTGAACGGTATGCGGCTGGTGACCAGAGCTGCGGCCTTGCTCACCGGCAGTGTGTGTAGGTTTGAGTCCCTCCTCTCCTTTGGGCAGGAAGCCGCCGTTAGCCCAGTCCAGCATAGGTTTCACCTGGTCGTCTGGAGAGTCCGACTCGCAGGGAGGAAACTTCTTCTCCGCCCGGATACTCGCCATCTGTGACAAAGAGATTTCAACCTTTTCTCATAAAGGGATCTAAACAAAAATAAATGCAGACATAATAACTGCATATATAGAATTCTGCTCCAGGCCGTTTCATATTTTGAGAACATTTATGTATATATTTGTATGATTCATCTAGTTCAATTCAAAAACTGACGATAATTTATCTTTAGATATTATAAAGTTGCATGAGGAACTTCTCTCTAACTGGACCTTGTTGAACGTTCATTAAATAGCCCTGATCTTAATGATGAACTAACTATATTAATCATGGTAAAGTGATGTTGAAAATACAACTGTTTACTGTCTGTAATGCAATTCAATTAAATATTGTATTTTGGTTCGGTTGAAGTGCAACATTGCTCTTTCACGCAATTCACTTCTAGTGAACCGCCAAGGTAAACCACACTGGCGTGTGATATTTTCCAGCAGACCTCTAGTCTGAAAAACTGTCCCAAAAAACAGACACACTCCTACACAGAGCAAATATAATTGGAGACACCTGCTCTGAAAATGAAGAATCGGAAGATGGCAGCTTCACTCTGCCCAGCAACTAAGAACAAAGTCGGGTGATTTAAAAAAAGTTGCACCTAATCCACATCTACGCTCACCTCCAGTGCTTGGAAGATAGCCCTGCGGTATGAGGCCAGTTTAGTGTAGGAAGCCTGGCTGAAGAACTTGGCGAAGGCCGTGATGGAGTCCAGTTTGTCTGCTGAAACCTGGAAGGAAAAGAAAGAGTGGCATCAAACAGAGTACAGCGTCAGCAAGTTGACTATGACTTAGTCTCTCTCTCTCCCTTCCCCTTAGGTCTGTCCTCCTCACCTCAGAGAACTTTCCATCTCCAAACCACTGCAGCCACCTCATGCCGTTGCTGGCCTGCCGCTTGCCAGTAGCGCGCCACGTCACCACCATGCCGGGCCACCAGGAAAAGCCCTTGATCTTTCCCCACACCAGCTCGCCAATCCCAAAGCCCTTGCTGTCCTGGATGGAGGAGGCAGAGTGTAGATGGACACGGTTGCCATATTGAACTTTGTACCACTTTGAAGTAAGTGGGTGGCAGAATGAGGATAATGGAAAGAGACGGCGTTAGAGAAAAGATTTTATAAAAACAGCTGGAAGGTTTTCAGGTTTCAGGAGGACACGAGAGAAACAAACGTTTTTCCTTTTTCCAGATGAGAAAATAGTTGTGAAAGCCCAATGAAAGATTGAGATACAATCCTTCTCTTCCCTGAACGAGCTTGCAATACCAAATGTTTTGTTGTAGAGTTTTGTAGAGAGGACAGACAGATAAGTGTAGAGGAGACGGTTTAGCTGACGTGTGAATAAAGAAACAAATCCTCTACTCAAAAGTGTCCAAAAGTTTGACAGTTTCAAAAAAGATCAATAAAACGGAAATGTATTTATTTCTAAATAACTTTTAATAAATGGCCATATCATTGACATGAATAGTGTTTGTCCACCTCGCCATCACTCGGCACCTGTCATTCAAGTGTCTGCTTTATTTCTGCTGTTAGCTTTACAATTAAAAGAACACATTAAACATCCCCCATTAAATGTTAATCTCCTCCTTTAGAGCCCACACTACGTCGTCCTTCAATCCACCTTAAGCGAGGAAACCCAGTAGTTTTGAAACGCCGCATCAGCACGCACAAAACAATACAAGTGTACTATAGTGTACTATACTATAAGTACACTACTATACTATAAGTGTACTATAAGATTCCGTGCACAAAAAGGAAAAAAAGGTAAGAAGAAAGTAGCTTCTTACCTTTTTATGATTGTTTTCCCTTGATAACCCCCCCCTCCGAATAAAAGTATAAAAAAAAAGCATTCTGTGCACGCAGACCTGAAACGTGCAGGTCGTTATGAGTATGCACCACACACACACAGACACACAAACGCGCCTTGTGGTGCAGACTGGTGGTCGTCATGACTTGAATTAAACTATTGATAAGGAGCAGACCTACGGAGTGTGTGTGTGTTTTTGTGGCCACCTGCACTAACACAAGGCCATGTGGGGGAGGTTCTGTGGGTCTGGGAAGGCAGTTGCCCTCCTTGTCTTTCTATCACTGCCAACCCTTCACTTCCCCTTTTTAAAATACGTTGCCTCTCCTGCGTCAACACAGCCGTCTCTCTCTCTCTCTCTCTTGATCTTCCCTTTGCACATCCATGACCCGCTTCCAGCAGCGCTTTAAGGTTATGCGTACGAGATCGGACAAAGTTAAGTTTGTGAATACTCAAATTGGTCCACGAGCAATCCTTGCTCCTCCTAACACACTTTGTGTCTCACTTTGTACTCTGGCTGGATCTCTTGGCTCGATGAGGTGCTGACGCTCTGGGCAGAGTCCTTGGAGTCTTGTTCCATCAGCTCGGGCCTGGTGGCCTCTGGGACCCCGCCGGATGTAACCACAGCCACACGAGGACCACCAGCAGCACCACCACCACCACACTGATAGAGAGAATCAGAAATAGAGATAAAGATGGAAGTTTATCAGACATGTCAGCGGTGGCTTTGAAGAGAGAATCGATTACGGTTGGTTATGGCTGTATGACGGCAAAGCTGAAAATATTGCGCTGTACTCGTGTCTGTTTATCCAGAATGTGGGCGTTCTCACCGCCGTCTACAATGGGTCATTTTTCTTTCCTACTTTCGACTCTGTACTCTGTTATCTAACCAGGACATTGGTCAAGTGAGTCTATGCCTGATGGATGGAGCAAATGTTAGAAAAAAAGAATGTTTGAACCCAGCGGTTTTAAGTTAAAAGAAACAGTGCAACAACCTAATAAAAATAGCAGAAAACACCACATCATTTGTAAATGGAAAATATGATGCGGTTTAACAAAGGGTAAGAAGAACTAGGGATGTGTGTATGTTTACCAGCGACATGCTGGGCTCCTGTTTGCGGTTCTGTCTCCGAGGTTTGTTGTGCGTGTGCGGCGCCAGACCGGCCTGAAAGATGGTTCTGGGCCGAGGCGTCTGTCTCAAACCCAGCTGACTCGCTCCTGAAGTCTTGTCCTGCAAACAGACATACATAAACACAATTAAAATATTGTGTCTCCCAAGCAGAGCTTTAATAAATGATAGTTTGTATGCATGTGGTCATACCTCGCTGTCCGAGTCCCAGGTAGTTTCCTCCTCCTCTGACTTCTTCCTGCTCCTCTTCCTACTTCCCCCTGAACCTTGGTTACCATCTGAGAACAGCAACAGCAGGGGAGCAACAGAAGGTTTGACAGATGCCTCAGAAAGTAACTCAGTATTTTAAAAAAGATCATGTGCAGAATTCGCCAGGAATTCGTTTCTAGCTTTATAAGAGCAGTGAAGTGTTATATTTCTATTTTCAACATCTAAACCTTGGGTCAACAAATGCTCCTTTCAAGAAAATTACAGGAAAGTATGGGACTGTTATATTAAAGTTTGACCAACTATGGATGAAAAGATCCAACATTTTAGTTTCCTAATAAAGCAGCTGCGCAAAAAATGTGTCACTGTTGTGTGTTTGCGTGTGTGTGTGTGTGACCTTGAGGCGAGGCGGCGTCTCCGTTCTGCTTGGGGCTGAAGGGGGAGGGCGGCTCAGCTGCGGTCAGAGGGCTGTTGTCATTAGTCAGCTCCACGCCGCTGTCGCTCTCTGCGAGCCCTTTAGCTGGAGGCACGTCTCCATTGACCGGCGCCTGAGGACAGAGGCGGAGTGAAGGTGACTTATTGACTTTTACTGAAAACCTACTCATTATATTTATCTGTTGGCTGATTGAAGTGATTAATGAAAGACGTTCAATAAAGGCAAAGATGTGAAGCGAAAACAGTATGAGATGAAAAGTGATATGAGGAGAAAAATGACTTCTCGCACGGCACATTTCAGAAGGAAACATTGAGTCAGCATGCTTTTGCTACAAAGACTAAGAATCTGCTCCTGGGAAAACTTACATGATCTAAGTTTAAAATGCATCTATTTAAATAGAAACTTCTCGAGGCTTATAAGTATTTCAATATTTAAACTGACCAAAAACCTTTGGATTTGGCAACAAAAACATACTCTAAATTACGGCTCTACCAAATGTCAATTTTTTCACACTCAAAGCTCGGTTTAGGTTTTGAGATGTGAAGTGTTGTCCTCGCCATTCAACTTTTATTTCCGACTTTACTCCCATGATACTTTTCCACATGGTAACTATTTTATGGCTGAAGCTGGAGCTTCGTGCACATCGAAATCACGAGGGGGGAAATGGAGTAATTCACTCTGATGAATAAATACATGGTGGGAAACCACCTGTGGTTGAGGCCAACGTTGTCCAGAGGGTTGAAAATTCCTGATCAAATAAGGAAACTCGGCCAATTCCCTAACTGACAGTTGACCTGCATGCGGCGTGCTGCAGGAACTAAGAGCCGGCCAATGAATGGAGAAGCCTCATCCCAAGAAGTGGCAGTGACCCAAAAGGGAAGCTGTCTGTTCCATAATTTTATATTCATATGCTATGTCAATAAGATGGTTGTAATAGTCACAAGCTTGGCCCAGACAGACGTGATGACTATCAGCAATTTCCACGGCCTTTCTTTTATCTTATATGAGAAGATGTTAACAAAGTAATTAAGAAAAACTGATCATCTGCCAACACATCCACCGCTGAGGATGATGGAGGCTGATATGAACGCTCAACCTCCCCGCAAGACGGATGCATTACACAATAGCGCATACAAGTAAGAACGTGAGCCTCTGACTCCACAAGTGATTCATGCTGTCAAACCGTCACATTACTCAGCCGACCTGTAGTTCTACAGACATGAGTGCTGAACATCGCAAATCTTCTAATCCTAATTCTCAGACACTTTTGATGGTTTTCCAACTGTCACTAGTTTCCAAGAAAGAACAACCCAGAGGAGCGTTCCTACCTGCCACATACCGCATTACTGTACCAGCTTGTATTGTATGTGGTCTGCCATTTGTGACCTGAGATATCCACTGATAAAACAAGGTTTTCAGCACGTGAAATGGTATCTGTCATCAACATTTTTGTTCAAGCTACTTCTTGTGGACAACGTCACGAGCACTCACTTGACCATTGTTGTTCAAACAAAAGATATTCAAACAAAGCAGCTGCTTATAAGCTTAAGTATTTAAACCCTATAGCTCTTGGGCATGAATGTCTTTTGCAACACAGAGCCACACCCTTCCTTTCCCTTGGGGTGTTTTCGTTTTTTCATTTATTACAAAACCCGGAGAGAAAAACGGTGTGAGGATCAAACACGGACCCTGCAGAAGCTTTGAAAATTGAAATGTCGGAGACTGTTAGGCGTGTCTGCGTGTCAACCAGAGTTTAAGCACCTGACTCAACACCAACACTGCAGAGATGGTAGAAGATTAACGCGGCACATGATGAATCTGTGAGAGGCATCAGCTACCGGTGACGGTGAGTCACTTATTTAGAGAGAGATTGGCACGGGTGGCCTGAAGGTGAGCAGAAAAGCATTTTATTCGACAGCGATGAACTGAATGTAAACTGTAACAACTATTGTAAACTGTAAGAAATGAAAGATTTTAGTTTCATACACATTGAGTCTTTCATTTATTGCAAAAGAGCCGAAGATGGAACGAAGCAGACGGCAAGGAGGTTATGGTGCAGCTGTTCAACAAATGTGAAGATTGTGGTGACTTTTTAGGGAAAATCCCAGCTATGCGTATCTGAGACCGTTTGTAATTGTCGAACGTTGTAAAACCGGGAATGCATGTGGTGTGTGAGCGTGGCCGCAATGCTAAATCTCCCCGATAATGAATGAACCCGCTGAACCTTGCATAAAGTGTGTGCTCCAGATGGTTGGATGTGAGAACGAACGGCTGGCAGGAATGAGAGGAGGGAGAGACTGACAAAAAGAGAGAGGGAAAAGGTCAGCAGCGTCGTCAAAAACATTCTGAATAGTTCATTACCGACTTGAACAGAAAATAAATGCAGCGCCTTGTTCCAGACACAAGCATTGGTCGAGAAAAAAAAAGTTTGAAACAAAATGACTGATTGAGTAATTGATTGCTATGTCCATCAGATGCAGAGAGCTATGTGGTCGAAAATACAAGCAAATGCAATTTGGATGTAAAAAGAAGCCGAGAAAGAAATGCATTAAATCCTAACGAGAAAAACTGTCGTAACTATCTTAAATCCAAAATAATTGTTCACTGTCTATTCTTGGAGAACAGAGAAGTTCATGAAGTAAACTGACCCCCGTGGCCTCTCTGACATCTAACAGCCGTGGATGAAAGATCACAGCTGGAGGAAATCTGAATCACCGCACCGCTCTACGATAATGGCCTGGGCTGCAACATGCACCCTCCTCTTATATTGAAAAACACATTGACGCATAAAACACAACGCGATTGCAGCACGGGACAGACTGGCCTTGGGCCTGAACTCAGCGGCTTCCTGTTTCTCATTTATTTATTTACACCTGGTAAGGAGCCCAGTAAGGACTTCCAGTGCTGACAGAAACATGACTTTGCAAGACAATTTGGGACACAAAACATCCACGGAAATCTTCTGGGTCTTGAACTTGCGTGTGTCTACCTTCATTTATATTCATTCATTTATCAATCTTAAAAACAATCAACAAGAGCTGTGACATCATCGAAAGATGCTTACTACACGAGCATGGTCGGCTGCAGGTAGAAAAAGTGCTTCGAGCCATCGTGCTCGCCAATCAAGATGTCAGACATTATTTTATAGGCTGTAAGTCGTTGATTCAAACCTTTGGTGATTCCAAAGTAATAAGAACTATAATTTGCAGCAAGTATATGGATTCACTTTTTTCAGCACCATCACGGAACATCCAACTCTGCAAGGAAGCTCTCTCTGTCTCTCTCTCTCTCTTGCTGTCTCTCTCTCTCCCTCTCTGTCTCTCTCACTCTCCAGAATAAACCAGACAAAATCTGCTTTAGTTAAAGTTGGGGGGGAAAAACCTTCAGAAAATAAGAAGAGACAACAAATTTGCAGCTACAGATTCTCAGGGTAAAAGTAAAAAACAAATGACAGAAACATGGCAAGATAAGTTTGTTTCACGACATCTGTCTGTCAAACAAGTCTTTACAACCCCTATCATAAGAGAATGGTTCCTCTCCTTTAGGGTTAGTTAAATCAGAGTTGTGAGAAATTGCATTTTTTATTCCAAATCTTGTAATTTAACAATAATAATGAGCAAAGTGGCTGAGTTACTATTATAATTATCATCCTCTATTAACCTGCCTTTCTGGGTAGATCCATCCCTCCTCCTCCTCCTCGTAGCTGCTGGCAGACAGGAACTTACCAAATGAAGCATTAAAGTAACACAAATTACCCGCCCTCCCCCCACCTCTGCCTCACTATTATTCTTTCTTTCACTGTGCAAATACTGCGACGACAACTATTTCGCTGTGTGTGGAACACGGGTCTTATGCATCCTGCAGTCTCCATGACTCAGTGTGTGTTTGCTTAAGAAGTCTGTTAGGTCTTGCATTGTGCGGCTTTCGCCAACCTGCGTCAGACACACACATTCCACACCGAGCAACAGTCACCCCCGAACGGGCTGTCAAAAGATCTTAGGCCTAAACGATTAGACACTTGGACTAGACTTCCCCCCAAAAAACGCTCTGCATAAAGTAAACTGTTAGTGCTCAGAGAGTGCAATCCTTTGTTGGCAAAGAAAATAACTTGTTTTTGTCTGTGATGCTCACAAAATGTACAGCAGGTAGAGATGGGAATGAACTTCAGCCGATCCCTTCCTCCGTGGTACGCTTCCTTAAAGGGGAAAATTAAACTCCAAATCAAAAATCCATATTTGTCACCTGGACTTTTTATGAATCGACACTGTTCATTTGTGAGTTGCTGAGTGTGTGGCTGTAAAATGTCTTGACATATATTCCACAGCAATGTGGAAATGCACAGACACTTTTAGGCCTGTCGCGATACGCAATATATTGACTTATCGCAAAAGTGAGATGCGATATTCATTTTACGCGCCACCAACATTTGAGTCGATCACGCTTCCCTCTTGTCTGCTTTCATGGCTGGAGGCGGGGCTTAGGCGGCGCCTCCGCACGCGGACACCGACGGAGAAAGGGGCAGAGTGTTATTTTTTCACGACATCTATAGACAGTCAGGATAAACTAGTCCAAATGGACAATCTCTGTGAATATCGTGACAGCCCAAGACAGTTTCATGTAGGAACTGATTTCTACTCGTAGATGAGGGGCTCGTGCGCCCGGCTGAGCTGTGACGTTTGCTTGCAACGTGGTGCCAGGCAGCGTCGAGTTGCACGCCTCCTTCCTTAGACTAGGAGATAAAGGTTTTTATTGGAGCGAGGAGGTAAGGGGGGTTGTTAGCAGAGAAAGATGCCTCCATACTTTTCACCTGCCTCAGCAAATAACAAAAATAAATAGCAATAGGCAGGTTTCAACCATCAGAGGGCAGTGACTATACATATTTTAATACCTGAATTCATAAACTTGGCAGTTAAATGTACAGATGGATGTATGGTTTGTCATCTTTGAAGGTTTAGACAAAAATGAGCCACTCTGTCTAAACATGAAATGAATACCTCCTGTCCTCATATCACTCATGGGAAGATCTGCCCCTACGCCCGTGAACACAATACAGAGAAGGGATTTAAGTTGTGATTGTACGGTTTCTTCTTGTGATGACAGAGCTGGAGAGAAAGAAGGACACCGAAGGAAGGCAGATGGCGGAGAGAAGGAAGTGTCCCTCTCGCACGGAGTGACATTTAAGACGGAAAAAGAGGAACCAGCAGTAACGTGCGACAGGAGCCTTATTAATGAGTGTGTGTGTGTGTCTGTGGTTGCAAGTGGGAGAGTGAACATGTGTGAGTGTGCGTGCGTGGGTGGGTGCATGTGAAACAGAGAGTAAAAGTGTTTGAGCAGTTTGGAGAAGGTTTGTGTGTTGCCGCCTGTCACAACTTATGAGGTCGTGCTCACAAAATGGGAAGTTGTGTACCACACGTTCTTTTAGTTCAAGTGGTTCAGCCGCGATAACGCCGCTGCTAGTCAACGACAACATGGAAGCTGCGGAACTCGCTGTCGCCGTAAGGAAGCCGCAGCAGGTGACTGTTGTAGCAAAGCGTGAACAGTAATTCACAACAGGTTGCCAAAGAAAAAATAAGATAAGAAAAATAAATGAGATCAAATTAAACAAACTTGATCAAATTACAATAAAGAAAAGATGAATACAATAAAACATGTAGGCCTTTTGAAATTTTAACAACTAGACAGAGACACAATGACTTGACCTGTTCCAAAACCCTATAATATACCATGCCAAACATTTGGAATTCTTCATGATTTACACTGACTTCAGGACACTAGGAATTATTTTTGTGACGATGGCCTTAAATAAACATTCCAGGGCCTTTCAGACCCTGTAATAATTAAACAGAGACAGGGATCCGTAACTGCCAATGCACCACCATTGGTCAGTAATTCATATAAGCAAACTGATTACGGATCACTAAGAGCTACGTGTGGCACGTGCACACACAATCACAGCCCACGTGCATTCTCAATTAGGGCCATGTAACACATGCCTGCGCTCTTGTCTTTTGAAACAACAGGCGGTTCTGAGAAAGGTGTGGCGTTTGTGTGAGTGTGTTTTGTGGATGTCAATGTTATGTTAATTTTTCATAGAAACAAAGGGACGAGTACACATGACCGCTCAGGGCTATGCCCTCATGGCCCTGAGAGCTCAAAGTGAACTTGTGTGTGTGTGTGTGCGTGCGTCAGACTCACGGTGGCGGTCATGTTGTTGCTATCATCCATGATAGCAGCAGAGTATTTGTTGGAAGACATGGCTGTTGCAGTTGACTGGTCCAGAGGCTCTGTTGACTCCTTTTCAAACCTGGACGAGACACAAAATTGTCAGAAAGTAAAACCGGTCTCATGACCTGGTGCAGTGGATTATTAACAGTGATCACATCATTGCCTTGAAATTGTTGTGTTGCTCTATTGGTGAAAAAAAATCCTCTCGGTTTCTCTGCTTGTATTCAAAATCTGAGAGCTTTCTTAGAAATCCATTCATATATATACATTTTCTTTTCTTTTCAATGAAGCCAATTCAATAAAAAACTAAAACCTCCTGAATGTTTCACAACATAATGATCTGAACATATGCCTCAAATGATCTGGTAATAACTCATCAGAAATACAGCTGCGTGACCGTAAAAGAAGTGGGGAGGTCGAGGCTCAACCCGAAAAAGAAAAAGACAAGGAGAGCATGACGCGGTCCTCTCCTGTTCTCCATAAATGGGTAGGAGCATATTTGACATGCCCATACAATCCTGAGGTAAACAGATACAAAGGCCCATCTGTGTGTGTGTGTGTGTGTGTGTCTGTGTGCAGGAGTGAACGTAATAAGTGCCACTTTGTGCGTTTGTACATGCATTACATATGCAGTACTTCTGCATTCTCCTTTTCAGAGTGTGAGTGCACACTCACTGGATTTGGATTTAAGCGTGCGTGTGTGCAGACACACACTGTGTGTGCATGTTTTAGTTTAACTTTAAGGAGGTAATAGGTAGCTTCGTCAAACAAGCCCAGACAGAGAAACTTGCAGACTCATTCAAACTATACCTGTAAATCCACAGAAACAAATCCCATAAGTACAAAATAAAAGTATAAAACAAGAGAAAAGTGATTGTGGGGGGAAAGTAAGTAGAAACACTCGTTTAACTTATTCCTGTGAAGTCAGCAGTTAATCCAAGTTAATCCAATCTTTTGCAGTATACTTCCTCAAAAATGACCTGCATGAAATCAACACGCGGTGTGCTGCGCCCGAGAGGCGGACGTCTCGTTGTTCTGCGCGGACGGGTCGGTGCCCTCTGACCGAAACAAACCGTACGTGAAGGCAGTCGGCCACATATTAATGATCTGAGATCAGTGAATTTCCCCTTCACCGGGTCTGCAGAGAGGTGACGGAGTTCATCACCCACTCCCACTCCGTCTCCCCCCACCTTCGACCTTTCACCGGCACACAGCAAACAGACCAAACAGGTCCCTGCTGCAAACTATTATTCAGGTCGGAATTTTTTTTTCTGCAGGTGACATTTCAAAACCTCATGTGGGACAACCAACCTAGTGAAGTCTGGCATAATAGAGTGAGTCTAAGAATGACAAGATACTGGGATTGGGGATTTATGTAAATTGTAGTCATTAGACTGCTGGGGTTTGAATGAAAACACAGCTATTGCTAAAACCCAAATCAAATACAAAAAGCCAATAAAACACTCCCAACCGTATGTATGAATGAATGATGAAGGGATTAAGTAACAATGCTCTGAATGTTTATATCCAAGCGTTCATTACTGTATCTGTGCTGGAAAATGTTTCCGCTTTTTAGTAAGAGAAGTGAAAATGACTTACAAGAAGCGAGGAAGGAGTGAAGGCAGGGTGGAGTGAGGGGCCCGGGAAAAGGGGACAAAAAGTAGAAGGGAGTGTGGTGGGGGGACTGTCGGGGGGGTCGGGGGGCTTCACATCAAAGTTGTGTCTGGTGGCGAGAGATTAGGGACCGCATTGCAAGAGGGGATTGTTCACTCCCCAAAGGGAATTCTCCTTAGGGTCCCTCGCTGGGGGGCTGCATTCCTTGTCTGTCATGTACTTTATGGCCCCTTCAGGTTCCGATCCAGTCCTACAGTTTACACATTGTCTACTTTGTTGCCTATTGAACTGACTTCATTTATACAGTATATCGTTCATTTATTCACCAGCCTGGATCAGAAGCACCCATTTTGAAACCCCAGAACCATAAACATGACTAGATTACTAGTAAAAGATTATTCGTATGCATTTTATTACCATGCTATTCATTCCTTTTTGTTAACAGACTTGTCTCCTTCACTGCACTAGAGGGATAGAATATAGCGAAGAGTCCGTATTTAAGGGTATTTGCAGTGGATATTTACCCCCTTTTGAGTTTAATGGCTATACATTTTGGCAGAATGATATAGAGACATGGTTCAATTGATTGTTACCAATTGTTGACCGATCTGGGAGTTGTCTGTGTATTTTTTGCTTTTGCTTATGTTTTAAGTCAATCAACATTTTCACCTCAAAATGACTTGAATAACCTTTGTCCATAAACCAGTGTGGGACAGATGTCCACGTTTGCTTTCAATGCTGAGCTGCCTGCATACATTTAAAGACTTACTGGTTGCTGAAAGTGCTGACAGACAACATGTGGGCAAAGAAGAGCTCCCCTATCTTGCATTTATTAAGCTTGCATCAGTCATTTACAGGCCCGCTAAAAGTCATGCATCACTCACCAGCCCTCCATGTTCACTCCTGTTATGGTCCCTGCAGTATATTGTTCCTCAACTGTCCTCTCATACGAGCTGTAAATGTCCGCCTCGTTTCTCCTGATGTTTAGCATGAAACACCGCTCACCTATAAAACATGACGGTAATACAGACGGAACTCCTGTAGCAAACTACGTGGATTGAACCACTCTCCAGGATTTTTTTTTTCAACAGATTTAAGATAATCACATTACAATAATCCTATTTTCCAGTAAAATTTAGACGATATCATCAGAGCGTGTCAGCCCTCATCTGCTAAAGATTAATGAATCAGTTAAAGGTACATTATAAACTGAAGGAAGCCTTTTAGAATATTATTATATTATTCATGTTACAGGAATGCAAAAATTGCTATTTCAACGACCCATGTAAAATATGTGGGACTCTAGTGAGTTGTAATAGGTGTCTAACTCACTACCGACAATGAAGATAAACATTTCATGTCCCGTTTTTTGGCTCTTATTTGGTTGAATATCAAGGTTAATTATAACAATTGCTTACTTCATTCATTTAAGTGTTAAGAGATACAGAACAGGTCTAGTAAATATGTGTCTAGTTTGCCATTGAAATATTCTTTGAATATCAGAAATGTCTTAAATGTTAAATCTGAGGCAAGTTGAGCTTGTGGGATTTTTCGTGGGAGACTGAAAAAATAGTGTTAGTTTAAAAGTGGTAAATGCATGCTGGAATAAATGCACTAATATATATATATATATATATATATATATACATGTATTATTATTATTTATAGTATATATGTATTTAAGCTATGTATATATTTCCCATGATGAACTGAGTGACTCCTCCCATTCACTTCCCACCACGTGGCTTCTGTCTGCCTTTTAGACTTCGACAATGAATGACAATACTTTTGTTTAACTTTTCGAGGCATTTATCTACACCTGCCCGTCAATAGGCTTCTATCTAAATAATAATAAAAATAACCGAGGGACCGGAGAGCAGCAATCCAAGACGGAGGAAGTTCATCCGGTGAAACCGAACCGTCAGAACATGTTCGAGCGGTGCACAAAAACAGGAAACACAACTCAGTGCCATTCCCACAGTGCGATCCATACAACGCATGCGACTACACATCAGGTTCATCAGGTTCCCTGTTTAACCCTGCAGGGACAACACAACGCCAACTCGCTTCAAAACTTGCACAAATAAAAACAGTCGACAAGAGTCGATAACGAACCACTAGGCGATAATATAACGTGCACTGCAGTGCAACGTTAGTACATGTTGTAATAAAGGCGTTACAAGCGCAACACAAAGGCACCACGAGCGTCGTCGACGTCGTTGTTTGGAAGGCGGTCGCACAGCCTCGGGTCCGACATGTGTGCAGCGCTGCCGGCCGCGCACATGGGCAGCGAACTGACAAACTTTTACAAGTGCACGAGGGGAGGAAGAGGCGAAGCAGCGCCAGAACGATGTCAAATGTAAATATAGACGTATCAATTGTAAAAAAAAATTTTTTAAAAAAAAGTGTTTTTTCGTTTAAAAAAATAAGTTCTAGTGACTTGCTCGGTAAAATCATGCAAAAAATAAATAAAATAAAACGCCCTCCCCGGTGAGACACTTACATAACCGTCCACGCTTCTTACACGCATCCACGGCTGGGAAAATGACACGGGAGATGTGTCGCTGTCTGCGGACTCGAGGTTGTGTAGAAAAGGTGTTTTTTAGAAACAACCACGTTGAACTTGAAGCACTCAGATCAGGAGTCGGTCCAGTCCTCTTACATGTGTTGCTCACTCTGTTGAAGCATGCTGCTGCTCCCTCTCTCATGCGCGCGCTCCCTCTCCCTCTCCCTCTCTCTCTCTCTCTCTCTCTCTCTCTCTCTCTCTCTCTCTCTCTCTCTCTCTCTCACGCGCGCGCGCTCTCTCTCTCTCTCTCTCTCTCTCTCTCTCTCTCTCTCTCTCTCTGTCTCTTTCTCGTGTTTTGGACTGACCCTTCATGTAGGCTGAGTCCTGTCGTTATATTCAAGATGACAGCTGATTGGCTGCCGAGAGCTCCAGGTGAGAACGTCCACGCCCACTTTCTAGTCCTGAAATAGTTTACATAAATACTATTGAAAGAATGCATTTAAATACAAGTAAAGAACAGATTAATATTCCTTAAGATAACAACGGAAAAAGTGATCACTATGCAAATTATTCATTCCAGAAAAATAAAACCCAAACATAAAATAACTGGAATCAAAATGATAGAGGAGTTCACTAGTTCATTATTTTAATATTTCAGCTGGTAAGTTCAGAAACCATTACTATCATTACTTTCTATGCTGCTGGGTAGTTTAATCCATAATAGTATATGATGTATTGTTTTACTTTGTACTAATGATCTAAATCTGTGTGTGACGTATACACAAAACCACTCAAGTACAAGCAACTAAGAATTGTACTTGTGTACATTATTATTATTATTATATAATAGCACATTTTATTTATAACGCACTCTTCATCAGCAGATCAGTAGTTTGCTTGAATATTTTCATTTCATACGTTTTATACTACTTCTTAATACTTCTACAACCAGAGAGGGAAGAAGTAATCAATTACAAAGAGTAGCAATAAATCAGTCTAAAAGTAACTTGGGAAAAGTACAATATTGGCCTCAGAGAAGTATTGTAAAATCCCTTAAATTATACATTATGTGTAATACCTTCATTGGCTGACTGGATGGTTTTATTATTCTCTCCCTTCTAAAACTACGATAGTATTTTTTTAAATAATAAATACAAATCTCATCATCTTGCATTCACGGGTTTTAAATGATTCACTATCGTTTATACGGAACTTTTATGAGGAATTAAATATATTTTACTTCAGTTTGTGTCCAGTTGGGTGTAGTAAACAAAGAGCACTGTGCCGCGCATGCGCACAAACGAACCAGGAAAAGGAGAGAAACACAGGACAGAAAGATGCTGCTTCATTTCACTAAAGACGTTCTACCGGATTCTGTCAGCACCGACTTCCAGAACCTCAACAAACTCAACGAGCGGGTGAATAAATTTGTGTTTATTTTTTAACCAAACCAACATGAATAATACTAAAGAACTCCATTGCAGTGGTCGCTAATGTTAGCTTCACTGAGCTGTATCACTGGGCTCAGCTCGTTTCTGAGCTCTAATGCTCTTTAGACCGCATCTGTGAACAGCTGTCGTGGTTTCGGATTTTTCAAAGATGAGTGAAAAGCGATCCATGGTTGTTAATTTTTGGGATTCGTCTCGTTATCCATAGCTATCAGTAAACGCCATCTGTTGTGGAATCACGTGACAGGCCATGTCACTGGTGGAAGAAGTATTTCAGATTATTTACTTACTTAACGTTACTCACGGTGGGAATAATCCGGAAAGAAAATGAGTGTATGTGTACAAATGTGTAAAGGGACCTTCAGACTCAATTTTCAGATCGATTTGGAACTATTTTCTAAACGCACATACAGCTTCGTTAGTTGGCATGCATCTTAATTCTAAGAAGCCGAATAGCTGAAATAAATACTTAAATACTTAACAATTCCCTTTGCAGCTATCAACAGAATTTCCCCACGTGAGATTCCTGTTGATTCAACTCTGGATGTTTTTAAATGAAGCACTGATCAAAGTATGTTTTCCCTAACAAACCAAACACAGATTTAGACATTTAAAAACTTTCATGTTTGAATATTTTGCAGCAATTTCATCGTCTGATTGAGATTCTGTTCCAGTTCCTGCTTGAGCCTAAAGAGGTGAGCATGCACACTCACCCAATGTTGTTGTCAATAGGACTTTGGACTCAGTGATGAGCCACGGTCACTGAACCAAGTAAAAAATCATTCCCTCTCCTGTTTTTGTGTGTGTGTGTGTGTGTGTGTGTGCAAATGATTGCATGCATCTCTGTGTGCATGCTTGTGTGAGCAGACGGAGAGGTTCATGCAACTGCTGGGCGAGTTTGCAGGGGAACACGGGATGAGTGCCGGCCCTCTGAAGAACCTGATGAAAAGCGTCCTCCTGGTGCCGCAGGGTGGGAACACTTTGCCTCGATCTGCCTTATACTTTGACTGCATGCTGCTCCCACTGATGACTTAGTTTACCAAGCAGGGGCCGTCCATCATTGACAGTAGATAGACCCCCGTCAGTATCGCTGAATGTTGGTCCTGATGGTTAGGTGGCAACTTGAGTTGAGTGTATAAATGCATGTGAATGGGTGATTAATGGTGAAGTGTTAAAGTGCTTTGTGTAGCTGGAAAATGAGAACAGCGCTTCACAAGTACAGACCATTTACCACTCGTCTATTCTCTCTTCAAAGTCACCAGACTTGTGTGTTCTGACGGAAAACACAACGCGCGAGTTGCCGGTCAACTAGTGCCTCGATCGGTTGGTTTGTTTGTGTTATTGTGTGACTTAAATAACGCACATAAACTAACCCATTAGGCGGCGATGTAGCAGCAACTCCGGTGTTTTTTGAAGCATATTTAAGTCTGGTAGGTCACACATAGATGGGGATAATTATCAACTTTAAGAAAGTGCAAACCATCTCTTAAAGTTAGATGAGTAGACCAATACAACTTTCTTGTCTCTTTGCTGAAATCGACCAGAAAGTGGAACTTGAGCCTCGAATTTACCTTTGACACCTAAATCTCTCATAATCTGCATAAAAGCAAGTACAGTAAGTTTCAGCACATAAACCCTTGTAAAACAACATGCTTGTACTTGTAGTACGATGTAATACAGCCTTTACAAAGCTTCTGGTTTTAATACTGTTTTGTCATAAAGTTACAGAAAAGCTTCCGCTGCGTGCATGTTTCTTTCTCATGTTGGCGGTGGTTCTGTCTGCTCTCCCCTCAGGCGCCATGAAGAAAAACCTGACAGCTGAGCAGATGAAAGAAGACCTGTTGGCATTAGGTATGCATCCATAACTGTTATCACAGGAGTTGCTCACGAAGAGGGTTCATTTTAAACAGAAGTCGGGTACAGCCGTTTGAGGGAGTGTCGTGCCGATGGCAATTAGCTCTCACGGCATTTCTACTCAATGTTGTGAACATTTTACACGGGAAACCAAATCTGTTATGTTTATTCCTCAGGACTTAGCGAAGAAAAGTCGGCTCAATTTTCACAGCAGGTAACTTTCCCGTCCGTTTAAAGGCATAATAAAAGGGTTAATTAGATAGTTTAGTTTTTCAGTATTCATAATCTGAAGATGATAGTACATCAATCACATTCATTGTATTGCCTTCTATCCTTTTTTTTCCAATCGTATGATCGCAGAAGTTTGTTTGTCCTGTGTATTTTGCAGTGGGGGGAGCACTATGCGGCGCTGTCCAGGCTCGCCGTGGGACAGACGCTGATGGTCAACCAGCTCGTTGACATGGACTGGAAGTTTGGAGGTAAAACACAGAAAAACTGAACATGGCACAATATTTAGCCCACGACAAAAACCTAGTTTCCCCTTCGACCCCGTACCTGAGCCCTGATGTTGTTCAGCAGATCTTCATGAGCACGCTGCATTAGCTGTTAGCATAGCTCATCCCTTATTCAAACCAATCAGATGTGTACAGTGGATGGCTCTCAATCAGGGGTGGTTCTGTAGGCATACGACCTATTGACTTCTTAAGACTCGGAAGGTAGTAGAGAGGCATTAACATTACAATCAGCTGATCTTCATGTTAAAAGACACAGTGCTCCCGTTTGAGAGAGTGGAACGGGGGAGGGGGCTGCACTCATCTGCAGTTTGCTTAATTGTGCCGTTATTTATTGACATGCAAAGCTTTCAGTCGACTGTGTCTCCGCGTGTGGCCAACGAGACGGCTGTAAAGGGTCTTTGGAGAATCCAAAAGTCTGGATAGCTGATATGTATGCTGCTTCTCACACCGGCTGCTACTCAAACCAACAATCTTGCACAATGCAGAATGCATATAAAGTTTATTAGAAAAATAGCTTACCAAGACGAGCTGACTTTTGATGATAGTTGTGGGATTCAAAGGTTCTTTACACATTACGAGAGAGTTTTGGTGCTTCATTAAACAATGTTTGGCCACTATGGGGAAGATCTACTCAAAACCATGCTGACATGTTATCACACCATGTTGTTACTTAATGTGATAGCAAGCGTGATGGTAGTATCTCGGAGTTTGTCACATTTCATGTAAAAACATTGATATTTCTTGTTTTTGTAAGCTGTACAACATGCAATTTTTAAGCACATTTTAAGAAGGCGTTTAAAAAAAAAATCAACGTTACATTTTCCCCAAAAAGGTGATCTTATTTGTGTTTCTGCCCCTTACAGTGACTGTGGGCACCAGTGAAATACAGAAAGTGGGCAATATTTTTCTGCAGGTTTGACAGCTCAGTGCACACACACACACACACACACCTACACAGCATTTTGTTCAGATTTGTTGAACACAGTGATTTTGTCCTTTGGCAGTTAAAGCTTGTGGTCAGAAAGGGGAATTCCACTGAAAACGTCTACATGGGTGAGCGACTTACAAACTGTTACATCATTTTGGCAAAAAGCTTCCTAACTAGATCTCCAAACATCAAAGTGTTTGAACATTTGAATTAAGACAACCAGCAGATGCATCAACGGCAACTGCTTCCTTGTGTCTGGTAGATTTTGATGGTGAACAGTTGGAATTTCATGCATGTTAGAACTGCCTCTGTGATCGTAACTTGTGCATAGTTTTTGTCTTTAATGTTTAGATTGAGTAGTCTGGGCAATGAGCTGTTTGTGCATTTCATAAAGCCAACATATGTCTGTCAATATGAGTTCTCCTGTAAAAACCTTTTCCATCGGATTTTCCATTCCTTCCGGTATTCTATCGCTGTTTATTTTTTTTGCTGTATTTCTTCTAAGAATGGTGCTATTCAAATGCATATATTTGAATCTATTATGGGGAGTGCTGATACTAATTATCAAGCATTTCTCATGTTTTAAACGATGCGGACATTTGTATGTCCAGAGTTCTCTTTCTTTTGAAGAAATACCAGACCAGCTTCTACAAAAGCAAATTAAAAAAAACTTCTTGGAGCAGGATTAAGATTATATGAAATCTTGTTGTTCACACAACGTGTGAAAGGGAGTTGTACAACTATCCATTTTTTCCGCTCTGTGTTATCCACTAACTGTTTGTTGTTTTTCTTTACTCATCTTTCCAGAATTGACGCTCCCACAGTTTTACAACTTCCTACACGAGATGGAGAGAGCCAAGGCCAGCATGGAGTGTTTCAGCTGAGTGCGTGTGTGCGTGTGTGAGTGCATGCGTATGTGTGTGTTCCCTGTGTGTGGCCCTGACTGAAGCTCGACACATTTTATTTACTGTCAGACATTTCTACTCAAATGAACATGAATAAAAAAATAAAAACTGTCTCTTTGGTCTAACTGATCCACCCTGTCATTGCGTTTCTGCTGTTGGCAGAAACATTTCATCATAATTATTGAGTAGCAAGATTGCTCTTTCACGCGCCGTGTCTCCAGGCTTCACTTCACCGACCGTTCCTCCCCTGAGGTGACGTTGTGGTAATCACCGTGCCGTAAATAACCAACAGACCCTATTTAACACATCCATCACGTTTTTAGTATCCAGACCGACTGATACGTTTGCTCCCATTAAAAACTTGTTATTTTTTTGAAGAGCTAAAAAAAAGGATAACGGTAAAATTGTTCTCCTCTCTGCTTCTGTCTGTTGTCATTTCGACTTCCAGTCGGCACCACATTTATACACCTTATTCATCAGCGGATTGCAGAAACTCCCTTCATCTCCACCAGCATCTGGACTCCATGGAGATCAAGCCTCATCTGACCACAGCATCCACAACCCTCTGGTATCCTACTTCAGCACTGAGTCCAATTGCCAAAGACGCTTGCACCATTCCAATTTTATGCATAATAAATAGCTGTTAAAGTCTATCCCGTGGTTCAAATTGCATTTTTGATTAGGTTCCGTGCACATTTTATAACATTTTGTAACGTTTGTAAGGACCTGTCCAATGTTCCCTTATATACTGAAACCACTTATTGCAAATAACTGAACACCTGGACTCTCCCTGACTCTGCTCTCTCACGCACAACCCCCCTCACCCCCCCACCACCACCTGCCACCCTTGTGGACTCGGCCTTATCTAACCTTCACACATACTTTCTTCTGGAGTCCAAGTTCTCCCTCCTTCTCTCTCTCCCCTCTCTCTCCCTGCGCTCACCGTGCCTCTCCTTCCTCCCATCGTGTTGCCCAACATGTTACAACATGAAAACATGACTCAAGAGTAATAAACAGACCATTGTTCATGTAAAGAGAGATTGCTGTTGTTCTTCAAAAGCTTTTGTTTGTTTCTTTACGCTTTGCGTCGCACAAACAGTGCCACGTTGTGCTGCTAGAAGGTGGACCTCAAATTATCCCCCCGAGCCATGAATGCCAGACTAAATCTGGTCACTGATTATCTGGTCACAGCAACATGCTATCATACGTGGACATTTTTTTTTATTTAGCTAGCGAACCTCCTTGCACCTTCATGCTACGGCTACAAGACATAAAAAGCACCACATCAACTGCATGTGCTGGTCTGTTACATAACAAATAGCTGGAAATGAACTATTTTTAATGTATTAGTAATAGTTGTTACCCTTTAAACTGTGTCTATAAATTGACCGATTGCTAATAGCCTCATCGCAATTTGAAGTCTGCCTTATTCAGTAATAATCTGCACAAATTATTTCATAACCATTACATTCTAAATAGGAAACACATCACAAACGCATGCAAAGCTTCGTTACTGCATCAACTAACCACCAATAAAACCGTATACAGGTTTTGAACGTTGGAACAGTTGTCGCCGTGCAGAATTCCAATTTTATGCACTTAAATGTCAGGATTTGGATTTGAATGGACCAACAACTGAACACCAAAATACGTTCGTTTTCAGCTGAAATAAGTGGTTTGCTAGTATTTCTCAGGTGGGGAATAACCAAAAGGCTTTTCCATGGAAAGAGTTTGGAAAAAGAGAACTTGAAGTTACCGACCAGTGGGAAGAGGAAGTTCACGCAATCTCACTTCAATAGCGCACAGCTGTCTAATGGAAGTGTAATTGTGTGTGTGTGTGTGTGTGTGTGTGTGTGTGTGTGTGTGTGTGTGTGTGTACACTCAGTCCAGGTGCAGAATGAGAAAACCTGGAGAGGGAAGAGAACAACAGAGAGATGGAGCTCATCAGAGGCTTTAAGGTCAAAGGTCTACATTTCAGCCGTAAAGTAAATAGAGGACTGTGCCCGGGCTTGTTTTACAAGATCATGTATAGAAGTGGAAGGATTTACTATTGAAGTAGTAAGAGCATCCCTTAAATTGGCGTTAAAACCCTCTAAATGTTCTTTATCACCCGTGAACATTTAACTCTGTGGCAGAGTGTGCATGAAAGGAAACATTCCTGTATGTCAGACTCCTCAGTACGGTGGGAGTATCTGATGGAGTCCTTTGAGGCGGTTGGACTGTTTTAAGCGGCCTGTGTCTATACTTGCACTGGTTATACCTGTCTTGTATTGACATGCACCAGTGGTTGACCCACATCCAGGTAGACATAACACTTGTTTTATCTATGTATCTGACCAGCTCTTTCCCACAGCTAGAAACCACAAGAAGAAGACTCTAATCGTTGTGGGCATCACAAAGAAGAACCCTGTAGCTGGTAACTGAAGTGAAGTGGAGGAAAAATAATGTTTTCTTTAAAAGTCTTCAACCTACATGTTTAGCATTGACTTTATATTGAGCATACTCCAAACATGATATGCTATGCTGTTAAACTCCACGACACCCCCCCAAAAAAAGCCCTTATCCCTCTAACTACAAAACAACTTATAAAATACCTTTCAGGAAAATCTATTTTGAATTCAATGGCTGTTTTTGCCGTGGTATCCATTAGATTCAAACTTTATCCAGTATGGTTCTTTAGCTGCATCTCTTATCTGTCGATATTAGTAGATTAGTCCATCCCGGATGGGCCATTCTGCTGCACCTCTATGGAGGGTGCTGAATACACCCTGCTAGAGAGGCTCCATGAGCCGCCATTTATGTAAAAAAAATTCAAAAGCTTGATAGGAATGAGCGGAAATTACGTCACTCTAATTAAACGGCTCCGGCTTTGAATAAACAGTGTGAACCAATCAGTTGGAAGTCCCAAAAGCAGGAAATGGCATTGTCAAGTGTGTGTGTGTCTATGTATGCAATTGGTTGATATGAGGCCCTTTGTCTCAACTGATACAATTCTATGTCATGTGGATTTACAGAGAAAAATGTTGTTTTTTTCCCTCTGTTGGTGGTAATTCATGTCTTCCTTCCACCTTCCCAAGAATGAGAAAACAGGGGAGGGGGGGGGTCAATGGGCCCTAAAACTGTCAGCCAGACAGAATCCAGAATCTGTTGGGCGAGCACACACAAACTTGGCCCTAAAGGAAGGGACCCCGCCCATCTGACCCCTGAATATTTGTGGATAAAGATGCCGATCCATGATGCAGAAATGTAGAAATTAGACACCCATTTGAAATACCATTATATGAATTATTTATTGTATTATAACATAAATAAATGTAACTTTGTCAAATATGAAATTGTTATTGCCATTAAACGAAATGACATTTCAAGAATTTCCTTTTGCATTATTCCTCAACAATGTTGATGTGTCTAAAAGGATACCTTTGGGGTACGCTAACAGTATTGTGCTTTTTGTTGCAGGGGGTGTGGGTTCTAGTTATATCTTACTGGTCTTTAGCGGTGGTCTTGCTTGCTTACGGGGTGTTAACTTCTGATCTGTTTGCGATAACCGAATGTTGCCGTGATTTTACTTTACTTACGTGTTTACAGTTACCCGTTACACAACTGACCCTGTCTACATGTGTGCCTTATTGTTCTTCATTATGACCAAATAATAAATTGAGCACAACTAACTTCCTAAAAAGCCTACAAAATAAAGAACAATTATAAGTAATAAGAGTACATAACAGAGAACAAATGGAATATGTATTCACCTCACTGTCAACCAGATCCTACCTCAGTGGGCCCGTCTTGGCAGATCCCCGATGTCAGTATTGGATGGTATCGCTCCCAAAACACAGATTGAAATGAGCTGTAAATTCTGTAGTCTGACGCCTATTACTGATAACAAATACGGCATCCCGGTTATGAACGTAATGTAAGTGTAAGTGTAATAACCCCGTCCCACTTAAACACACACACCATGCATACATTATTATACCCCTTCAAATGTACCTATGTCTCACCCTCCTCCATTGTCTTGCGGTGCTTAAGTTACCAGTTGCGACTGATGCTTGGGCTGACGGGGTTACCTTGGCAACCATACCTATCCCATTGTGTTGCATCCCAGTCACAGTGGGCCTGTCCCAAAGATACAAACAGACACACACATAGGCATAAACACACCCAAACACACATGCAAATAGTTAACGTTCTCTCAATACAGCTCCCTCCCCTCTCCAGTGTCCTCTCCAATACGCACACGCACACACACGCACACACATGCACGCACACACACGCACACATACACGCATTGAACGCTCCGGGCTTTCTTTCACCTGTGGAAAACACTGCTCTGGCGGTGTTTGTGTGTGAGAGTGAGAGGGATTAGTCTCTCATTAATAATGAAACCTGTTTCTAACCCACCCGCAACGCTTGTTTCAATCTGTCTTTCCCTCCCGCCACTCCGTCTTTCTCCCCCCCCCTCCCAAAATGCTAATGTATTCAACAGACAAGCCGCTAACATAAACAATAACACTCTTTCAGTCAGAACCACAGTTTCATCTGAATGTAAACACTGGCTGCTCCCCATCCTGCTGCAGGTAAACAGGGCGGGATCAGACACGTCATCAAACAGTGGAGGGCTATAATTCATTCAAGCATTGATCCTTATAAAAAGAAGAAAAAAGGTTCTTGAAGAGATAGAACCAAAGGAAATACACAATTTACAGGATATTAACTAAATCATCCCAAATTGTAGAGACCCTTTTTGCCTATCAAAGTGAGGTCCCCTTGGTTGGTGTTTAGAGTTTGTTTTGACGTGTTTAAATACTCCTTGAGACATTTCCTCTTTAATTTTCCTTTATCTTGTTCATTAGTGATACCATCAAATTATCTTAATACATGCCTCTTTCACTCTGTCACGTTCACTCTGTCACGCTCCTCGCTCACGTTCCACGGTCAAAAAAATATTTAGCTTTCCACAAACACCAACACCTGTGCCAGGTAATCACCTGATTATATTGACCTTGCGGCCTAATTGAAACACAACCTCCCACCACCTAGGGGGTGGAGCTAACAATCATACAACAAAACAGGCTCTTACAGAAATAAAATGATTGTCACTCACAAACTGAGATA